ACTAATCCCTTCATTAATTAATATATAAATAGATTATTAGTTATATTGTTCATATATAATTTGTAGCCATTCCCTTTTAATAATTAAATTTATTTTATAAATATGATTTTTGTTTAGCGATTTATTTCCTTTATTTTACTCTTTATAATTAAATCTATGCAATCAAAGAAAATCATATCCAATATCTTCAAAAACTTTCTTCTAATTCCAGAAAATATCTTAACTTCTGATATATTTATTATCATAATTTAATATTTAATCTTTTTATCATTACAAATATTAAATAAATGACTAAAATTAACCAAATTCTATTTCAAGAAATATTTTACTTTTAAACAAAAACATTTTAATTTGCAATTTTAATTTTAATTCATTCAAAAAACATAGTTTATTTTAATTATAAGCAAAAATACGCTGTTGTCTCTCATTAATATAAAATTATGCCCTTTCCATATTTATAAAGGCTAGGGAATAAATAAAAATATATTGGAAAACAAATTTAAATGAGAGTATATTTCAGGTAGAATGCGATGAATTTCAGTAAATAATTTAATTATTTCTCTATGTATAAATCATATTTATTTTAAATACATAAACTTAAAACTTTAATGCATTTGCAATTTATATTTATTTTTAAATCTTGATGTTATGTTTTAATCATCTAGTAAGATATCCAGATATAGATTTATTATATTGCTGATAAATAAATTATTTATTTGTTTAGTTAGTTTTTCGAAATATAGATGATAATAGGTATTGTGTTTTTAAATTATTCAACAAGTTTGAGTGAATGATAAATAAGTATTTGCTTATTCTATTTTTAGTAGTAATTATGTAAATGAAAAAATTATTGAATATTTCATACAAATATATGTTGATATCTCACTTTTAAAATTTTGTTTACATAAATTATTTAAAAGAGTCAAGCAAGTTTAAGAGTTTTTAAATAAGCATCTTTTTAATAAACATATTACTTCATTTATTTTTTGTTTTTATTTGTTTGTTTACAAAAATTAAAAAAATTTAATGCAGGTTTTTATAATTTATTTATCTATTTTTTAATAAAAAATTTAGTTATTATAAAAATTCTTTTATTAATTAATAGGAGATTTTAAACACAGATATCGTTTATTCTGCCTCCTTTTACTTAATTTAATTTTTAAAGATTTAATATAAGAAACGAATAAAATACTTATTGAGGACTTCTTCACTCATTAACGTACTATTTACACTTTTAAATATTTTGAAATGGAAGAAACAAAGAAAATAATGTTAGGAAGATAACTTTTAGAAGGTTTTAGTTTATTATATTAAACAAACAAATGCAGATTAGTGGTTTGAATTAGGTTATAAAAGATTTTGAACTGATTAAATTTGAAGTTAATTAAATATTTCAACAATAAAAGCAAGAAAATAAATAGACTTAACTATCTAGATTTTATTTTAATTCTAGCATAAATTATGAGTTTTTAAGTTAAAAATAGAGCTAACATTTTTGAAAATCCAAGTAAAGAATGCTATAGATAATTAGGAGATTTAGATATCACAAGGTTAAGTGAATAAATCACTTGGCTAATAGCTTTATTATTTCAAGCAGTAGCTATTTTTTATGTATGCTTTAAACTAAATAATATCCTTAAATGGTAACGAGCAAATAAGACTTCTTGGAAAAACAAATTATTTATGACTAATGTGGCTTGTTTGAGTTTGTTGCTAGGTAATTTTTTTCAAGAAATCCTAATAAAATTGCTTATTTTATATTTCTGCATTTTATGAAAACGAACTTTAATATTTTTAGAAATTGTTATAATTCTTTTTAAATAAAAAATAATTATTCAGTGCAACTTATTACCATGATAGTAGCCGAAGTTTATTCATTCAATTTAAATGAGAAGTCTATTTCTGATATAGAAGACTTCTAAGATATTTATATTGCTCTATGGGTTTTTTCAATAATAATATTACTGAGTATTATTGGTCAATCTTCTCTTCACTGGTATGATTTGATTAATACTTTTCATAGTTATTTTAATTTATTACGTATTTTAGTAATAGTCATTATATTACTTAATTATTATTTTTCAGAGAGTCAAGTAATTTTTTTATGATACTATCAATCTATCTATTTAGCAATTTTATTACCAAATTATAATGTTTCTACTTAATCCTTTGAATTTATTTTGCTAGAAAGAAATAATATTTAATTTTTAAACATTAATATGATTATTAAATTTTGATTTATTTACTACTGTTTATGTGTGTTTCATTTATATGATATTTGTTATAATTGCATTAAAAATATTAAAATAGGATGGATGTACTAATACACTCGAGATACTACACCTACCTCAAGTACATGTATTACTTTTAGAAAGTTTTTGTGATTATTTTGTATGTTTTGGGTCCTCTCAGTATTTTTCTGCTCTTCTTCTAAATTGATATTACGTAAAATATTAAGGCATTTATTTATTTATTGAAAAGCTAAATAATTTTTCTTTGTAAAAAATAATAAATAACTTAATTTTTATATTTTTATAAAAAAGATTTTATGTTGTCTCTTCATTGACTTTAGCAATAGAATTGATATTTATTGTAAGTTGCTTCTAGTTTTGGAGGGATGTAGAAACTATATATGACTTGTCGAATACCTTCAAACGTCATGTAATTAATTATTTAATGATAGATGAGATAAAAAAAAAAGGAATTCTCTAGCAATAATAATAATTCATTAATAAGAAATTATTATCAACCTTAAAATCAATTTTCATAAAATTTCAATAATAAATTTAATAACTAAATATTATTCTATGTATTAAAAAGGTAAAAGTCTCCATTATTATTCTTGGAATAGCATGTTTATTGAGGGTAATATTTAATATATGTGGAGCAGCTGGTGTTTTACAAGATTTACACTGCTTTGATGCAGAATCAAAAGAAAACACAAACTTTTCAGGGTAACTTAAAAAATAACTCTATAATTAAAGCTTTTAAAATAATTTTGTTTTAATTGTTTTTTTTAATTCTAGTTGCATTCTTTCTATTTTTATATTCTTGTTTGGTGCTACAGTTCCAGTGATGCTTATTTCTTCTATTTTTTCTCCTCATAGAGCTCCTAAAAAGCTAACAACTTTATTACATAGCGAAACAGTAAATTCAGATTGTATAAAATCTTTTATTAAAATATTTCTTGATCTTTAAAATAATATTTATAACTAAAAGATACATTATGAAAAAAGACGAACAAATTTAAGTAGTATAATTACAAGATATTTAACAGCTAGCCATTCCTACATTAATTCATGCAAACAAACAAACAAAAAAATAAAAATATACACATAAATACTAACTAATTTACTCACTAATTAACTAATTTAACTTTTAAGCAAATTAATAGCATAAATCATAACAAAAATTTATTTAAATTCTCAAAAATATAATAAGCTATCCAAATTTATATTTAACTATTAACTATATATTTTACTTCTTTTTTTCGTATTCTCCTAAAATAAACCTTGAGTGTTTCAATTATTTATGTTACTTTCTTACATTTATAAAACAAAAATGAATCTATTTTTTTATTTTGAATTATGTTAAATCTTTAATTTTATAACATTCTATTTTTTTTGGTAAGAAAGTTTGTGAGCAAGATAAATAAAGTATGTATATGTGTGATTCATCATTTTTAACATAATTTAATTAAAATTCTAATATGTTTGTGAACTTAAAGATAATTAATGTAGGAATATTATACTTAATTTAGTTAAATTTAGGTCCTTTAACATTTTTTTATCTATTCATAAACAAATAAGTTAAGTTTTTAATAAAAAAGTTTTTGATGAAGTAAAATAGAATAATTTATTTTAGTTTTCATTCAAAATACTTAAAATGTTATATTTATTTTCTACTGACAAACGTTTCCTCTAATTCATTCATATATTATATATATTTGTATCGGAATGTATTAATATAGCTTATGAATAGATTCAATAGCAACTATCTCTTTATATTTCGAATTATATTTAACAAATTTAATAATTTTTTATTGATTAAGCAATAAATTAAATATGAGTAAATAGAGAAAAGAAGATTTAGAGGGTGTCTTAAAGCAAAAGGATAGAACAATTGTAGAGTAATCAAGAGTTGAAAATGCAGTTCGTGAATTGTATGAAAAGATTCTTTAGAAAGAGCTCTTAAAAAAATAAAATTTGTAAGAAAAGAAAAATAATGACCCAGAAGTTTAAAATGAGCAAAAAAACAATGATGACTATGTAGATGTAGATAGCGACGAAGAAGATGATGAAGATATTGAATTTGGTGTTTTAAATAAAGAGGCTCATGGAAATTATTTGAGAAAGGCTTTATTCGATTTAAGTAAGGATTGAATTTTGCATTTCAGATTATTTATTCTTGAACATAAATGTAGCAATGAATTTAAAAATTTTTAAAGAATTTAATATTAGATACTATGACGTAGGACATCCATGGGTTATTTTCTGGATTATACATTCTATTTATTTATTAAATGATCCTTGTTTAACAATCCAAGACTAAAAAATATTATTTTAGCTCTTAGATTTCTTAAAAAAAACTCAAGATCCTTTAGGAGGTTTCTGTGGAGGTCATTATTAGTTTCCTCACATTGCTTCTAGCTATGCTGCAATCTGTTCTTTAGTAGAGCTAGGTAAATTAAATGCATTTTGCTATATTTAATTGTTTGTTCTATTAAAATCAAATGAACTTTGAGAATAATACTTAAAATACTTAGGGTTATTTATTAATTTGCATAGATAAATTATATTTTTCATAAATAAAATAAAGATTTAGGCTTATAAATATTTTAAAAATGCTAACTTTAGACTTTCAATAATCCATAATTAATTAACTAATTTCCATCTTAAATAAATAAATAAAGGAAGTGAAGAATGTTTATCTATTGTTGATAGAAAAGGAATGTATAATTTTTTGTTGAGATGCAGAAATCCAGCTATGAAAGGTAGTTTCCTTTTATGTGAAGGAGGAGAGTCAGATATGAGAGGAGTTTATATTGCTGTGCTTATAGCAGATGTTCTGAACATAATGACACAAGAACTTATTGATGGAGTTGTAGATTTTATTTGCTCCAGTTAAACTTACGAAGGAGGTATTGCTCCAGAGCCATTTGGTGAAGCTCATGGAGGTTTATCTTATTGTGGACTAGCTGCATTAGCAATACTAAAACAAGGACATAGAATAAATTTAAATAGATTCACCTATTGGCTTACAGAGAAATAAATGAAGACAGAAGGTGGTTTTTAGGGTAGAACTAATAAACTTGTTGACAATTGTTACTCTTTTTGGCAAGGTGCTACATTTAGAATATTAAATGAAATTACTGGTGGAGCTGCTTCATACAACAATTAATTGTAATTTTTTATTAAATATTTGGATTCAAAAAACGATAAAAATTATTTTTTAATGCTACTTAGGTTATATGATCAATAGAAACTACAAGCATACATTCTACTTTGCTAAGAAAAAGATGGAGGGCTTTACGATAAACCAGGGAAGTTCCCAGATTTGTACCATACTTGTTATTCGTTAAGTGGTTTAAGCAGTGCCCAAAGAAGTGCTGATAATAAAGAAGAAGAGTACTTTATGAACAAAATGACAAGTTCAACTAAATAAATTAATGTAGTTTACAATTTACCTTAAGATAAATTAGATTTTGCTAAAAGTTTTTATGCAAAACTTCCTCCAATCTAATGAATAATTAAATAAAAAATAAAAAAATTAATTATGTTTTTTTAACACATTTTATATTTATTTATCCTTAAAATCAATGAGTATATTTATTTTCCCTAATTACCCTTCTTTTTTGATTTTAAATCTTGTATAATGAAAAAAATTAATTCTAACATTAAATATTTTCTTTTAAATTTTAAAAATAAATGCAATAAATTTTGTTTTTATAATACAGCTTAAAAACAATAGTATGTCTATAACATAAAAAATAAAATATTATTTCATATACGATAAAGATTCATAAATAAAGGTAACCTCTTATTAATGTTTCATTTTCTTTTTAGTTAAAAGATAAATTAACTTACTTTATTTTTAGCAAATTAATTTTATATTTATTGTATCATTAGACTCAATAACTAATTAAGTCACTTCATTAGTAAGCAAGTTAGTTTGTTATTTATTTTTTTATTAGATTGCTTTATACTAAGCATATTTATTTTCTATAATTAACCATCGAATGTTTGTTATTGAACTGGCTTAATGAATAAGGCTTCATTTTTTTAGTTAAAATTTTAATTAATATATTCTAAGAAAGCTACAATATTAGTTTTTGAGTTATCTAAATCATATAAAATATAGAGTAACTTTATTTATTTAATTATGATAATAATTGTTTTTATTTTTTGTGAATTTTCTGCATAATTTTTTTATTTATTAAAATTTAAAAGAAAATCAAATATCAATTTAAAGTTAATAGGAAATTAAATGGGTTAAATTATTCATGGCTCCTACTAGAGCTAATAAATATAAGAATTTTGTGAATAGAATAGCATAGATATTAACATATTTTAGAATTAGATCAAGTTTTTAAGTTAAATGAAATATTAATATGTTGGAATATTAGGAAATGGATTATTTGGTTAGCAAATACAAGCATATTCTGAGAATTATTAGAGTGTAGCAATTAAAATAATTTATAGCAAGAACTCTGGTTTAGAAACAGCTCTTAAACAATCAACAAAATACAAATAAATAAAAAATACATAACATCTTGCGCAGATACATGAAATTGTATACAATCCTTCTTTAAACACTTATTACATTGTGTAAGAGTTGGCTGATTGTAAATTAAATTGAATTTGCAAAATTTTTAGATTGATATTATCAATTACAAAATAGGCTCCCTTAAGGAAATTCTTGAAAGTTGCAAGCTAACAGATAAACAAATATATGAAACTACACTGCAACTGTTAGAAGGTTTAGCAGAACTTGAAAATTTAGGATTAATACATGGAGATATCAAGACAGAAAATATCTTATACAATAGACCTAAAAATAAATTTATGTTTAGTAAGGATATTCAATTGACATAAATTTTCTGATTAATTTATTATTCTACTAAAAAATAAATAAAAAATTAGCTGATTTTGGTTTGGCTCAAGTTTTAATGAAATCTAATAAACCTGCTTCATCTAATTCCAAAGTAAGATTTATTAAATCTTTAACACTTTTTAATATATTATATATTTATCATTTAGCAACTATAAAGAACTTAAATTTATGGTGCTCCAGAACTAGAAAAAGAACAAGATACTTCAAGATTTTAAAATAAGGTAATTATAAATAATTTAAAATTATTTCTTATTTTATTATAAATTAACTAAATAAATTATTAATAATTTAGCAATAAGCATATTTTTTGAATAATACCTTTGAATGTTTTTAATAAGTTTTTATAATATTTAACAAAAAATCAAAAGATAAACCCAATTTATATCAAAATTTTTTGAAGTATTTCTATTTTTTTTAATAATCAAAGATTATTTTAAAACATTTTATTTAAAAGTCTAAATTTTATATTTAAAATTCAATAAATGGTTTCTTTATAATAATTTAGATGGATACATATGCCCTTGGAATGGTTTTGTCTGAAATAATTATTGGAAAAGGATTTGAACTTGAGGAATCTATCGATATCAAAAATAATAATGACATACAAGACTACATACCATTCGACTCTCATCATAAATTTTACATAGAAAAGATTATTTTAAATATGGTGAAGGTATCGAAAAAAGAGAGATAAGAAACTAGTGAACTGATTAACACTCTTAAGAAAAATTTTGAGTTTAATGAATAAGATTTAATGGCTATTTATATAAAAGAAATATCAAAGCTTCTTTAAAACTAACAAAAAATTAGCAAAGACTATCAAATGTATTATCAGAAGTATTTTTCACAAAGAAACTTATAAAAAATAAGTGCTAACGAATCGTAAAATTCTTAAAACAAAAATAATTTTAATTATTTAATTTTGATATGAAGGAGAACATAAATAGGTGATGGATAGTTATATGGAATAATTGATGCCATCAAATTATGCAAGAATATTTAAGAGCTAGAATTACAATTTTAGTAAATATAAATTACTTTTAGTTATTTTAAATTAATAATGAGTAATAAATTCATAATTTAATTTAAAAGTGTCAATTTAATAACAGATAGTGGATTATTTGCAATTACCAGCTTGGTTAATGATCATTCCAAGTCTTTAGAGATATTAACTATCAATTTTGAGTAATTTAATATTTTTACTAAGGTTTAATGCTAACATTTTTCTGTTATTTAGAGAAAACTAAATTAGAGATAGAGGCATTCTACAATTATTTCAGTCTATAAATAAGTGTTTGCTGCTGAGAAAACTTTCTCTTAGTTTCACGTAATTAATCAATCAGTATTTGTAAAAAATTAGCAAAATAAAATACAAAAATATAAATAGAAAAAATAGAATTACAGATGATGGTTTTAGAGGTCTTATTCCACTAGCTAATTCGAGTTAAATTTAATTGCAAGAATTAAAGCTACATTTCTCGTAATTTAAATTTAATCTTTGTCTTTTCGAATTTGAAAATTATTTTAAAACTAAAATAGTGAAAATTAAATCACAGGAAATGGGCTAATAGATGTATTAAAGGCTCTTTAATAGCAAAAGAAACTTACAAGTCTTTCTCTGTATTTAGCGTAAAAATAATTAAGAAATAAAGTTCTATTGATATTTATAATTTCACAATATTCTAAAATTAGAGATATTTGTATCAACGATCAAGATTTCTACGGTATTACAGAAGTGTTAACCAATTTTAAGTAATTGCATGAACTCAAATTATGCTTTTAGTAATTTAAACATTTCGATTTTAGCAAATATTTTAATACATATTGAAATATAATTTTATTAGGAGAAACGATTTAAGTAGTGATGGGTTTAAAGGATTGGCAGAAATATTTAAAGATAATATTTTATTATAATCATTAGAATTTTACTTTTAGTAAATAATCAACAAATAAATTACTAATATTAGAAATAATATACAAATAAATAATATAGGTAAAATAAAATAGATGACTAAGGACTAATCTCTGTTGTAGATAAATTATAATTCTGTTAAAAGCTATAATTAGTAGAGCTATTTTTTTCGTAAGATCTACAAAAACTTTAATGAATCTTTATATAGATAATTAAAATTTTAAATTATATGAAATTGGATATATAACTTATTTAAAATTATTTTTACTTTCTAACAAAATAATTTATTCTTTTTTTAAAAAAGAGAAAACCGAATTACCGACCATGGGCTTATAGGCACAGCAGATTCTCTTAGAAAATGCAAACAATTAAAGGACATTTATATAGATTTTAGGTAAATTTATATTAAAAATATATTATTAATAATAAATAAACAGGGTTTTTGATAGAGTTGTCAAAATTATTTATCTGATTATTAATTAATTTTTGAAAGTACTTATTTTGGAATTTAAGACTTTAATGATTCAAAATCTTCAAAAAATAATTTTCTTTAAATATTCTTCTCTTTTGACATTAACCTTTCATGAATTTTAAAAATCCAATAACAATCCTAATAACGAAACATTATTTTATTTTAAATATAATAAACAAATGAAGAAAATCATTTATTTTTGTGTTTTTTTAACTTATTTGACTTTTAAAAACTATTAAATAATAAAACAAAATGAAATAATTATAAACAATAATTTAGAATTGAATCAATAGTTTTATTAATAATTTGTTAATTAAATTATTTTTTTTAAATCAATCTATTAAATATTGTTTATTTTTTTTACTTATTGCATGAAAATAGTGAAAACAAAATTTAAGAAAAGCAAAGGATTTAGTAAATATTCGATGGTAATTTTAAAGGCAAAATGAATTTCTATAGCATAGATTTTTGAGTAGTTTAGAGATATTTTTATGGATATTTTAATTATTTATTATCAAAAATAAATTTCTATCATAAATTAAATGGAATACGAATAATTTAAATTAAGTTAAAGATAAAAACAAATAAATAAATAATTATTATTTTGTCAACTCTAAAATTTGTTTTATATTTATCTGTTAATAAGTCTCAATTACAATAATTGTTTTAATATCTTACTATTAAGTTTACTTCGTTAATTATCTTTAAAAAAAAATTTGCTCTTTAAATTCAAATTTATAAAAATTTGATTTTGTCATTTATTTTTAACATATGGTTTATAATATAAATGTATATAATGAAGATTTTTTTCTGAGTTTCTGTCATTATTTTATTAATAGGAGATATATAAAAAAAATTTGATAATTTTTTATTGAATAAAAATATAATTTTCAAATTTATTTGTGTTAAAAAAAAACATTTTTACAATCTAAATTCATATTTTTTAAATAATTTTAAATTCCAGAGGGCAAACTTAATTAGGAAAAATGGTTAAAAATTTAGTTAGAATTTTAAAATTTTCTAAAAATCTTTATATTGTTTTATAACTTAGTGAGCTTATATTATTAATTAATATAAAATATTTAGTAACATTTAATAAAAAAAACAAAATTAATCATCAAACAAGTATAATTTCAAAATTAATATTTTTCTAGATGGTATTATAAAAAAGAAGGCTTTTTAGTAAAGTAGATAAAATAAATTATATATCATGTGTTAATTTTAATTTAAATATATTACTTTATATCTTAAATTATGAAACAAAATAAATATCTGAATATTTCTTTTAACTTTTAATGCTAACTTAGTTTATTTTTCTAAAATATTTTCTGTATTTTTTATAGATATTATAAAAAGTATAAATACGTGCTTTTAAAAAGCATTGAAATATGTTTTAAGCAAAGGATTTTTAATTATTCAGAGACCAAAATTATAATTAATTAGTAGATTTAAATTATATCATTTTTATTGATTTGGTGGATCTATAATTTTATACAACATGATGCTTTGATTATATCTAGGAAGTGTAAAGTAAATCTTGGACAACCTTTTTAACCTCACTAATTTAATAGAAATAAAATTTAATATTATCTTTATCTTACTATCCTATAAAACTAATTAGAAAAGTGAAAATTAAAATTAATAATAAATTTATTCTCCATTTAATTGTTTAGATATTTTCTATTAGAAATGTGAATTCAATATTATTTTTATTAGTATTAATTTTTAAAATGCTTTATAAAATGCATTTAAACAAAAAGCAAATTGATTTCCAAAGGAAAAATGATCTCAATTTTTAAATTTTTTATCCAAAAAATATTAGTTTACTTAACATTTTTAATTTTTAGAGTTATAAACTGTGTAATAGGATTATTTTTACAAAGTCAAAATTTAATTAAATCAGATTTGCTCAAAAAAAAAGCAGGAAAAATACTGAGATAAATTTATTAATTAAGGAATTGTTATTCATGTAAAGTAAATTAGTCATTAAATAAAATCAAATCTTATCTCCATTCTCAATATTTTTTTTGATCTCCTCTTTAAAATAGAAATTTTTTTACTCTTAATTTATAAAATAGCATTTTCTCAACTTTTATTCTATACATTTAAATCTACCACAACAAAATAAAATAAGAATAATTCCTTCTTTTTTTATGGAAGGTAATTAAAAATAATTTTTATTACCTCAAATTTTCTTTATGAAACTTTTACAAAAGTCTAAACCAACTTAAGTTGGTATCAACAACCAAAATTGACATTTAACTTCCAATTAACCAAAACGAATTTGAAATGTGAATAAAATGTATTGTAATAAACTTAATATTTTTTGTAACACAATTTAATACATAAGTAAACAAATATCAACTACTTTTGAAGTTTATAAATAACCAAATCATAATTTTGTTTGCTTTGTAAAATTGATAAATTTCAAAACAAATTATAAAATCGTCTAGTTTGTTTACATGACCAAGTATTGAAAAATAATTTTAAAAACCACTAAATTAAAACAGATAATTTCTATTTTTTAAAGATAACTATACATTTAATGAACGAATTAAAATATTTAATTCTAATTTATCATTAACTCTTTTTGAAATGCAAAAATGAATAGTTAATTTACAATTGAAGGATATTAATAAATAAAAATGTGAACACAAAGATATTTTAATAATACTACTTGAAATTGCTTATAAATAAAAGAATGTTTATAATCAAAATAGAAAGCAATTATTTTGATCGGTGCGAGTCAATCTATGATTAATCTAGAGAGTATTTTAGGTAAAACTAAACTTCTTGCGAATTATTATGATTATTATCAAAAGCTAAGATCCGCAAAATAAATGTATTTGCTATATATCTTTAGATAAATGTAATTTTTTATGATTAAATCAATCAATCAATCCTTTAATTTTTATTAAATCTAATTAAAGTAGTAATCAAACCAAAAAACAAAAGGCCTATAAAAAAGCAAGCATATTATACCCCCTAATTAGCTTGTAATAAGAATTCCATTAAATTAATAAATAACTAAAAAAAGTAAAAAACTTTTAAAATTTCTTAAAAGCATAATCAAATTACAAATTAATTTACCTTTTGGTTGATTTATTTATATACTCGAAATAAGAATTAGAGAGTTATAAACTATTTAACAAGGCAAATAGTCTGACAAATAAAATCAAAATCTATCAAAAATACTAATAGAAAAATGGGAGCATGTTTGAGTGTGTTTGGCGGTAAGCCTGATAATGAGGATGATCAAAATACTAATTCCAAGTTGCTTGGTGATGATCAAAAATAAGAAGATTTAGAAGATGATATGGGCTCTACCAAACCTAACTCTGAAGAGACAGTTAGAATTTAAATTAAGGGAAATAACGAAGATGAATAAAATAATTAATAAAAAGTTGTATTGAGCGATTTTGAAATTTTAAAGGTAATTTTTGAATAAAAATCTCAATATTTTGAGACAATGTTTAATAATAATTTTATAATTTTTTGCATATACAATAGGTTATTGGTGAAGGTTCTTTCGGAAAAGTTTTCATGGTCTAGAAGAAAGATGATGGTAAAATTTATAGAAAATTTCAAATAAATATTTAAAACAATCTGCTTCACAAATTATGAATCGGGAGCTCTAAAAAATTAGAAACATGTTAAAGAGTTTGGCTGATTTTTTAGAGTTTACTGAGTCAAAGTGAAGATGATAAATATGTAAGTTAGTTAAATTAATAATAAACTCGTATAAATGAATATAGGCAAGATTTACGCAATGAAGTAATTGAGAAAAAGCAATTTAACTAAACAGCACCAAAAGCTAAAGACCATTGAGGAAAAAAATATTATGGTTAACATGAAATCTCCCTTCATTGTTCAGTTGAAATATGCCTTCTAAACCACTACTAAACTTTACTTTGTTATGGACTTTATGCAAGGTGGTGAAATGTTTTATCATATCAGAAAGGCCAAATACTTTAAAGAAGACGTAGCTAGATTCTATGTCTCAGAATTAGTACTCGCACTGGAATATCTCCATTCTAAAGACACTATTTATAGAGATTTAAAACCAGAAAATATACTACTAGGAGCAGATGGACACATCAAGATATGTGACTTTGGTCTCTCCAAATAAGGTGTAAAAGGTAAAAAATTATCCACTGCTTATTCATTAAATCAATAAAGACTTAAAATGAGTATTTACTCAAAAAAAGCTAAGATAGCTTTAATTGAAGATTCTAAGGGGATTAAAGAGATGATTATTATTTTGCAAAATAAAATAAATTTGTGGGGTTTAATCTCAAAACTTAATCAATCAATCAAATAAGATAAAAATACTCAATTAAAACTTCTCAATTTCTGAAAATATTGTGGCAATTTATTGTAGCCAGATAATTTCTGATATTTAAAAATAAATCTGTCATATTTTGATTACGACGATTTATTTATAAATTTATTTTTTTTTTGATATTAAGCAAACATATTAAAAATTTTTTTTTCTACCATTAAATAAAACACTATATTGTTTTCAGATTGAATCCAATCAATTTCTTGCACATCAATCAAATCATAATATTATCAATTCTCAATTATATAAATTATTCTTTTATAATAATTTTCTATTTTCCATTAAAAAAGACTCAGATAAGACCAAAACAATTTGTGGCACTCCTGAATACTTAGCTCCTGAAATTCTATTAGGTAAATTTCAACAAAAATATTTTCTTAAAACTGCCTTGTTTTTATTTATGGTCAAAATAACCACAAAAAATACAGAGATAGTCTCACTTAAATAATTTATTATATCACTTTTATTTAAATAATAATTTTGATAATTTTAAATGAAAGAGATGAAAAATACAAATAAAAAATTAAAGTTATTCGCTTATTTATAACATTTCCATTATAAATTGAATAGGTTAACCTCATGGTAAAGAAGTAGATTGGTACAGTTTGGTAATTAAGCTTAACTTTTTGATATTAAAAAATCTTACTAAATTTAAATTAAATATAGGGTTGTGTACTTTATGAATTTCTTTCTGGCGCTCCACCTTTCTACAGCAGAGACAAGCAATAAATGTAATTATTTTAATTGAGAACCAATAAATTCATTAATTTATCATTAAAATTAATTATCAAAAGGTATCAATAAAGAATCAACAGTGATATTCAAAGAAAACCTTAGTTCTAGAATGATGCATGGGATCTCATTTAGTTATTGCTTGCTAAAAATGTAAAAATAAATTGCATTTTATTCTCAATTTTTTTTTTAAACTTTTTAATTTAAAATTATTAATAAATCTAATAGCCTAAAGACAGATTGAATACTGCTGCTTAAGTAAAAAGCCATCCATTTTTCAAAACAGTTGATTGGGAAAAATTGTTGAATAAAGATGTTAGACCTCCTTTCGTACTTAAATTCAACAATGAATAAGATACCAGATATATTTCTAATGTAATTATTTATTTATTTGATTTTTTTTGATTTGTACTCATTCATCCATCCATCAATTATAATTAATTTATCTTATTCAAATAGGAATTTGTTAAACAAGCTGTATAAAATACCCCTTACACTCCTAATGTCGGAGGTTTGGCAGGAGGAAATCAAGATTTTGATGGATTTACCTACTAAGGAGGAGTAAGCATCAACAATAATTGATACTATTTATTTTAAAACAAACAAATATACTGAAAAGTAGTATGAAACATACATTCAAAAAAACAACACAATAAACTAGAAATAAACTCTTTTATAATAAATAAATTACTTTCACATAAAATGATTAATAAATAATTAAAGTTTTAAAAAAAACTCTAGATAAACCAAAATAAATTAATAAAAAAATTTCTATAAAACAAAATGAAAAATAAATAAATTATGAAACTAATTATTACTAGACGATAAGATATGCTCATAAAATATATTAATTATATATGAGTGAATATGTATCTCTCTGTTTTTTATCCAAAATATTTATATTCTTTAAGTAATTTTGATTATATAATAAATAAATGACTAAATACATTGTTTTGTATTTTAAAATTTATTATCAATTCTAAAAAAATAATTTTTATGTAAAATGTTTAAATGTTTTCTTACTTAAATTAAAAAAAATGTAGTATCAAAATTAATTAATTCCTTTATTTTTAAATAATTTTTTATAAGCATAATAATATTTTTATAGAATTTGATTTGTAATATTATTAATTTAATTAGTACCATAAACTATGCCCAATCAATTAATTTAATTGAAATATTTTTATCAAAGGCACTAAAATATTTGATTAAATATCTCATAAGAAGAATTAATGTCTTGCATATTTAAGGTCCTTAACTGAAATTTAAATATGGTGAGGATAGGTAAGAATGATTATTTACAGTATCTATTTTTAATATATAATTTGAATTAAAATTTAAAAATGTGTTAAGGTATTTTGTGAATGTTTTCATTTAATTATACTTTAAAGCTATTTCTTTTGATTTGATAAGGATTTTCAAATTATTTAAAAAAAATCTGCAATATTGAAAAAAAATAGAAATAATTTTAAGATTAATTTAATAGTTATTTTAAAAGAAAAATTATTTGATTAAAAGTCTGTTCAACAATTAATATAGTAGAACAAATATTTAGGATTTTTAATGATTTTAAACTCATTAACATTAGATTTCATTAAAGTAAATAAAAATAGAAAATTAAGGGATAGATAAGCTATAATGTGATAGATTTTAACTTTTCAAAGAGATGATTTTAGCTTCAATTTTTTGTTATCAGAAAAATATAAATCTGTCTTATTGCTGATTTAATTAGTATTTAATTCATTTGCTTGCTTTAAGATGAATAGAATGAGGAATCAAGATACTGCTTGCATTTAACCATGTATGCTTTTAATAAAATCTTATACAAAAACCATATGTTTGTTAAAGTCAACTAATTAAAATATAAAAAATTTTAGTTGAGTAATTTATTATTGATAAAAAAATTATTAATATTTCGTTCAATTTAAGTTAATATTAAGATTAATAGCATACCCATATTTAGTAAAAATGTAAGTAGGAGGAAAACCACTAGGTTATTGGAAGAATAAAACTGATATTCTACTTTAATACAAGGAAAATACAAGATAAATACAGAGGAAGAAGTAAGCAATTAATATTCATATCTAAATCATTAGTAAAATATTTAAATAAATAAATAAATAAATCATAGTCGCTACCAAAAAGAAAAATTTTAAAAGTAATCAGCAACTCAGAACAATTTATTTGGAAGCAATAGCAATATTAGTGATTTGAACTCAAGTAAAGTTTAATTTTACAGATGTTATTGTTTTCTAATTTATTTTTTGTGATCTCTTACCCTAGATGGTAATAAAGAATCTCTACTAATAAAAGATAAATTTATAGAAGATAAAAATGCAATTACAATCGAATTGAAGTCAAATAATTTGCCTCCTGAATGGGTCGATTACTATGAAATATGTATTTAGAAGTTAAGATAAATAGAATCAATATGTAATAAATAAATTTAAAAATCCTTGTTGATTTTTTTAATTTATTAATAGAGCAGTAAATTGCATAAAAAGGCAGAGAAAGACTGAAAAGAGGATTCGGCGATAATTCTGCTCTTGATAATTAAATTTATGATTTAACTAGAGAAGCAAATCAAGTAATTTAATCAGACATTGCAAAAATTAATTTTAATGAAATTTAATCAATCTATTTAATAAAAATATTTTCAATAAATTTAGATGATTAAAGAGTGTGAACGTAAGATATAACAAATAGATGAAGTGGCTGCTCTAAAAAGAGAATCAGCTAGTGAGCAACAGAGTAAAATTTTTAAATAATAAAACAAATAGGTTATTAAGTATTCAAATAAAAATAGTAAGAAAAAATGTAAAGAGTAGTCTAGCTTAATAAATTTCTGATATCACTATTCGTCTTCGTAAGTAATAGAAAGCAATCTACGACACTCTCAAAAAGAATGGTAACTCAACTGATGATTTTGGTAACACCTTTATGCCATTTAATGACATAGAGTCTCAAAAATAAAGCCAAGTACAAGACGATATTTATGAAGAAATTGCAAAAGGAAGGTAAATAATATTTATTCCAATCAAAATTTTAATTCTTAAGTAAAATTAAATAATAATTTTACATATTTTGAAACAAGTTTAATTTTTATATCAAAAATCTAAATTTTTGGTTTTGAAAATAAACTGATAAATAAATTAGAATATGATGAAATGTCATCTAAAAACTTAATAAACTAAATAAAAAACTCTAAAATTATTTAATCAAATATGTTGAGATTTATGAAGATATTTAAAAATAAATTTTAGCTTTATTAAAATAAAATTTATAGCAAAAAATTAAGTTTAAAACTTAAAAGAATTACTTAAATTTATTTTAATAACATATTAATTAGATATAAAACTACTTTTTACAACATAAGAATTAAATAAATTTTCTGGAATTAAATTAAATTTTTTGTTTTCAAAAACATAATTTTATTATCAAAATGAAATATTTACTTTGCATAAATGTCTGGCCGATAATTAAAGATAGATATTTAAATTACATATTTACTAGTAAAGATTATTAAACAGTAGAAACTTAAAGAAGTATCTTTAAAAGGTCTTTTAAAAAAAATTTTTTGCTTTATGATGTAATACTGGTTGAAATTTGGTGAAAAGAAAAACAAAACAAAAAAATACTTACAAAAATCCACATATTTATTTTTAATAATTTTGCAAATGAATATTATAAATAAATAGATAGATAATAGACAAAATAATTTATTGGCTATTTTCTATCGTAAATAATGTCTAACCTCTATTCTAATATTTTTATTTTTGGATGTTTATTTTGAATCCTATCGAAACATTATGATACTTATATTTAAAAATGTAGAATTCTCATAAATTAAATTAATAAATAGAGAAAAAGATATTAATCAGTTAGTTGACCAAATTAACGAGTTATCAGATATTTACAAAACTCTGCATGTCCTTGTAATTGACTAAGGAACACTTTTAGATAGAATTGACTTTAATATTTCAGAAACTAAAAATAATGTTGTAAAAACAAATTAACAGTTAAAGAAGGTAAAAAAATTTAATTTTCAGCTTTAAATTTTGTTTAATTTACTTAATTAATTTAAAGGCCCTTAAACATTAAGAAAGTCCTTTTGCACAACGAGTAATACATGCTTTAATTGGTTTTATAGTCTTCTTTTCTTTAGTGCTGATTTTAAAATACACTTCTTGAGCTAATATAAAATACTATTTATATTCATTGAATTTTCAAATTATAATTAAATTAACTAATTTAAGGAGCTTAAATGCTTATATTAACATAATTTTTCATTAAAGAAACAAAGTTTGATAATAGCTTTGTAAATTTTATAACAAAGCAGCGACTTGACATTAAAATCTATAAATTAATAATTAATATTTATAAACTTAAAGTAGTATTTATATCTTTATCATTATATTTTATTTGTATATACAATATATTTATTATATCTAATCTTTAAAATAAATCAAGTATTTTATTATTTTGAAAGAATTAAACAACGAACAAGGTTCTTTATCAATTTTTTTGAGAAAATTTAAAATTAATTTATATGATAAATAATTTTTTGGTTAAGTGAAATATATTAATGTTTTAAATTTTATATTTTAATTTTTCAAAAATGTTTTACTTGGAAAATCATCTAGTAAATATTTTCTAATTAACTTTCTCTCAAAAATAAGCTTTAAATACATATTATTTTAGACTTTCATCATCAAAATTTAACAATTATTTATTTACCTATAAATATAAAAGAAATTGGTTCTATCTCTAATAACTTTACTTTTTATCTAAGTAACCTATGATAGTATTAACAATTTTTCTATAAAGCTGTAAAATTGCTAACAGTAACTCTAACTAATTTGTATAATTTAACACTTTTAAATTAAAAACAAATAATTTTAATGTATGAAAATAACCATTTTCCTTAAATCGTATTGATGTTGTGCTCCTTATTTAAATTGAATTCATTAATTTTTTTCAAAGTATAATTCTCAAATATTTATTTAGCAATAGAAAATAAAAAATTGGATCTTGTGTAAAATTCAAGCATTTAAAGCTACTTCATTAGTGGTAAAAATTAGATTACAAAAATATTTTTCTCATTTTAAAGTTATTAATTTATATTAAACTCAAAAAAATGTACTAGTGTATTTATTATTGAGAATTCCTACAAAATTGATATATTATTTATTAAACTGATATAAAAAACATTATGTTTTTAAATGACAAAGATATTTTTTTGTTATTAGATTTGTTCCTTAATAATTTAAGATTTTGCAAAATTAAAATTAAATTAATTAAGAAAGCAGACAAATTAATTATAAATACTTAGAAAAATATTAATAATTATAAATCCAACTAACTAAATAACTATAAAGCAATCAATTTTTGTCAACATTAAAAAAATAAATAATTTCTGATTAAAAAAATTTGAACAGACAAACAAATAAACAAACAATAAATAAAAAAATCATAATTTTTTTATTCTTATTCATTAAATTTAAAATAGTAATTTGCATTTTAAATTATAGTCAAACAAATTTTTAATTTAAAATCAAACTCAATAATCCGATAATCAAATTATTCTAATGAAGTTGCTTAAGAGAGTAACTCTAAAAAATATAGAAAATTACAATGATGTAATAAGCTTGGGAGGAAATTTATTGTTAACTTATAGAGTTGATCACTCAGAGAGGTAGACTCACATGTGTTTGATTAATGAGAAGACAAAAAAAATAATAAAAAAATTAACTATTTCTTTTACATTTAAAACTATTTATGCTAAAAAACAAAACGTATTTTTTATAGACTAATCTTAACTTTACAAAATTGAAAACTTAAGCGGAATTCCAATAGTAAGGCAAATAAAATCTATAATTGGTGAGAGCAATAGCTAAAACTCTTATTCTAAACTGACTGTTAATCCTACTTTTTCAAGTTACAAATAGCCGTTTGTATATAGAAGTAACTAAAATGAACCATAAGACTTCAAAGAAGCTGCACAAAGAATATTAACATAAGATTGTTTTTAAATTTAAAACTAATTATTGCTCATAACAAACTAAAAATATTTAATAACTGCTTTCAAATCTAGTAATTAAATTTCACTACTCAACTATTAGGGTAATTTAATTAAATAAATACAAATTCAAAATATTAAGCATGGAATTGATCATCTCCTTCCTTTAGAAAATAAAAATGATAAAATACTAATCATTTCACAGAATAAAATTTTTATTATATTTGATCTAATTAGTTAAAGAATAATAAAAAAAATAAAAATTCCATTTAGCATAGGAGAAGGATAGTCTAACTCAGTCAAAATTACTCATGTGTAAAAAAACGAGTATTTAATTAACTACTTTGAAAATCTGCAAGTATTAGATTTCGATGAAACCAAAATTAAATCTAATATCTATATTGATTCTAACCATGATAATTCTATTCTGTCCAACCACAAAGAGAAAATTTAAAAAAGTAATTCTATTTAAATTGATACTAAGCCTGACCTCCAATAGCAATCGCCGAGAATGTTTGTATAAAATATGATTAAAATTAACAATTCTACTTTTATAGGCTAGTACACTCTTTAATATTAAGGAGATAGCAGGCTTTTTTTTATTGATTTTGAAACCAAAGTAATTAATACGCATTACTTTGATTAAAATATTAAATTTATTAAATTAAAAAAAGAATAAAATAATTAAAATTCTTAGAAACAAAATACTCTAATGATGTTTAACCCAAACCATTTGTCAAATTTCCTGTAATTAAGTTTTTATACTTGTATGTGAAACAAAAGTCAATTTTTCAATAAATTTAATATATAAAACATTTATTTTTAATATACTTTAAAATGAATGAAATATTTATTTATAGTTGTAAATATTAATTTTTGAATATTAGAATCATTAGGTTCATTAAGGAGAATTAATTTAACTAACTGTGAAATATTCTTCTTTTAATTAAAACATCTAAATAAGATTTGTTAGGAAATTTTTTATTTATGGCTATTACATATATTGTTTTTTTGTATGTTAATTGTTTTGTAGCTATTAGATTGATCATCTTAATTTAGCGTCTTATAAGTATTTTATAAGAATTTAATTATGTTAGATTTTATCAAAAATTAACTTTCTCCATCAAAAAATATGAGCTTTAAAAGCAATCTACAATGCAACAATCAATAATCTTTTATAAATTATTCATAATTTAACTATAAATCACAATATTATTAAACGCAATATTCAAGGAATTAAACAAAAATAAAGAATGGGATAAGCAATTCAACTGGCTAAAAATACTGAATCTATTTAACAGGGCAAGACTAATTTTGACATAAATGATTTTGATTTAAATGACAGCGATAGAGAGGATTTCGACAACTATGTTGACATTCTATTTGTTCTTGAAAAATCTGGGTCTATGTAAGCATATATAGAATAAGCTAAATATACTATCTGTAAAATAGTAGAAAAATTTAAAAATAAGGAGTATGACTTAAAATTTTCTCTCTGCACATACATAGTAAATTAATATAAAAGTCTAAATTAATTTTAAATACTTTATTATAAAGGATCATGAACCTTAAAGCCAAATTCTGACAGACTTTACTGACCTGTGCAGTGGTTAGTAGATTGTTAAGATACTTCATACTGTAATTGCTACTGGAGGAGGAGATCTTCCTGAAGCTGTTATGGATGGCTTGAGGGATGGAATTACAAAAACTTCATGGAGAAAAACTGTTATTGGAAAAGATGAAAAGTCTCAGAGATTTTTGTTTCATATTTGTGATGCTCCTCCTCATGGTGAGGAATATGGTTATCCTAGCATTGATAAGTAATGGTCAATTAATGGTTGTCCTTGTGGAACAAAAAGAGAAGATATCAAAAATTTACTCTAATTACACGACATATAATATTTTTTGATCAAGCCAAATGATTATATTTCTAAAATGGAATAATTATTTAAGGAGTGCTTTGGAGATTATTATAAAGATACAATTAATCTTTGTGAAAATGTCCAACAAATAGATAGCAAAACAAAAATGTGGGAAGGAGTTTTAAGTAATATTGAGAAAAATGTTTCATGAAAATAAAATAAAACAAAACAAAGCACTGGTAATCATGAAGACGACTTAAACTTTATTATTGCTTTATTAAATATGCGTGTTTTTTCAATTTAAAATATTAATAAAACATAAACTCATATCTATTTTAAGTATTTATTTTAATTTAGTAAGCTTAATTAAATTTATTTTCCTTTTTTTAGTAACCGTAAATCCTCATTATTTAAATTCCCTTATCCCCAATTCTTAGAAACCTAAATTAGTGTTGTTTATTTTGATAACTTTTTTTATTATTTTAAATTTTATTTTAATTAATAAAATAGTATTTATTACTATACTATATATTTCCTGCTTAAGAAATAATTATTTGAGAATAGCAAAATTTATTTTAATATTTTTAGGAAAATTTTATACATTTATAAATAAAATAGAAATGACTTTCTATAAAATGTCTTGTATTTTTTATTTATTCAAAGAACAATCATAAATAAATAAATAAGTTAGATATTAATCACCTAATATTGATGGAGAGAGAGATTAATAACTTAATTTTGGAGAAAATAATGCTTTTTATTTTTTCTCAGATAAATAAAAAAATTATTTTCAAATAGCATAATTTATTTTTTTTTTTATAGCAATTAATATTTAAATTAAAATATATTTTTCTAATTCAGTTGATTTTAAATTTTTTTTTATATTAGGGTGATAAAAAGTTAGAGTAAATTAATAAATGAGCATTTCATTTATATCATTTTTAATTAAATAAATATAGAAAATAATTATTTTAATAAATAGAAAAGAGACAAAAGTAATAAAAAATAAAGATAATCTTGAAAAATTTAGAATAAACTTCTTAAAATATTTGAAAGTTATTTAAACTTTTAAAGTATTTTTTCTTATTCAATATTATTTTATTTAAATGACAAATTTAATTAAATATTTTAATAAAAAACACACATTTAAATATAAATAAACTAGTGAAATTTTATTAAAAGCTAAATATTTCAATAGATATCTAACAAACCTATATTTGGCCAGTTTCCTTTCTTTACAACTTCCCAATAACATTCTTTATATTTATATTCTTTGCCACTTGTTAAACTGTTATCCCGCTGCTTCGTTTTCTTTTAGAATCAATTAAGTTCATTAAGGAGAATTTATTTCATCAACTGTAAAATAATTCTTATATTAATTAAAATATCTAAATAAGATTTGATTTTGATTAGGAAATTTTTAATTATGGCTTTTACATATATTGCTTGTTTTTTTGTAGTTTGTATATTGTTTTGTAGCTATTACATTAAGCATCTTAATTTAGCGTCTAAGAAGTATTTTATAATAATTAAATTATATTAGATTTTATCAAAAATTCTCTTTCTCCATCAAATTAGATTAGGAAATTTTTAATTATAGCTTTTACATATATTTATTTTTTTGTAGTTTGTTAATTGCTTTGTAGCTATTAGATTTAGCATCTTAATTTACCAAATTATGTATTTTGATTAGAAATTAATTATGTTAGATTTTATCAAAAATTTGCTTTCTCCATCAAAAATATGAACTTTAAAAACAATCTACTGTGCAACAATCAATAATTTTTAATAAATTATTCATAAATTAATTATAAATCAACAATATTATTACCCAAAATATTCAACGAATTAAACAAAAATAAAGAATGGGATAAGCAATTCAACTGGCTAAAAAAACTGAATCTATATAAAAGGGATAAACAAATTTTGACATAAATGATTTTGATTTAAATGACAGCGATAGAGAGGACTTCGACAACTATGTTGATATTCTGTTTGTTCTTGATTAGTCTGGGTCTATGTCAACCTATATTAAATAAGCTAAATAAACTATTTGTAAAATAGTAGAAAAATTTAAAAATAAGGAATACGACTTAAAATTTTCTCTCTGCACATACATAGTAAATTAATTTAAAAGTTTAATTTAATTTTAAATACTTTATTATATTTAAAAAGGATCATACACCTCAAAGCGAAATGCTGACAGATTTTACTGACTTGTGCAGTGGATACTAGATTGTTTAGAAACTTCATACGGTAATTGCTACTGGAGGAGGAGATATTCCTGAAGCTGTTATGGATGGCTTGAGGGATGGAATTACAAAAACTTCATGGAGAAAAACTGTTATTGGAAAAGAAGAAAAGTCTCAAAGATTTTTATTTCATATTTGTGATGCTCCTCCTCATGGTGAGGAATATGGATTTCTTAGCAGTGATAAGTAATGGTCAATTAATGGTTGCCCTTGTGGAACAAAAAGAGAAGACATCAAAAATTTACTCTAATTACACGACATATAGTATTTTTTGATCAAGCCAAATCATGCTATTTCTAAAATGGAGTAATTATTTAAGGAGTGCTTTGGAGATTATTTTAAAGATACGATTAATCTTAGTGAAAATTTCCAATAAAAAGATAACAAAACACAAATGTGGGAAGGTGTTTTAAGTAATATTGAGAAAAATGTTTCATGAAAATAAAATAATACAAACTCTTTCTTAAATATTAATATATGTTCAATTTAAAATATTAATAAAGTGTAAACTCATATTTAATTACTTATTTTCAGTTAATAAGCTTAATTAAATTTATTTTCCATTTTTTAAATAACTGTAAATCCTCATTATTTAAAATAGCTTCACCTCAATTCTTTATAATTAATACCTCTATGAAATCTATGCAAAATAAAAATGTTAATTAATATTTAAATTAAAATTTTTTCTCTAATTAAGTTAATTAAAAAATTTTTTTTTATCCATTTAGGTGATAAAAAACTAAGTTAATATTTTTTTAAAAAAACTTTTGAAATACATCAACATAAAAAAGAGAACAGACTTGTTAGTGATTACTCAAAAATAATATCGTTTTTAAGTGATGACTAAATTCTTTTTATATTTTCTAAATGTTAAAGTAAATTAATAAATAAGCATTTCAGGTTTATAATTCATGTTTAAGATCTTTCTTAATTTTATTTTAATTTTCAAATTCGATTTTTTAATTTCTCATAAAGTAAAATTTATAAAAAATATAAATATATATAGTTATCGTTTATTTTAGCCATGATTTATTATTATAATTAAGTAATTAAGAAAAAATATATTCTAATAAAAGGAAATGATCAAAAATAAATATATATAAATATGTTTTAGAAAAAATTTGAAATAAAATTCTTAAAATATATTTTGGAAGCTAGTTAAACTTACTTACTTTTAGAGTATTTTTTCTTTTTCTAAGTTATATTATTTTATTTTAATTATATAAAAAATTTAATTTAACACTTCAATAAATCACAATTTTCAAATATGAAAAAAAATAATGAAATTTTTTATGGCTAAATATTTCAATAGATGTCTAATAGACCTAGATTTGACCAGTTCCCTTACTCTCTAGCTTCCCAATAACCGCCTTTATATTTATATTCTTTGTCACCTGTTAAACTGTTAATTTTTTCTTCGAAAAAAACTGTTTAATGGTGCTATCCTGCTGCTTCGTTTTCTTTTCTACGGATTCTCTGCTTTTATTCAAGACGAAGTTTTTCATCTGCAGCTATAGATAACAAACCGAATTCTAATGCTCTTTAATCTGGACGAAGTCTACTGTCAGTGGGTGGTATTTTCTTTAACATTTCCTTTGTAAGATGATTAAGCTAGAATGAATGTTGTGTATAGTGATAATATCTATCAGAGTTTGTAGGTAAAGGAAGACGTTTCCAAACTGTAATTACTTAATTAGTCTCTAAGTTTGTACATTTTAAGTCTTCGTTCCATTTTCCTTTTAGCGAATATAAACTTTTTCCATCTTTATTTTTGACCCATCCTTCTACTTCGAATTACCCTGAATTGCTCCAGGCACTTTTCTCTTTCAAATTTAGTTAGCCATAAACACCTGTAGTATAATTTTTGAATTCCATTTATCCAAAATGATCTATGTACATAGAACCAACCATTATATTTTTTACTGATGAAGTGCACTTTTTAAAAACTATATCATGTTTTAATCTATTTAGCTTAATATACAAATAACTAACAGGGTTTATTTCAAAAGATCTTCCCCAAAACTAGCTTCTTATGTTAGAATCACCATGGAAAACATAGTTTTTACTCTCAACAAAGCATGCTGAGATAGGAGGATGATGACTTACTTACTCAGCAATAAAGGTGTATCCCTTTTTATCGTCTATATACTCAAAGGTTTCCCCTAATAAAGGATTGAAAGGTTTTTTAACTCTGTTTATAGTACCTGCAAGATCACTAATACCGAAAGCCATACAATAACATAAAGCAAGTCCTTAATCATCAGTTGCATTAGCTGAATCTAATAAATCTGAATATTCCATTTGTTCTGCAAGCTTTTAAAGCATACTCATTGGCTCGTTAAAATAGACTAAATAAAAAAATTCAATTAATTAAATATTTTTGATTTTAATTTATTGAAATTAATAATAAAATGAGCAGCAGGGTTCAATCAAAATTTAATTTTTTGTTATAAAATTTTATTATAATTACAAAAATTTTATGAAAATAAAATAATAATTAATTAAATAAATAAATAAATTACCTGGTACTGCAAACTTGGATAAATCTTTACCGATTGCCTCTCTAAATACAGACCACATGTTAATTTTTTCATTGGGGTCTTGCTATATAGGTAAAGTTAATCTTGTAGGCTAATCGGATATATCTATAGCTTTATAAGTAGGATTTTATGTTAATAACCTCTAATTAATTTATTGATAAAAATGTATGAAGAAAAATTATAATTAATATATTTAATATTTACATATTTTATTTGACATGATTTATTCAAATATGATAAAAGTTATGTCTAACCACTGTCTGTAGCTTTTGTTGTTTATTATTGATTTGAAAACTCTGCTAATATTAAAGCAGATTCTTATTCTTTATAGAAGTAATCATCTTCTATTATACTCTAAAATTCTGTATTATCATCATTTATTTCATAGAATTTTTCTTCTTCTGTATCCTTTCTGTATAATTTAGGGTTACGATTAAATCTTTCTTCATTAAAATTTCCTTCTAACTCATTTGCAATAACTTGAGAAGCTCTAAATAGCCTCTTTCTTTCTGTTTCGATTGTTAATAGACAATCCTTTAAATTACTCTAATTATATTTTTGTGAAATTAATAATATTATTAAATAATCTACGTTTGATAAATTTTGTACAAAATTTATTCAAAGTATGTATTAAATCTTTATCTCTCAAATAAAAAGCTAGATTTAAGGAAAGTAATAAAAACTGTTAATATTTTTTAAAACAAAGCAAAAAAGTTTGAGAGTTAAAATTTATGATTCTAACTCTAAAATTTTCTACATTTTTCCCACGTTTTAAAATCTAAATAACATTTTGAGAATAAGATAATAACAATTAAAAAATGAAGCCCTATAAAAGCTTTCTAAAATGCTTTGAATTGGAATATTTATTTATCAGGCAAGTAGTTATCACCTTTGTTCTACCACTAGAACTGTAATATTTTTAACAATAAAATTAAACTACCTTGATATTATGTGCTTCATTCTATAGAGAATCAAGGAGCTTACTTATCCCAGGATTATTTGTTAATTTAGGGAGCAATTCTGAAAGTATTTCTTCAAATCTAGCGCCTGCTTCAAATGATTCTATCAATAACTTTTCAATTTTTTCTTGATTTGAATCTAATAGCATTCGCTTAAGCTTAGGATCAAGATTTTTAGAGTTAGCTGTGATTTCTTAAAGTTAATCTATTGACATCTCATCAAACTCTCTTTAGGCTCTAATTTATGCATCTTTTAATGCCTTAAACCACTTTACCTTCTAGTCAACATCTGGTGCTATAACTTCTATCTGCTTTGTCCCAGAGTTAATTACAATCTTACATGGATTTTCAGGAACTGAAATGATATCTGCTATCTTCAAATGGATTGTTCCTTTCTTATCTAATCCTTGCTTTTCAGAATAAATCAAACAATCTTGATGCAATATAAAATATCTTTCCTTCCATTACAGAATTGGATTGATCCACTTCTTTAAATACCCTTCCATTATTACTTTTTTTATTCAATTTTACTGGCAATTAAATAAAGAAATAAATAAATTATAATTCAATTATGCTAAAAATTATATTCAAGTTGGTACTTTTGATAAATTACTTATCAAATTCAATTATTTATAGATTTGATATAACTTTTATTAAATTTTTTATATGGACTATTTTTAAAAATTGATTAATTTATTATAACTCAAAATTTATATTCATGATTTTTGTTTTTATCAAGGTCAAAAACTTACAAATAATAGCTTAAATGTAAGAAATAGATATATTTCATTAAATTTTTGATATAATTAACTACCTGTTAAGCTTCAATTATATATTAATATTATATTTATTTGTTTATTTTAAAATAAATTTTTTTAAATAATTAAATTGAGTTTGATTTTATTTGAAAGAATTAATTAGGATATTTGAGAAATTACATTAAAAGTAAATATTTTAGGGTAAGAATAATTAATAAACAATAAAAAGTTTTAAAACCAAAGAAAATAACATAAAATATTAGTTAAAGAAAGAAAATTAATTTTATTTTTGCATGAAGGAATCAAATTAATATTAGAACTTAATCGAATAATAATCAATTTAAATATTGCAATTAGTATTTTTTCTTATCTTAAATCATAATTAATTAATCAGTAAATATCCAATAAACCTAAACCAGACCAGTCTCCTTTATCTCTAGCTTCCCAATAGCCACCCTTATACTTATATTCTTTTTCACCTGTCAAAGGATCCATTTTTTCTTCAAAGAAAACTATTTTGTGATGTTGGCCGGATTATTCATTTTCTTTTCTGCGTGCTCTCTACTTTTATTCGAGACGCAATTTTTCTTCTGATGCAATAGAGAGCAATCCATATTCAAGAGCGCGTTAATCAGGACGCAGTCTGCTATCTGTAGGGGGTACTTTCTTCATTAAATCTTTGTAAAGATGATTTAACTAGAAGGCATAGGTTGTGTAGTGGTAGTATCTATCTGACTTTTCAGGTAGAGGATAGCGCTTCCATACAACAGTGGTTTGATTTGTTTCGGCATTTGTGCACTTCAAATCCTCATTCCACTTACCCTTTAAGGTATATAAGACTTTTCCATCTTTATTCTTTACCCAACCATCTATTTCATATTGGCCTTTGTCACTAAACATTCCTTTTTCTTTTAAAGTCAGAATACCATTGACACCTGTTGTATAATTTTTGTATTCCATTTCACCGAAATGATCTAAATATATCTGTCCAATAATAATATTTTTGGCAGCTGTTGTGCATTTTTTAAAGACTATATCGTGGTTCAATCTTCTAAGTTTTATATGCATATTACCTAAAGGTTTTACCTCAAACGATTTTCCCCAGAACTAACTTTTTATATTAGAGTCTCCCTAGAAAATATAGTTTTTACTTTCTGCATATCCAGCCGAAATAGGAGGATGGTGGCTAACCTGCTCTGAAATAAAGCGATAGCCTTTCTTTTCATCAACAAATTCGAAAGTTTCTCCTAATAGAGGGTTAAAGGGTTTTTTTGTTCTGTTTATAGTACCAGCATAAACACTTACACCAAATCCCATACAATAACAAAGTGCTAAACCTTAGTCATCAGTTTCATTAGCATGATCTAGTGTTTCTGAATATTCCATCTACTCTGCTAATCTTTGAAGCATACTGATTGGTTCATTAAGATAAACTATTTTTCATTTAAAAAATTAACAAATATACCAAATAAAACTTTTATTTAAATAAATTGCGAAAAGACTTCCAACAAAAATCAAATAAAATTTATTTTATTAAAATAAAGTTTAAGAAAAAACGAAACTTACCTGGAACTGCAAATTTAGTTAAATCTTTTCCAATAGAGTCTTTAAGAATAGACCAAACATTTATTTTTTCATTAGGGTCTTTTTCTATAGGTAGTGTATATCTGACAGGTTCGTCTGGGATTTCAGTAGCTTTGTATGAAGGGTTCTATGTCAATAATCTCTTTTTAAAAAAAAAGAAATTTAATTTTAGATTTAAACTCAAAATATAAGTAATTAATTACATATCTAACTGGACAGTGCTTGCTGAAATAAGAAACTAGAGAGCTTTGTGAAATTTTATTATTGGGTTATCCTGATTTAGCAACTACATTGTCATTAGCGAAATTTTCTAATATCATAACTGACTGTTGTTCCTTATAAAAATAATCGTCTTCCATAATACTTTAGAATTCAGTATTATTTTCATCCTCTATATCATAAAATTTATGCTCTTCTGTGTTATCTCTATTATATCCTCCGTTACGAGTAATTCTATCCTCTACAAAGTTTCCATCTAACTCATTTGCTATAACTTATGAAGCTCTGAATAATCTCTTTCTTTCATTTTCGATTGAAAGGAGACATTCCTTTAAAGTACTCTAATTTATTATTTAAAATTATTTTCAGACAATTTTTAATATAAATCTTCATAATTTAAACTCTTAACTGCAAATTATTATAAATAATTATGATACTAAAAGCTTCTTTTTTTTAACTGTTAAAGAAATGCATATTCAATGAAGATAGGTTTTACAATTTAAAGTTTAGTGTAGAATATAAATTAGTTTGCTTAAGAATAACTATCAATCAACCAGATAAATTTGGAAGGATACTTGCTAAATTTTGAAATAGAAATGAAATTAATATGCTAAAATACATTAATTTATTTTTATTTATCTTAATTTATTTAATGTATTTGAGTTTTATTTATTACTTATAATCTCTATCTATAATAGTATTTTTTAGTTAGATATAAATGTAATAAATTTAAATAATGATTTATTTTTGAATGATTAAAACCTTATTTTGCTATCTACTAAATGATGTGATAAATGATGCTATGTTATATTTTAATTGAAAAAGTATTTTCAAATTATTTGTAAAATGCATGAATATTTTTTGAATTTTTATTCTATATCTATCTGCGTTGATTGAATAATAAAAAAAATAAATACGTTTTATACCTATAATTTTGTATTGAATTTTTTGGTATCTAAAAAAATTATTTACCTTAATTATATGAGCTTCAGTTTGAAGGGAATCTACCTATTAGGAGATTTATGGATTATTTGTTAGTTTAGGAAGCAAATAAGAAAGAGTTTCATCAAATCTAGCACCTGCTTCATAAGCTTCTACGAGTAATTTTTCTATTTTTTCTTGGTTTGTTTCCATTAGCATACGCTTGAATTTTGGGTCAAGATTCTTAGAAGATTTTGTTACTTCTTTAAGTTATTCTACAGACATTTCATCAAATTCTCGCTATGCTTTAATTTAAGCATCCTTTAATGCATTGTACCACTTAACTTTAAGCTCTACACTTGGAGCTCTAACTTCTATTTGCTTAGTTCCTGAATTTATAATTATTTTTGTAGGATCTTCTGGAACTTAGATAATATCTGCTATCTTAAGATGAATGGTACCCTTCTTTTCAGAACCTTGAGTTTCTGAATATATCAAACAATCTTCATGCAGGATAAAGTAGCGATCTTTCCAGTAAAAGGGATTAATCTATTTTTTTAAATATCCTTCCATCTGTTATTTTCTCTATTTTTTATTTGTTGTTACTTTAAATATATTTTTCTCTTGCTTGCTACTTACTGTTACTTAAAAAATTAATTAGTTTTTTCTTCTAATAAATTAATATTTGTTTATTTTATAATAGCAGAATTAATTGTGCTATCGTAAATAGTCACTTATTTTATAAAGAATAAAGAGAGATTGAATATGTACTTCAGGGATTATTCTGTATACTTTTTGAATAAAAAAGCAAATTATATTTTGAACAATCATCAAATTATTTATCAAGTGCATCACTGTTGATGCTTGTAATAAAAAATTATTTAAAATAAAAATTTGTTCTCTCATTCTAAACTCCTCTATCTTATAATAGCCTTACTCATTCAAGTATTTAGAAGTGTACCATATTTATTCATATTATGTAATTTCATTAAACCTAAAAATAAAAAATTCAATAAAATAAATGGAATTTTAGAGGTCATTTTATATTTTTTGTATTTGTCTTATATATAAACTAATTTTGCTATTATTAGGATAAAGGTTCTTAAGAGCTTTAGTACTAACATATCTTTCAAACTCTTACTATCAAAATATTTCGTTGTTACTTTTAATTGTTACTTCAAAAAAAGCCAGATATTCAATATTTAATGAGTTCTGAAATAACCTATGTTTACTAAAGCCAAAAATAATTGAGGTATTATGTATATCTTACTATATAAGCTCAATTTATAAATTTCTAAAACTAAAAATTGTAAGCTTTGTTTGGAATAAAATAATTTAAGAATAATAAATTAATTAATATATCTTACTAAAAAATTAGTATTCATTAAATAGATCTTAAAAAATAAAAATTAATGAACAACATTACAATTTATAGCAACAACTACAATCATAGATAATAAATATTTTAATTCAAACTAAAAATATGTAAGTTTTAAATATTTTAAAATAAATTTAATATTAAAATATTTTAACTTTTATTATTATTTAAAATAAATTAATTCTAAAAAAATATTAATATTTAGAATTTAAAATATTTATTTGCATACATACTGTCTTAGATAAATTAATAATTTATTTGCTAAGTTTACTTCAAAAATGAACTTTGAATGAGAATTAATCACTTAAATGGGAAAAATAAATAGATAACTAAATAAGATTATAATAAAGGAATGACAATAAAGATTGAATATTATTGAATAATAAATAAAATGAAAAAAGGAGTATAGATGATGTAGCAAGTAGGAGAGATTTATATGTAGCTATGAATAGGACTAAATATATTGCAAAGTGTTTTAGCCAAAAAAAGTGAAGAAATAATTTAAAGCTTTTTCATAATGAAAGAAATGAAGGGATAATAAATAATAGTAATAATAAAAAACCAAACAACGAATACATACATTCATACATTCATATATACATATTGATTTATTGATATTATTATTTATATATACATACATAAATATATAAAAGATATATTTAGTTAAAATCTGCATATACACTTATATATTAATACAAATAAACAAAAATATTTAAGCATCAATCAAAAAAGAAAGACACAAACAAAATAAACTACTTTCAAATTCAAAAATGGGAAAACAATTAGATAAGAAGAAGCCTGCTGTTTAGAATAAGGATAAAAAAGAAAAGAAGACCATGAAGTAACAAAAAAAACATAAGAAGGATGAAAAATAAGTTAAGGATTCTCAAATTAAGATCGGTCCTACCAAGAAGATTGCAAAATTAACTAAAGAAGCTGTCATTAAGAAAGATGGTGAAAAAAAAAGCAAAGATGAAAAGAAGCCCGTCTCCACTGAACCTCTCGTTCAATTAAGAGATAACGTTAAAGATTCATTAGCTTTCGTCAAGAAGAAATAGGTCGATTAAAACGCTTTGAAGAAGGCTGTCAAGAGATTAGAAGATAAAGCTAATAGAGTTCCTATTAAAGATACTCCATAAGTAATTAAACACATTACAATCAATATATATTGATCAAGTCCAGTTAAATTTTTAGATCAATAACAATATTTTTTCATATTTGTTTATAAAACCATTTTTTTAAATTATTAACAGAATTGCACAATCTACGTAGGTCACTTGCCTTATGGTTTGCTTGAAGAATAATTAAAGACTTATTTTGAACAATATGGTACCATCGTTAATATTAAAGTTGCTAGAAGTAGAAAGGTTAGCATAAAATTATTTGTTTAATTTCCTATTTTTTTATTTTAAGTACAAAAAACACATAATAATCATAATATTTATCCACTGCCTTTCCAATAATTTAGATATTATCTATTAATAAGTAGAAATTAGCAGCTTTATTCCAGTTTTCTACTTAAAAACATTAATGTTATCTTCGATTTCTTTTATTGTTCTTTTTTGTAGAATTTAGCTTCAATAGCAAAAATAATAATAGCTAAATTTTGGAATTATTTGTTTCAAAATTATTTAGAAAATTTTTAATAATTTTATTTAAAATATTTATTTAAATATAACATAGACTGCCAGATCTAAAGGTTTTGCCTTCATTTAATTTGAACAACCAGAAGTTGCTGCTATTGCTGCAAAGGCTATGAATGGTCATATGGTTTTAGGTAAAGTTTTAGAAGTCCATGTCTTGCAACAAGACTAAAAGAACCCCTTCAGCTTTAAATATGGAAAGAAATAATTCAAGTTCATTAACTGGAAACGTATCTTCATTAAATAAAAGAATTCAGTAAATATTTTCACAACAAGCAATTATTCAATAATTATTTTGGATTTTTTTAAACTTTTACATTTTTATTTAACTTGTAGGAAAAAGATCCTGAAGAAGTTAAAAAGGGAGTAGAAAAATTACTTAAAAACGAAGAAAAGAAAAGAGACAACTTGAAGAAGCTTGGAATAGATTATGAATTCCCAGGATTCGTAATAAAATATAAATTAAAACAAATTATTAATTTTATTTTTTATTAATAGAAAGCAATCGTTGATGGTAAAACTGTCATTGAAGCTGACGATTGATTAGTTGAGCTAACTAATAAAATAAATTAAAAATCAATAGAATTTAGTTATATAATCTAAAAGTAATATAATAAACAAGGTTAATGACTTAATAAATTTGTTTAGAATAAATCAAGATTAAGGTTACTTATATAGCAAGTATGGTATCTTAAAAGCAAATAAATAAAGAATCCATCTTAATAATTTTGGCTTAGTGTGATATTTAAAAGGGAAGCTTACTTTTTGTTAGATGTTTGACAGTTTTTTAAATATAATTTAAGGTTTTCAACAAAGAACATTTTAAGACTAGCTTTAAAAATATTATGGAGACGATGATATGATTATGATTAACCAATCAAATCAAATACAATATACTACTATTTTTATAAAATATTATATCTAAATATAAAAACACATACATACATTGCTTGATTCAAATTGAGTAAATTAATAAAATTAATTATCTACAAATTAATAACATAATATTTTAACTGATTTATATTAATTTAGCTCTTGCTATAAATAAACAAAAAACACACTACATTAATTCTTTATATTCGTATTTGCTAATTTAACTAATCTTGATAAATTCTTACATCAATTTCAAAATTAATTCTAACTCTTTCTAATCTTTTATTAAAATAAATTGTTAAATCATATAAAATATGAATCTACTTTGAAAAAAATAAGAAAAAAAGATACATTTTAATTTTTTATTTTGTTAATTTGATTAAAAGATAAAAATTGAAAATATCAATTCATAAATTTATATTTAACAATATTTAATATGAAGAAATTAATATTAATTATAGGTGGATAATTGTTCAAAATCAATAAAATAACAAATTTATTTAAAAAACTTTTGAAAATAGAAAGCAATAAAAATGTTTTTAAAATAAATTTAACAAAAATTTTGGATCAAAAAAGTTTATTTATTTTATATAATTTAATTAATAGATTTTAGGTTACAAAAAATATATTTAGTAATTAAAAAAATGAATTTTATATTTGAAAAATTTTATTTTGGATGTAAAATGAATTATTAGTTGATGAATTAAATATTTATAAGAGAGGAATGAATGAATACATATGTTGATTTATATTCAATATATATTCTAATTAAAAATAAAAAGATTAACTAAAATGGTTATGAAAGACTTTCCATTAATAGACTATTAAAATAATACCAAATTAATTAGAATAGATTAATTTATTTATTTAGTTATTTATGTTTTATATAATTTGTTTGATTAATAATAATATAGTTAATAATTAGTTTTTATATTGTTTTTTGAATTAATTATTTTTTAATTTATTACTGCTTTTGTTGTTATTATTGAATTTCTCTTTTGTTTATTGCTTTGAAGAGTTTTAGCATTAATTACTTTAATTTCTACTTATTTCTCATACTTAAATGACTTGCAGAGTTATTTATTATTCCTTTTCTTTTTACTATACTCACAATTATAATTTTAATTAAGGTTAATGAAAATTTTTATTTTTTCATGTAGAAAATCTATCAGCTTTGACTGAAAATTTAATTCAATCATAATCATAGACTCTTTAAAATGGTATTTATTTCAAATAAAAACCATTCTTACTCTGAGTTGATTTCCCATATTATTTTTTGTTTAATTGATTTTATATAGTATGGAAAAACATTATCTCATTTGATACAATTTTGGTTTATTATTGTGATGATAAGCTCAAAGAAAGGAAATAGTTTAACTACATTAAAAGAAGAAATGAGAAATTGTAAAAGTATTTTAAAAATTCTCTCATCTGATGAATAGATTTTATGAAGATAATCCATCTCTTTTGTGTTTTGTGAACGGATTCGAGTCATCATAATCATGTCTATCATATCTAGAACCAGGGAAGACCTTCCAAAATCTTAAGGTTTCGTCGGAAGAGGCTGAGCATACGGTAGAACCATCTGGAGAAAGCGCCATATGTAACACTCTATTTGTATGTCCATGTAACTCAGTAATTTTCTGCATCGATGGGTAACTCCAAACAATCAATTAGTTATCTTAGAACCCATGAGAGCTTATGAGTTCTTTGTCCTAAGGATTCCATAAAATTGAGCATACCTAACTACCACAGTTGATTGAATTGACTAATTCCATTTTATCAGTATTCCAGAACTTAATTGTTTTATCCTAGGTTCCCCCTCCACTTGCTAAAAGATTTTTTTACCAAGGACACCATGCTAGAGCCTTTACAGCTGCTTTGTGATTATAAAAACAGGCACGCTGATAACTTGGAGAAGCACTCTAACTACTTGAACTAGAGGTGTTATTGTTGTTGATATTATTTTAAGCATAATTAATATCCCAAATTCTGAGTGTATTATCGTTACCTCCTGAAGCTAGCTGAGTACCATCGGGAGACCACTTTAATCCACATACCTCCTATTCATGGCCTTAAAAGCGCTTTATTATATTATTTTTTTAACGAATGTCGTGATTAATTATTTAAGTGTCTCTGCTTCCACTTGACAATATGTAATTATTCCAGGATAGTGAAGATACTCTACCGGTATGACCTTTGAGAATTCTGTATGGAATGCACTTTTCAGTATCCCAAAGCTATATTGTATTATCAGAGAAGCCAACGGCCAAGCAATTTTTCTTTTTTAAATTCATCCAGCTGACACTAGTAGCCTAAATATTTTAATTAGCCTTAAAAAGGTTTATGATTTCATATTCATCCCATAAATAAACTTCGCTTCCAAGACATATTGCTAAAGTGCCTTTATTGTCAGTACCACTGTCTCCCCAATCCATTAAATTAAGGTAGTAATCATCGCTAAGTTAAGGTGCATCAAGTATTCTTTCTGGCATAGGAGAAATATATCTCATTATTTTATTTGTTTCCATGAATTGTTGATTTGCTTACTCAAAAGTCTTACTAATGCACTTGTCCAAAGGAATTGGCATGTCTGATTCACTTCTAAAATTTAACACTCTTTTTTTTTGATTTTTCTTTTCCTGCTAAAAGAGGCAGTCTTCCATCAGCTTCTGGTATGAGTTTACGCTGCTATTGCAGTAACTAATATTCAGATTACTGCTATTTATACCTGAAGTTTAAGTGGAAGAGGATGAACTAGCATTATGAATCATAGACTAATTGCTGTTAGTAGTTTATTCATCAGAATTGATTACTCCTGATTGTTGTTAGCTTTATTGTTGATTGAAAATATTGCCTGATCCTGAGGTACCGAAGTGGAAAAAGCTGCTTTGAGTAGTAGCTGTTGTTGATGAAGTTTGAGAAGATGTTTCAAAGTTTTAGGAAATGCATGAACCGTTTTAATTTATGATGTTTTATGTGTTGATATTCTCTTTGAGTAAATATTAATTGTAAGATGTGTTAGTTCCTCTTCTACTTGGGATAAATCTACAATCCTTTATATAAAAAAACAAAAATGTCATAAGATTTATTAAAGAGCCATTTAATAGAATGTTTAAACAAACTCCTTTAATCAGCCACTTCTATTTTAATATTCGCCTCCTTTTGTAAGTCGATCATTGATTGGAACGTCCAAAAGATTGAAGCTTTTAATAATTGGGCATAATTAAAAGAGCGTAATGTTATCAAACACTCCTTTTACAGTAAAAGGAGAAACTAGAAAATGAAGTATTTATTACTGACTAAGCAGGCTTTTCTTTACCACCAAAGAGTGGATTGTTTCCTACTGAATGCTTATTTTTAAAAACGTTTTCATCCTTCCAAAACATGGCAACAAATAGCGCTAGCTCCTTCTAATAATTAAATAATAAGTTTGCTTTTTGACTGATTTTATTTTTTTGTTTGCTTTTTTTTTGTAGGTTAAATGAGAAAATAATTAAATACTTATAAAGACAAAACACCTTTTAAAGAATACAATACCTTCAATGCAAAATCTTAATCAAAATTAATGTTAAAATAATATGTAAATAATATTTATTCAATAATTTTATGAATAAAAATGAATGAATTTTAATATTTTCTTATTTATTTGCAGCTAGCTATCATTCATTTATTCAATCAATCAATCTATCTATCTATATTCGTTGAATATTAAAATTTTTGTTTTTCATTCAATTTGATATTTATTTTTAAAATAAGAAAAACGAAAAGAAAAAAACCTTCTTTTCTTTAAATCTTTGTCAAAACATTGATTTATTTTTGATTTCAGACATCTACATTGAAACAGCTAGCTTTAAATACGAATTCTACGAAAAAAAATTTGGCGCATTTTTCTTATTTTAACTGACAACTTTTACTCCCTAATTATTTTTGCAAATTAATTTTAATCAATTTTTAGTTTTTATAATTTAGCAATTTTTTTTTAAATTAATCCGAGCCATTTTTTAAAAAACTATTACAATAAAATTTAAAAATAAATTGATACTTTAAAAATAAGATATATTTATTTTTCAAAATTAGAAATTTTTGTTAATTTAAATTAGAAAAAAAATTTTAAATATTAATTGATCCCATATATATATATACATACTATTTTTATGTTTATTGAATAAATAGTACTTTATTTATTCAAGTATTATATTTGCATCAAAAATAATATATTTCAGTTACCTGACTCTAGAATAAATAGTAAAACACTAAAAATATATTTTATTCATAAAATTTAATTAATGTATTTTTGATCAAGTTAAAATAGAATTTTAGCTGTTAAATAAAGTGAGTAAAATTTTTCTATGCAAAAAATAGACAAAATATCATATTTGATATTTAATAAAATTGATAATTCAAGTAAAAGTTAATATGTTTTTGATATACAATAAAATGGAAATACACGAAATGATCAACTTGATTATATTACTAAATAAAACCTGCTCATTTCTGTATTTAATTCAAATTTTATTAAGAAAAATAAATATGGTATCAAATAGTATAATCTGAATATTTTAAATTTAAATGTAAAAAATAACACTATTCGTAATTTAATTAAAAGATGTTAAAATATTCAATACTATTTTTTAAGATGGAGAAATGATTGAATCATTTTTGAAAGAAATAAAAATTTTAAAATTAAAATATTTTGATGAAGGAATGAAATAAACATATAAAAATATTTAATTTTTAAAAAAATTACATATGATTAAATAAATATTTGTATATATAATAATAAATTTTAAGTGATCTAAAATAAAGTAACCAATCAGTTAAAGCTTTTTTCAATATAAGTTGTATTTTGCGTAAAAATATCACTTTTATGTGGAATTAAATTTCCTTCTAAAGGATATTTGTTTTCTTAAAAAATCTAGCTTTTTATTATTCTATTTTACAGCATATTTAAAGATGAATTGAATTTTGAGTAAGATAGGTAATTTTTTTCCAATAATTAAGAATGGTCTATAATTGGAGCTAGAATTGATTAATTTTAATAGAGAGCAGAGCAAATTTCTTCCTATTTTGAAGAAATTTAAAATTATTATTTAGGCAGAATGTCTACTTGCTTAGAAGGTATATTTATTTATTATAAAGTTTCATTTTATTAATTTTAGTTAATTCTTCTAATTAAAGTTTAATCTTACTATTTCATAGTAGTTGAGCTTTTTTCAGATAATTAACTCTATTGCCTTATTATTGTTTTAAGCAAATTTTTTGAATCTTCTTTCGTTTATTATAAAGATAGGGATCTATAGATATTTTAAACTTAAGTATCTTTTAAAATAGCTTCTCTAAGATCTAATTTAAGTATCTATTGAGGCTAGAAATAACTTTATTTTTGCTCATAATAAATATTTTACAGAGCTAATTTTAATCTTTTTTTGTATTAAATTTAAATAAAAATTAAGAACTTTTTCAATACTCAATAAGTTTACCTAGTTAAAAAACTAATTTAATTTGAAAAAAGATAAGTCAAAGGTGTTAGTTTACCACTAAACATTAAATATAGTATCTAAAATATCATTACAAAACTATAAATTAACTCCTATTCATATAATATTTAGTAAAAAAATTAAAATTAATTAAAATAAATTTAATAATATTTTTTGTTTAAATTAAAGATAAAAATTAAATTACTATTATTGAGATAGCAAGGGAAATAATAGTTATAATTAATTGAATTAACTATTAATTATCTACATTTAAAAAAGTATCTATTGATTCATAAATGATGTATAAAGCCATAAAGAACTGACAAATTAAAACTGCAACAAAATATCTATTTTTATTAATAAAAAAATATATTTCATAAAAATAATAGAATAATTTTTTAAAAAGAGTTTAGTTTGTTTTTCTATGGTATATACATACCCAGTGTATAGAAATCGAAGAACTGAAATAAATGAAGACATTTTAAAAAGGAATATTCATATATTTAATACTTATTTCAAAATAAATATTTTAAAAGTGTTCATTTTATTTCGATTCCAATGGTATGATCTCATTTATTTTGTTTAGTATAACTTCAAAGCATTTTAAGAAGTATTAATTTAAAAAAAAGAATTTACTTCAAATTGATTGATGTGATACAAATTTAAAAGATGTCGCTATGAAAAAATTGATCTTTGATGCAAGATTTGCAGCTATAACAATGATATATTTTTGATGTCTTATAAATATTACCTTGCAAATTATTTAAATAAATTTGAGTTGGTATTATTAAATATTTACATTAGCTACATAGTTCTACTACTTCAATTTTTTCTTAGTTCACTAAAGTGTTGTATATATTAAAACCCTTAATCAATTTAATTTAAATCTTGATTATAATATTGTTAAGAATATAATTTATTTTTTAATCTTACAATTTCGTTACTAAATGAGGTAGGTATTTCATCTATTTCCCTGTTTTCAACAATTCTTTCTTAAATCTAATTTTCATAATTTTTAACATGAGACATAATAATTCATTTACTAATCATGTTTTACTTGTGGTGGAATCCATCCTGGATCTGTCTTGATCAGTTTAATTAAAAAATATCCAAACGATAAATAATGTGTGATACAGCAAATGATATTAGATTTTATATTTTCTTTCACCTTATTTTTTAGTAACTTTCATCAAAATATTTTAAAAAAGATAATATCTTACATAGATACATTTTATTATTAAGAGTATCCAAGGAATATTCAAAATGGTTAAGTTGAATAGCAGTTTTTTAATACATTTTGAGTGAATAATTACATTTCCTTAAAGGTAGACATTATTAAATATGTCTTTGTAAATTTAGTATTCCTAAATAAATGTTATCTTTAAAAATAATTAAATAAATAAGTCTTTCTCTTTGAAATTCTGTTTTTACATAAGATGGAACAGTATCATCTTTTAAACTTTATTATTTTAGATTATAAGAACTCATTAAATATAATTTATCCTTTTTGAATGTCTTTATTTTTTTTCTATATTCTACTTAGACGAAGTTTTTTTAAGTAAGTTTATTAATTAATCTGTTATTTTTGTTATTGTAAGAAATTTAGAAAAAATTTAATTCAGTAATTAATAATTTTTACAAATCCTAATATAAGATGATCTAAAAACTATAAAGGAAGGCTAATTTACTTTTTATACATTTTAATGCTGCTTCTCTGCAAATAAATCTTAAACAACAAAATTAATTAAATAGTATTATTAGATTTTAAAGAGCTAAAAAAATAAATAGAAAGTAAATAAATAATTATTTTAACATTAAAATAATTTATAATTTATTTTCACAAATCAATATCAATTAAATTATTCTAAAAATAATTACTAAGTTTATGCTAAGCTTTTATTTGGTAGGATTAAAGAAAAAGTTTAAAATACAATAAATGAATGATATAAGTTAATATAATGCAGTAATAAATGATTAATTAATTAATTTTAAAATAATTAAAACAACGTATAAGTGGAGCTAATTCATTCATTTAATTAGCTTATATCCAGCTCTTTTGTTTTACAATAAAAAGTCTTCTTGTTAATCTTTGTAGTATTTTTCTAAAAATATGTTAGCTTCCATTGAATAGGATAAATCCTCTTCTTGCTATTTTATTTTTTCTTGTGATAGTTCTTTGTTTTTTTATCTTATACTTATAATTTATTTTATCATATTAGGACTTATATCGTAAACATTGACAAAAAGTGCTTGATTCATACCTATGAAAGGATTTTCGGCATCTCTATCTATAAATACTCTAATATTATTAACAGCATATACTTCATATCCATCGAAAGTGAATAAAGTTATATCATGAGGCTAAATTATATTATCACCTACTAAATGAGAGATATATTGGAATAGCATTTCTTATATATTTTTTCTATCCATATAATCAAATAGACCTTTCCTCCATATTAATGACTATGCTTATTTCATATCAACGCCTAATAAAGCTAAAAAGGCTTCTGAATAACCGAATTTGCGCATTTCCATCTCAAAATTTTGCAAATTAAATTAATTTAAGGTGTATGAAAAGAAAGGGTGATTTTAAGCTATTTCTTGTATTATTTTTTAGGTTTTCAAAACAAATTAATCAAATTTGGAATCAATTTTAGTTAGAAATTAATTTGTCACTTATTGATACTTTAAGAGTTCTTATCTCTACAAATAGCTATTAACAAATTTTTGGTACTTTTCAAGCATTAAAGAACATTTATAAACCCTTTAACTTGAAACTGAGCGCATTTTTTAGATTATGAACTCAAAATTCTGAATTCCACCTCTCTTATTATTTAAATCAACTTCTAAAGTACCTAGAGTAGAGCAAGCCTTCGTCCGGATAGGTATTTTACATGAATTAAGATTGGAAAAATGAGTAAATTCTTTATTTAAAGCACAATTCATAACGCATATATTTCCACTGATAAAATAAAATTCTAAAAGAGGATTAGAAAAAAAAGAATTTTAATATTTATCTATTATTTCCTATCCAAAAACATTCTCCTTTTTATTAGTTTTAATGTCTCTGTAAATTTCTTAGTCTGTTTCATTACAACACTAGAGTTCTTATGGTTATAAATAGTTATAAGTTATGTTTTATTCAGATTTATTACTAATTATATCACAGCTAAATTCTAAATCCTTCTAATTAGCTGGTTAGTCACTGATTTGACTTTAAGTCTAACATGTATCAGGTTGATTATAATTCATATCATAGATTTAGTTTTCTAAGCAGTTTTTGTTTTAGAAATAATCTTTTTGATGTCCTTCCATATTTAAATAAAAATCTAATTATTTTTATCCTTAAATAAAATAGTTTGCACTATTGTAGCAGCCTAATTCGTTTTTATTTTAGTCAAATTAATATGTTTCTGATTCATTATTAGCTGATTATTAAGTTTCATTTGATACATCACTTTAAGAAAATGGCCTGTAGCTTTAAAAACCCTCTATTTCCATGTTTATTTAATTGTTATTTATTTTTTCTGAGTTATTTTAGTGTTATTAATTTTATCAAGGTAATTAATTAATCTGCTATTTTCCTAAAATTCACGCATTTATAATCTCTAATTTTTAAAAATCAATTAAATAGATTTTACCAAAATTTTGATATTTTTTATCATTCAAGCTATCAAATTGGTCCTGTGCTAATAAATAAACAAAAAAAATGTAAAGAAATTTGTAAAAGTAAATATTCTTTTTAATACCAATATTAATTCATTAGAGTTATTTAGCTTAATTATTTTTATTTAAAATATAGAACATAATTATTCTTTCTTTTTAAAAATAATAAACTTTCACATCTTTAATTTCAATATAAAAGAATATTTGTTTTTACTATCTATGATATTATTCCTTATAGTTTTTTAACTCAATTATTTTTTATTAAATAATATAAAAAGCTATTATTTATTTTAAAAACTCCAAGCTTTTTATTCTCCTAAATGCTTTTATTTACAGTGTATCTTAATTAGAAAAATTCTACTTAAGTTAAAAGTAAAGAAATTTAATTTTATCATATAAAGAATATTGCTAAAAGCCTAGAAGGAAATCTTAATTCTAAAAATAAGCCAATATTGTTATTTTTAATGATTAACTATAGAACTAATTCTATTAATATTTCTAATTGATTTAATTTTCTGGATAGTTTCTATTTCACTATCTATTTCTTTTTTCCTAATTTATTTTTCCTTGATAATTCTTTCATAGTTCTATATTACATATTTTAGCATAGAATTTAGTACACTCTTTACACAATTAAATAAAGCTATTAAAAATTTGGCATTAAAATTTGAAGTAAAATTTAATATCACTTTTAAATATAATTTAGAGTAAATGCATTTTAAATAATTTTCATTTCTTTTATTTAAGCCAATTGGCTATTTGCTTAATTTAACAATAATAAAGCTAAATTGTAATTTTAAAAGATAAAAATACGTTATTTAAACTAAAAGTATTTAATTCTATAACATTTTTACAAAATAAACATGTATATTTAGAAGTATTTTTAAATTGTTTTAGGGTAATAGTACATTAATCTATTGATTAACTAATTAAAAAAAGCAATTACACACAGTAATTAATTTATTTGATTTTGAAAATTATTATTAATGATTAAGTCAAAAATTTACTGTAGATAAATAAAGCATCTTCAAATATGAAAGTTAATTAATATTAAATAATTTCAGTTTATATCCTACACAAAGATAAATATTAAAAGTGATAAGCATTTGACAATATTAGTTAAATGAATTTCTTTTTGAAATTAAAAAGAAGTGAAATCCATTAATTTTACTTATTTAAAATTTTAAATTATCAATGAAGAAATGTATGGCTATTATTTAATGTTACATTCATTAATGATGCTGAAGAAAATCAGTTAAAATAAAATAAGGATAACTTATTGATATTTTATTACATTTTTATCAGTAAAACTTCTCTTTTATTTCTTTAGTTTTTTTATTAAATTCTGACATATCATTCCCCGCTGCATCATTTAGAATTATATTTTTATTTTAATCACCTACTATTTATTATTAATTGCTGTATCTTTTTTGAAGCTGAGTTTACTAAGGTTGATTATGATAAGCACTCATAAGATATGCTAATTAGTATAGATTTTAGTTTTAAATTATTTATGAAATAATTAGATTCTAAATATTTTATTAAAAAACTAAAAAATGAGTCTTAATATTACCTAAAATAAAGAGAGTAGATATTAAAAAAATTAATTAAATTTTAACATTTCATTTTAATGATTAAAATAATTTACTTAAATTGAATAATAAAAAAAATGTTTCATTACAAATTTATTTTAAAGGTAAAATTATTTAGTAAAAAATTAGGTTGTAAATTAATTAAAAATGATATTTTCTATAACTAAATTTGATTAAAAAGTAAATCTTAGATAAATAGACACTTTAAAAATCATTGAATACAAAATCTCTCTCAGCCAAGATAAAATTCACATTAATTAATTAACATAAATATAAAATATATGAAAGTAGTCACTTTATATATTAAAAATCATTATTGAACCCATATTTTTATAATATTAATTATAATTTAATTAATAATCTAAATTGAAAGGATTTTGTTAGATGTTATAATATTGAATTGAAAGAGATGTCGAAGATTTGCGATTTATAAAAATTGCGATTTATAAAAAAGGTTAAAAGGCGTAAGCCAAAACACTTTTTTTTTCAGCCAAAGAGTTAAAGAGTTGAATACTAAAAATAAAATAAATTGGTTAGGTTTAATTTTTTTATTTTTGTAACCTAAAACCATTTTTGTAGATAAAATAAATTCTGTCGGCTATTTCATTTATTATTGTTATTTTAAAAAACCAATTTTAGTAAGAATTTAATTGATATAATTTCCTAAAATTTTTAATAAGTTGCATTTTTATATTTTTTTTCTTTATTAGTTAATAATATCACTTTGATTTTTAAAATAAATATTGCTGGATACAATTATTTCAATTTTTAAAATAACATATTGAAACTCATACTCATTCATTATTTTTAAGTTTAATCGATTAAATATTTTTATTAAATAACTAAAAAATGAGTCTTAATATTACCTAAAATAAAGATAGGAGTTATTAAAAAAATTAATTAAATTTAACATTTCATTTTAATGATTAAAATAGTTAACTTAAATTGAATAATAAAAAAATGTTTCATACAAATTTATTTTAAAGGTAAAATTATTTAGTAAAAAATTAGGTTGTAAATTAATTAAAAATGATAATTTCTATTACTTAATTTGATTAAGAAATAAATCTTAGATAAATAGACACTTTAAAAATCATTGAATACAAAATCTCTTTCAGCCAAGATAAAATACACATTAATTAATTAATAAACATAAATATAAAATATATGAAAGTAGCCACTTTATATATTAAAAATCATTATTGAACCCATATTTTTATAATATTAATTATAATTTAATTAATAAGCTGAATTAAAAGGATTTTGTTAGATGTTATAATATTGAACTGACTGACATGTCCAAGATTTAAGATTTACAAAAAGGGTTAAAAGGCGTAAGCCAAAACACTTTTTTTTTTCTGCCAAAGAGTTAAAGAGTTGAATACTAAAAATAAAATAAATTGTCTTGGTTTAATTTTTTAATTTTTGTAACCTAAAATCATTTTTGTAGATAAAATAAATTCCTGTTCGCTATTTCATTTGTTATCATTATTTTAAAAACCAATTTTAGTAAGAATTTAATTAATATAATATCCTAAAATTTTGAATAAGTTGCATTTTTATATTTTTTTTCTTTATTAATTAATAATATCACTTTGATTTTTAAAATAAATATTGCTGGATACAATTATTTCAATTTTTAAAATAACATATTGAAATTCATACTCATTCATTATTTTTAGGTTTAATTGATGAAATATTTAAAATTTTTAAAATATGAAAATAAAAAACAGCTTTAAAATAAATTATTAGATAAAATTAACTCTGCTTACTTATTTATACATTTGAAATACATACATTTATAAAACATTAATTATTTATTTTTAAATTATTAGAATCAATCTTTCTTGGAAAGATTGCTTGCTGTTACGTTACTATTATTTGCTTAAGAATTGTTATTAATATTATTATTTGGATTACCTGTTGGTAGTCTGTTGCTCTCACTTGTTTTAACATTTTTTCTAAAGAATCCTTCTGAAGTAGAAGCTCTTAAATCAAAAACAGGTAAGAGTGTATTTGGAGTATGAACAAGTCTTTCTCTTGGTTTGAGTTTATTTTTTCCTAAAGATTCAATTAAATCTTTTTCTGTTGGTTTATGCTTATTGTATTGCATAAGTTATGCCCCAGATCCGTAGTGTGATTTACCCCATTCAGATTATCTCGTTATCTGTAAATTAAATTCATCCACAGGAGATTTATTAAGTAATTAAGCAGATTATATTTAATGAAGACCCTCTTTCTTTTTAGCTTCTAATTCTTTTAACTTTTTAAGCTCAATTTCTTCATTTTCATCAATAGTTTATGTTAATGTCTCATAAATTTTAGCTGATTGAATTTTTATGCTACCCTTTTAAATGGAAGGAAGGGTTCCAGTTGTTTAATTTTATATTTTTTACAAAAATTTCAATCTATCGATAGTATTCATCTCTATTTTTAAATTTAAAATTGATATTACATTAGGAAATTGATATACCAAAACATGCAAAATACCCAAAAATGATATTAATTTGTAACAATTAAATAATTTGCATAATTAAATATTTTGTGGAATGTTAAGAAAAATTCAATTCATTAAAATTTAAATTAATTTTTTGTGGTTTTAAAAATACATTTTTTATTTGTAAAGTAAAATTATATTAAAAATTACCTTGATTCTCATCATGTTGAGGTTAAAATCGAGGATCTCCAGCACTATACAAAAGCCTATTATTTTATTCATTTTAATCAATTTTGCCTCTATTAAATCCTCCATTTTTAATTATTTCATCATATTATTTTCTTCCCATTCTAACTTTTGATCCACCTGTTAGAGTTAGTGATTGCATGTCCACAGTATTTGGACGAGGACCAACTCTCTTTCTTCCTTCAAATAATAGAGCTACACCTTAACTCAAAGGGATATTATCTAATATAGGAGGCTGATTTGTTATCATTTTAGCAAATTCCTTTTCTTATTCAGGTGCTTTTTTAAATTTATTTACAGTATCAGATTTTAAAACTTTTTTCTTTTTTTTAACATCTTTTATTTTTCCATCATCATCCTCTTTAAATCCAAACCTTTATTAAAATAATTTTTTAAGAGATATCACCTTTAATAACTTAGAGTCAAAAATTTCAAAACAGAGATATTCATTAGATATGATAATATGTGTAAATATTACTAAATGGTTTATGCTGAAGGAGGTAGCTTATTTATTTTCACCTTTTGAACTGCTAATAATTCTCCATTATAGTCATATGTGAATCCAGCTGCTTTATTTTCTTTTTAAAATTTATTAAACTTTTACTACTCTTCATTTATCAAGTTCTATTTTTAGTAAAATTTCATTAAAATTATTTTTGTAACTCCTTAATAATTAATTTACCTATCTCTTAAGGTTATCAGCAATAGCCTTTTCTTCTCTTTCTTTTCTTTCGTTTTCTTTTTTCTGCCTAAGCTTTTCTAATTAAAAATATAAAATATTTGTGATATTCTAATTCAATTTAACTAGCTATTTATAAATATATACCCTCAGTAATGCTTATGTTGAGAGGTTCAGTCAAATCAATAGGTGCAGGAATGAGGTTTCTAAGAGCCTATGAACTCTAATCATTCTATTTCATAATTAATTAAAAATTTGTTCTCTATAATAGCTAAATAATCTGAAAACTTTACTAAATTTTTTTTAAGTTAGAATCCAACAGAGCTAGCCTTACTTGACCTTCTTTTTGATTAGATATCCATAACCTTTGAATGGGGTAGCATTTAAACTATATTTTAAATATTATAAAATTTAATTTATTAAAAACCACAAAATTCATTCTTCTCTCTTAAAATTTATTTTTTATTTTCTAGGCAGCTTAAAATATTTTATGATTTTTATAATTTAATCATAAAATTCACCAAGGTAGTTATTTTATAATTTAAATAGTGTCAAAATACTTTGAATTTTTGTATCAGTTTTTTTTAAATAAAGCTAAAATAGAACTTACCTGAATTTTAATAAGGTTCTTCTTCTTCTCTGTATAAAGTATCAACATGTACTTTAGATCTTAGCCATGTATCTTTGAAAATATGTTATGGTTCCACATCTTCTTGCAGTCCTTTTGTTGCAAAATCTACTCTGTTATCTTCAGGCTGTAAGAATATTACATTCATAGCAACTTCAACAGTATTAAGTATATTCTTTATAGAGTGATATGGGATTTTCATGTTTAGCTCATTTTCTTATACTTAATGAATAGCTGTTGAAACTAATTTTCTAATAATTTCATCTGCAGTTATTTCACTATCCCGTTGATGGACAGCTAAAATTTATGGGTTTTTATATCGATACATAAAATCTAAATTTAAAACTTCTAAATCATAATCCTCAAAATCAACAAAGTCATCTCCGAACTGTCCATTATTTGGTGATCTTTGCTCTGAATTATCGAATTTAATTGAGGAAATAGAAGAGATCGTCGCTCTCTTTTATTTTTTTTTAGGTGAATTATATTTACTCATTTAAATATTTCAGTTTCACCTAAATGATTTATCAATCTATTAATAATCCCTAAGTATTTATTTATGTATATATTTATATGTGTTATTTTATTTAAACTTTTAGTCACTTCTTATAAAAGCTGTCTTTGCTAATCACTTCTTAATCCCTTAAGGCTGTCCTTCGCTAATTACTTATCTAAGCTTAAAAGTATACTACTTGAATTATTCTACTGAATAGCTTCCTTTCAATCTATAATAAATATATTAGTTTTTAATAGAAAGCGATTTAATTAAATTTTTGATATATATATCTATCTAAGTTATTTTTTAATGATTTACTATATATATTATTCATTCACAAGTTAATTAATTTATCAATGAAAGAGTATTAATTGAATTTGAGATATACTGATGCTAATTATAAATTTATTCAAATCAATTTATTAAGCACTCGTTCGTTCATCAATAAAGTTTTTGCAAAAACAGATTAACTTGCTTCTTACTAAATGAAACAATAGTAATCCATTTAATAATTAATTTAACTAAAGTTATTTATTATTCATAAATATTTTAAACTGGTTAACAAATATTGAAATTATTTTTTTATTTACATTTTTTCTAAATTCGAATGTTAAATTAACCAGTATTTCTTAAAGATAGATCAATAAAAATTAAATTCATCAAATATTTCCATTCCATTAATTTTTAAATATTTTATTTTTTTAAAAGAAACAAGCAAAATACATTTAAATGTTATTATTCCTCATGAAATGGTTTAATTATTTATGCTAATACCTTAATACTGAAGATTTATTCAATCAATAAATGTTAAGTAAATCAAAATTGTATTTATTTCAAGAAACAAAGTATGCATACATATGCAATTCTAGAAGAATTTTATAAAAATATTTTAAACATGAGGAAAATTTTCAAAACTTTTCCTCTTAAATAATTAAAAAAGTTATTTTACAAAAAATTAATTTTCTAAATTTAATTAGGCTTTTTAAAAAAAATCATTTACTTTGTTTTAAGAAATGTAAAAACCCAATCAATTATCTTTTTTATCAAAAAAAATAATATTTTATTAAAATAAACACATTTAAATTGTATCATTGAGAAAAAATATAGATTTTTAAATATTGTTTCTAAAATAAATGCGATTAAATAAATAAATAAATAAAAAATTTAATTGTTTTTTAACAGGGCTTGGTGAATGGTTTAGGGAAAGTTCCTATAAAAATAATAATTAATTTACAAGAGTAATAAATATTTACAGAAATAATGATAATAAAATATAATATTTCTTTATGGTTCATTTCTTTTTTATACTTTTTCTAACAGGAAGTGGTTTCTTACTTCCATGTGCAGAATTATTATTAGATGGAGTATTACTTTCTTTAGTATCTTTAAGTTTAGTAAGATAAGGTTCAACAAAATCTTCTAATTCTTTAGCAGCTTTATAATATATAGTATCGGGCTAGTTATAAATTTTAGCATTAGTAAAAATTCTTTTGACGTCTTTGATAAATTAGTCTTTGTCAACATATTGATTATTTTATAACTTCTTTTCTATTGCTTTAATATCTTTTTTATAAATATAATGTTAAAAAAACTTGCTTTATCAATTTATTTTATTTAAAATACCTATAGGATCAGTAATCACATCATAATAATCTGGAACATCATCTTTATTAACAGGATCTAAGAAGGGCCAAGATTGTTTGTGTCTCTTCATATTTTCAATAACATTAGCACACTAAAGATTGAATGATCTCTCTTTTGATTTCTTGAGTTCATGGTAGTCTTTCCACTCCCAACCACTAAATGCTATCAAATTTATTTAAAAATTAATAAATTAAATGAATATTATTCTTCTAATATCTATACCAACTCCAGGAATATCTGAAGGATTCACTTTAGGGTTTTCAGGATCCTCATTATCCATAGAATTTTATATTAATGCAGCATACTCTTTACCAGAGAATACTTTTTCATTTAATGATAATTTCTTGATTCTTTCTATCAAAAGCTAACATTTCAAATAAAAAATAATTAATAAATTTATTATAAATTAATTTTCTCTAAAATAAATTTCAATAAAAATTAACTAAAATATTGCTAAATCATTCATTATTTTTGCATAAATTATCTTTAGTTTGAATTATTTTTTTGGCTTTTTAATATTATTTGAATTATTTTCTTTCCAAAGAAATTTGTTAAACCGCTTTATTATAATATTTAGTTTATCTTTTACAATTTTAATTGAAATATTGATTGCATAACATCTTTTTTTGACTGAAATAAAATATTATATGCTTTCAGAATTTCCTTATTTGCAAAAAATAAATAGCCAATTTAATTTATTAAACTATTCAAATTATTCATTTGTTTTGTTGTTGATTTAGTAAATTAATTTATCATGCTTGTGTCATTATTTTGAACAATTAATAAGATTTTAAAAGATAATATTAAGAATACCTCTTTTTATCTTTTGATGATCTGAGATATATTTCCGTAATCAACATATGGGTGAATGTAGCACTCCATAAGAGTACCGCCATCATAATCTTTAATATATCCCTTCCATTTTTCTTATGGCATTCTATGTTCTTTTGTAAAACCTTATTTCTTAAAGTATCCAATAGCAAAGTTATCAGCATAAGTGAGAAGATATTCAATATTCTATTTTTACATATGATCTTTAAATTTATTCATCAATCTTGTGCCATACCCTCTAACCTATTCATTTGCAGTGACAGCAAGGAAAGCTACTTCTGCAAATCTTTAAGGCTTATATTAACGAAAGCAGATACCACCAATAACTTTTTATTTATTCTTTAATATCACCATCGATTCATGATGTCTATCAAATACTAATTTAACAATATATTCTTTAGGCATTTTTGGCAACTAACGAGAGAAAATATTCTTTAAATCTATAAGCAGTTTCATGTTTCTATGAGTACTTTTGAAATTAATATGATTATTAAAATTTGTATTTTGAGCTTTTAAAATTCATTCTTGTTAGTTGAATAATTTATAATTAATTTTATTTACCCATCATTAGTCAAAATGTCAAAATCTAAAAGACCCTAATCTTCTTCAACCTTCGCTCCTTAATCACGAGTTGCAAATCCAAGTCCAGTTTCCTATTATTAAATTCAGTAGGTTTTATTTCTGAATAAACTTAATAAAAACTTAAATTTGAATTTTTACTTCACCATTCATTCCTACAAATGCAGTCTCTTATGGTGCTGCATTCTATGCATCTTAAGCAGATTTTTCTTAATCAGCTATTTTAATTAACAAAAAAGACGTAAAATGAATTCTGCAAAATAAATAATCTTAATTACCCATACTTTTTATGTTTTAACTATCGCTTAAATATACCTATAATTTAATCTATTTATGCTTTAACTAACTATTATTATATTTAAAACTCTAATAATAAAAGTCTTCTCCTATATTCTTAATTTCTTTTTTATTAAATAGCTAAGGCGCAATTCACAATCCTTTTAATCAATTAACTAATCAATCTATGTATCTATCTATATATCTATATAATATTAAATATATTTCTATTTATGTAATTACTTAGCTTTTGATTTGAATACTAAAAAGTATTCGCATTTTCCGCACTAAATTAATGTAGCAAAAAATTTTAAATTTTATAATCCAACAAAGATAAAATTTGATAATGCATATTTATTTATTGATTTGTTTTTTATATCTCAAATTAATCTTGTTTCAAAAGTTTGCTACATATATATAATTATTCAAATTTTTGATAATTTTTATTTGATATTTATCAATTTTTGACACAAAAATATTAAAATATTATAAATATAAAACTATTTAAAAGTAAATTTCTTTTAAATTAAATATTTTAGAATTGAATTCAAACTAAAATGTTATCTTAAATGCAAATATACAAATTCACCAATTTTTATTAAGGCTAAATTATAAAAGAACAGGAAAAAAATATTCTGCTGTTGTTGATGATAAAAATAAAAGAAATACTTTAATTTAATATCTTAAAAAATAAAAATCATTTATCCTATATACATTCTAAATACAAGTAAAGTTTAATTATTATTTTATCTATCAATTAAAAAGTATTTGTTTAAATTATTGAATAAATTATAAAATAAACTTTGAACAATAAACCTGTTTTATTAAGTAATTTTAATCTAATAAAATCTAGCTACTACAAATAAGTTCATATTTTAAATAGATTTTTGATAAATTATTTACAAATTTTTTAATTAAAGATTTTTTATTCAAATTTTAATTAATGATTAAGCAATTTTTAATTGATAAAATCAAAGCATATAAAAATAGCTTAAATTAATTTTAAAAGGAATTTGTGCATTGAAAATAAAATATTTCAGATTTTAAATTTTATCTTTTAAAATTGGTTTTTTTAAAAATATTTAGATAATAAAAATATTATTTACTAATCAAAAATACTTTTTAATATTAATTTATCTTTCAAAAAAAAATATGATTTGATTAGTACAAAATTTAAATTAAATAGAAAAAAGTTTTCTCAAAATATGTGAGTTACTGTAGCAATTATGATTTTTGATTAGCGCTTAGAAAATATTTACTTTCGACCATAATAATTTTTTAATAGAACTATTTTTACTTTACAGTCTGTTTAAAAGATTCACCTTAATCAATAAAAATTAGTTTTTTCTATAAAATATCTTGGCTCCTCTTTCTCACTTTAGTTTTTACTTTCTTTTATATTTTAATTTGAAAAACTAAATTTTGAGTTAAAAGTGATAAGATTTGATTTTACTGCATAAAAACTTAGGATATTCGATAAGTTATGGTATTTTATTTAAATAAAATATTTAAACATCTTTCACCAATATAATTAAAATTCCTTCAGTATTTTCAAAAACTTCAATATTTCATAGACGCTGTAGATACATTTTAGCTATTTTTCTTTTTTGGAGTTAATTTCTAACTCCAAAAAGCTAGTAAAAATTTAAATTATTGTTGGTTTATATTAATTTTTTGCTTTCAAAGCCAACGTGATTATGATTTTTTATGCACCAAATAAACAGATTTCAGTTAAATATATTTTGTTATTATAAATTATGAGTCGTTTGAATTTTTTATTCAACTTTAATACATAAAAATTAGTTAAAAATTTCATTCAGCTTATTACGAAATTATATGCCAAAAAAGAATTTTTAACTTGAAGTTTTTATTATTTTTGATAAGTATTTTGATTAAATTCCAAGCAATTCTACTAAATAATACTCAAATATAAAATATAAAAAGTAGATGTAATATTTTTGATGAATTCTCAATTCCTAAAATTTATTTTTCTTTAATAAAACCATTTAGTTAATAAAATTGGCTAGTCATATAATATGTTCTTTAAACTGTAATTGTAATGAAATTTATTATGAAAAAATTAGAAAACGCCTTTGAAATAGTATTATCTTAACATTAAACTGCATTCATTCAAGAAATATATATTAAGTTTTTATATTAATTTTGACATGAAGGTTTAAAGAAAAAGAAAAATTTAAATAAATTTTCAGTTAATTATTTGTAATAGAACCAAATAGTTAGTTTTATCATAATATTATTTTTTATAATCTTAAGGGGGAAGAAATAGCTTTAAAAAAATGGAAGAGAGATTTGTTACTGAAACAATAATTATGACAAGTGGGGTTAATTTTCTAAATTAGATAGGGAGGGGTAAAAAATAAATTAAATAAAATGGTGCTAAAAATATATGATAGAAATATTATTCATAGGTAAATTTAATTAAATTTAAATAATTAATTTATGTCAAAGCAAAGCCATCAAATTTAATTCACCAGCTGGCACTAAGTTAGAACAAACAAGCTCGACGATTAAGTGACAGATGAATTAACAAAATAATACAAAGTATATAAAAGAGTGAATTAATTTGCAAAGAAAAAACGTGATTAATTTTTTTATTAAGCAGGGAGAATGAATGAAAGAATTATTTACAAGGCAAAGTGGAAGGTTAAGAAGTATTATTGCATAACTAAATTTCCATCTATATTACAAGGGCTTTAACATGAATATAAGAATTCGATAAAATGAATGAATAAATTAATAAATAGGAAATGACTAATCAATCACATTAATAAAAAAATTCCACAAAAAAGAATAACAAATATTAATAAAGATAATAAATTATCTAAGTAACGCTTGATAATCAAATATATTCATTCATACATTCAATCTTATTCATAAAAAAAAATTGCTTTCTTGTTTGATTGTTCGACTGATTAATTAGCAATCGAAATAATTAAAAAAAACAAGAAACAATCTGTTTATTATTATTATAAAGAAATATAAAAAATATTGAAAGTAAAAGCAATAAACCACCTGATTGTTTATTTATAATTAGAAAGCCAGTCATACATACATAGAAGCATTTTATTGCGTATATAAAAACGATTGATTATTATTAAAACGCAACCATAATGGAGTGCCAGTTGGAAAAGAAGAGTCTCAATAGCAACACTGCCTCCCTTGACCATCGCCAAGAACCTTTGATTAAGCGTAACAAAGGCCCTAGAATAGGAGACTTACTTAAAAAGAGAAAATTAAGGTAGACTTTAATTTCATGAATAATTATTGATTGATTGCTTTACTATTTAATTAATTAATTCATTCATTCATTCACTTATTAATTTATTTATTTATATCTATATGTTTATTTAATTATTTTACACATATTTTTAAAATACAAATATCAACTTGATTTTCTTTTACTCTTAATTTCAATTCATTTATTTTTTATCAACTCCTTTTGGTCATTCATTCATTCACTCACTCTCTTTTTAATTTTTTCTGTCAAAAATTAGACCATATTTTTATTCGCATTCATGATGAATCATTTTTATTAAACAACAATAGATTAAATGTGTAATTTCCATTATATATTTTAATAGGTTACTTAGAAAAGAAGAAAAAACTAAAATAAAAGCTGATGAACTTGTTTTAAAGTCTGTAGTGTAAGTTTTTAAGCGCATATTTTTAAAGCAATCAGAAACGATTTATTTAAAAATTATGTTGAGAGAAATGAACATATTAATAGTATCAATTAAAATAGGGATTAGCAAATTGAGCAAATAAGTAATGAAGAGGAGGAAGAAGATGAATTTGATAGAGAATTACATACAAAGGAAGAATGCAATTTGCATCAAGAAAAAATCAAGAAAATATAAAATCTAAAAGAGAAAGCAAATAAATGTTTTTCATTCGAAATGTATTAAGAATAGTACGACTTAAAATATGCATGCAAAAACAAATCATATCAATCTTACTGCCATAAAAACGTTAAAAGTAACTACATAAAATATATTTATATGCAACTCGATTTAAATCAAAATAATTTTGGTTATTTTCTATCACCCTATTTTAACTTTAGAAATCTAAACCATAATCAGATCAAGTTTCTTTTAAAATTTAACTATATCAAAACCTTTTTATACGCATAATCAACTATTCCTTTCATTTGGATAATGTTAATATCTTCTAAATAGAATTCACAATAGCTCACCTCTCTTTTAATGATTGAATAGTAATTCAATGAATTGTTGTTTAAAATTCAATATTTAAGGCAAAATTAACCAAAATAATCTTGATAAATAAACATATTATTCTCATGTTTATTTTTTTCGCACAAAATTTGGTTGTTATCAAAATAGAAAAACACATTAGTGTTGAAAAAACTCCTTTTAATGAATACTTATCGATTAATTGATTCTTAAATAAACGCTTAGAGATATAGAATTTTTTATATTAATTCAATTGAAAAGCTATTCTAAAAGTAAAATATTTATTAAAAGGTATTTAAAAAAATAATTTAAAATGAGAGCCTAAATATTTTTAGTTTTTTAAATACTTTTGTACTTATATGATTTTTATTGTTCCACAATAAGAAAAGGGGATAGAAAGGATAGATAAATATATATATATATATAAATAAATAAAAGAAATAGATTTTATGGTGATAGTTAATAGATTTGTAAAAGAATATTTATTCTATAATTTTAATATAATAGCTTAGAATTTAAATGATCAGAACGAAGATTCTTAGAAGCCCTTCAAAAAAATAAAATTTTTTGATTCCTATGCGAAAAAGAAAATAGAAAAATCTGACTCAAAATAAAAAAATATATATGAAATGTGCCACTCTTTAGTCAAAGAGTATTTGGTTGAAGGTGGAGAAGAAGAAGAAGATTCAAAATTTTAGGTAAGTAATAACTCCGAAGAAAGCGATCATAGTAATATGGATTAAGAGGTTTACTAGAAAATAATAGAAGATCAGTATCAATAATTTGAAGACGCCACCAAAAGAAAAAAGAAAATAAAAAGGGTTTTGACTTACTAAGAAAAGCATAATGAACTAGTCAAGGCTGCTAGCAAATATTAACAAATAAAATTTCCAAATTAGAAAAAAGGATTTAAAAAGGGTTCTTTTTAGTTTGTTTCTAAATAAGTTTTTTTATAGCAATAACAATAATAAGATAATACAACAATGCCAATTCACAATTCTTAAATAAATGTTGGAAATAACTTCACAATTCACTCTAATATATAAACGTTAAACCCTTAGTTATAGCAATTTCAATAGTAAAATTAGTAATAGCAAAATTAATAGAATCACAATACACAATATCAACCACACTACTAATAGCAAGATATCATTATGCATGATTAAGGTCCAGAGTATTTACTTAAAAAAGTGAGACTTTTGGAAGGTTGCAATAAATATCTTGATAAAATTTCATGGGAAGCTCCTGAGGAAGAGTTAGATAAGGTAAATTTAAAAGATTTACAAAAATATATATTTTACAAAATTTTTTTATTTTTCAATTTTCAGTAAAACTCCAAACAAAATCAAAGTCAAATATTTAGTTCATTTTTATTTTGTGTGTAAATTTTGCAACATAATTTAAAGTTTATTGATGAATTTATTATAAAATTCCATATATTTGAGTATAAAATTTAACAATATCTAATGAAAAACAAATGCAATTCAGATAGTGCTAAGAAATTTATTTCAATTATTATCTAATAAGATAATTATCGACTATTCTTTTAAATAAATAAAGTAAGTAGCATTTGTAAAAAAAATCAATTAGACTTATATTAATTTAAGTAGTATAAAATATCTCATCTGTAATAATCCTCATGAAATTAACTCTTAGTAATAGCTAAAAAAAACTGATTGAATGTTAATTAATTTTGTTAGAAGTATATCTCCCTGAAAACAAAAATGAATAAAATAAATATTAGATATTAACTAATTGTTTTAACCTAATTTGAATTGATGAATATTTACTTTAAAATGACCTTAAATTAATAAAACTATTAAATTTAATTTAATAAAAAAAGTTCGAGCTAAATAAGGAATTATTTAAATTAGATATTATTATAAATGACTAATAGTTTTAAATCTATTTATCATAAAAAAAATGAAATAGTTTTATTGAATGAAAATCAACAAACTTGATATTAGTTTTAATTGGTTTCTACAGATAATTAAGAATAAATTGATATAAAATTCAAATATATAGTACTAAATATTCACTTATGATATCTGAAATCTTTTTGGTTAAGATAGCTTGATAGTTATTTTTTGATCTGTATTTTAATGGTTAAGTATTAAAAAAACTTGAAAATAAATATCTCTATTAAAATTATATATCTTATTTTGAAGTATAAAATAAATAATTTAGCAATAAAAATTTCATTCTTTTGGAAAATTATTAGTTTGGAAATAAAATATTAGTCTAATCTGATGTAATGCGAAAATTGATTCAACCCAATCGACTAAATTCAAGTTAATTTCGCATCAGCAAATAATAATTAAAAAATTTTCTTCTCATTGAGCAAAAATTTTAATGATTGATGGATTTATAAAAGATTAAAAAGATACGGGTTTTCTCGAATGATTTTATTATAGTTTGGTTAATAAATATATGATAGAATGATTGAAAAATATTTTATGCAATGTTTTAAAAAATAGAAAGAAGTAAAAGAGAATATATCTTGCTGATATTAAAATATTTGAGTTAAAAATTTATTTGAAGGAATGTGCAATATTAATAATTTGGTTAAAAGATTGATTAATAATGAATCATCAATTAGAATGATTAACTAAAATAATTATTTTAACTTTTATAAAACTCATAAATCACAATAATTTCACAAATTATTTATTATCTTTCGCAACAATTTACACACAAAATTTCTTTTTTTTATATTAGGTAAAATATAAACCAAAAATAATAATTCATGAGCTGACTTAATTTTTCTTTAATTAAAATTGAATTTATTTATTTATTAACATTTTTTATTACAATAAATTAGATGGAGAAAGAATTCAGATAAAGTTAACTTAAGCCAGATTAAACCATAACACAACTTAACAATAGCAATAAAAGAACTATCATACAAGTAAATAAAATAATTTTAATCATTAACAAATTTATTTTAAATTAAAATGCAAGCAACTGAATAAATAAATCTCAAAAAAATTATATATTTCCAACTTTTTTTATTTTTGATGTTTAATTTAATCTTTCTTCTTTAATTTTGACACAAAATAATTAATATTTACCAAATTTCCCTTTTATAAATTAATTTATCGACTATAAAGTGTAATCTTATTTAATCAAAGCAATTAATTGGTGAATTATATTATACTCTTGATCTAAATCCATTCACTAATACAAACATCGATATACTAACTATTCTCTTCTTTATTTTTTAGAGCAACCCCATCTTCAAATTTTATTTAATAAAGTTAATTATTTTCACTGTATATCTTAAATTTAGAAGGTGAAATAAGATATTACACTTTCATTTTTCAATCATTAAAATAAAAAATAGTTTTTTTAACTTCACACATATTCTAATGATTGCAAAAATTTATAGCGTAAATATGTATTTATTTATAAAACTGATTTTAGAAAAAATAAATAGAAGAAATCCTTATTTTAAAATATGAAATGTATTTGTAGTTAGAGTGTAAATTTTATTAGGTTCAAGTGGTTTTAAAAAATACAAAATTTAATAACAATAATTATTAAAAAATAACTATTAATCTAAGAGCTGACTATTATTTAGTTTAATAAATTTTATCTATATTAATAGTTTTTACAAAACTCTACTTATAAAGTAGAGATTTTTAACGCCGAAATCAAACTAAACAATCTTTAAAAGAATACAAAATAATAATTTTAATTTTTCTCAAATTTTTTAACAAGTAAACTGAAACAATTCCTAAAAAGTATTTTTAGAATTTTAAATAATTTTAATTATTTTTCAAAAATAGGATAAAAAATTTGAAAAAGTATATCATTCTTTGCGCAGATCAATAAAATGGAGTGAAAGAATTTTTAATGAAAATAGTCAAGTCTTTAACAAAATGCTAGTTGAATTAAATATAGAATAAAATTTATGTAAAGATGATTTCAACATTTTAAATAACTATAAAATACAACTAGTAACTCCAATAAATGAAGTAATTATTAATTAATTTTCATTATTAATTTAATATGATAATTTATATTTATTTTACATAGTCGAACTTAATTGACAAGAAAAAGAATGAATAAATTTTAGAATTTTTTATGCAAGAAAACAATTTTGTTATGGATAAAAGTTAAATACGAGATATATCAGGTTTTAAAAGCAATTAACATAACTAACAGTAGGCATAAATCAATTAATTTAAAATCTATCACTAATAAGTTATGTAGTAATAAAATTAAGCTTAAAACCTTTAATCTCAAGCAAAGCCTGTTGAGCTGAGAGCTAATCTAGGTTAGACTCAGTAATAATAATAATAAATAGCTCTTGGTGGATAACAAAATTTTTTAAATTATCAGCAATAATTTAGTTAGAATTAGAGAATAAACTAAGATCAGTAAATAGAATAAGTTCAAGGTCTACCTTACAACTCTGATACTGCAAATCAATTCAAATTCGGTAACTAATTTAAATAAGTTGTTTCAAGTTAGTAATTGCATCAAAGCTAAGGATAAAATATACCCTCTGATTAGTAACACTCCTAACCATAATCAGGTCAGAATATAACTAAAAAAAATAAAGGTAATCTTCAATCATAGACATACAATTTTCATCATTACATAAAATGTTTTAAAAATAACTAACTTTCTGCTGGTGGTATCTCTTCAAGTAATAATTTAATATATCAAAATTTAAAATTTGCAGGAGGCAAAAATGAAATTATTGTAATTGACTCACCTAAAAGAGCTCAGTAAAATAACTAGCAGACGATAAATCTACAATAAGAAAGTAATTAAACTTGTAACAATTAAACAATTAACACAGGATAAAACTAATATGATTCATCTTTCTTCTAAAATATACCAACAACAAATCCTGCTAATTAGTAACAAGCAATTCAGCAATAAACTTAGTCACAAACCTAATAAATAGTTATTAATGGTCAACATAAATCGCAATAGGGTTTTAACAATGCTAACTTATTAGAATAAGGATAAAATTAAAACTTCAAAATTAGTTAGCTTCCTTAAAGCTAATTTGCCACTACACCAACAAATTAGAATTAATAAAATATTCAATAACAAAATATGCTACCTCAAAACTAGCTATTGCAACGATAATAGTAAATAAACCAAATATAAAATCAATTTCCTTAACTTAATTAATATCCCCTCATCAATTAATTTAATAAAGTTAATTATGTTTAATATAATCCATACGCAATTACTACTTAATTCTTATAAGCACCTATTTCATCAGTCAATACTTCTTACAATTAGTTCTTCACTGCTTCATTAAATAATAATAATAACAATAGTAATCCAAGCAATCAATAAATACAATCTAATTCCTAGCCTACATAGATATAGAACTAGCCATAATAATAGTCTTAAACTTGGCCTTTTGGCCAAATAAATATTTAAAATACTGTACCTTAACAGTAACTTTCTTCACAAATTTTATAAAACAACAATCCATAATAATAAGCATAGTAGCAAACAGAATAATTGTAATAATAAGTTAACAGATAACTATAGCTGCTAACTGCATTTAACAGCTAGTCAAATCCTTAAGTATACTTTTAGATGAATTCAAGTTCTTAACAGCAAATTTAAAATCAGTAATAATTTAACCAAAACAGATAATAAAATGATTCATCATTACAATAATTTACAGATTAAAATCAATTAATCAATACGATATAGAACCAATAACAACAGTAAGCAATAAAATAATCTTCTCCAACATAAGCCAACGAGGAACTCAATATTGATCAGTACACATAATTATTACAAAATTAATAGTAGAATAATTAGAAATACCAATAATAGTTTTATAGTAACATTTAATCTAATGTGAACAGTAATTTGGCAGTAAATAATAACATTAATAGCAATACAACTTCTACAGCTAATAATATGCCTATTTAAAATAGAACTGCTAATACTTAATTAATATAGAATTAAGGTCAATAAAATAATTACTATTTACTTTTAAATCAAAATTGTACTTCTAATTAGATTAATCAAGTTCCATAGTAATAACAATAGCAACAGTAACAGTAACCTTAGTCTGTTCATCAAAATTAATTGTATTTGCTCATGCAACAATAGTAATAAAGTTACCCTATGTTACCAATAATAGCATCAAATTAAAATACTTTGGATTCTTCTAAAATGCATCAAGTAGTTATTTAATAAGGAGTTGTGAACTCTGCAGCAACTGGTTGTGTACCTAACTAAAATCTATTGAACAATCAATTCCTTTTAAATAATCCAATTACTCAAAGCTAAATAATTTGATTGCTGCAAAAAACAGCTTAGCAATCAAAAGAGTGATATTTGAGCTAAATTTAAAGAAAATAAAATTATTATTAAACAAAACAAAAACAAAATTTCACTACAATATACATTTAATAAAACTTCATCATTATTTATTATGATATAAAATATTATAAAAAAAGTGAAAATTAAAATATCAATAACTGTGTTATTAATTAGAATGTAAAACTTATTTATATAGAATTTTTCCTTATTAATCTAGGAAATAAACATAAAACAGAGCACAAAAATTTATTTATAAAATGATAATAAAAGAAATAATGATTAGTTAATAACCAAAACATTTACAAAAAATGTAATAACAATAACTTTAAATAATCACTCTTTTCTAACTAACTATTTATTTATCATGTCAAACATTAATTAACTAAAAATAAACTAACAAATCACTTACTAAGTATTAGATTTAATAAATCTAGATGGATTAAAATTAGATTTCCTTTTTATTTATTCATTTACTTTCTAAATAAATTTAGAATAGCGAACACTTAAATAATAAACTCCTCGTCCATATTTATATTCATCAATTGACCCATTCATTAGCCTATCCATCATCTATTAATTATTATTTATATTTAATGAAAAAATTATCAATATTTTAATACCTTTTTAACTATATTATAATCAATAACTTTATATTAATATTTCTACCTTTCTATTAAATAATAATATCTTACTTTTGTAAATTGAATACTTTACTTTAATCTTCTTTATATAATCAGAAGTCTTTACAGATTTTTATTGTATCAAAATATTTATTTCTTCAAAGTATTTGTTCGATGATTCATATTCAAATAATTAAAAGGATTAAATTACATATAATATAAGTTGTCGAATTATATCAACTAAATAATTCTTTTTATTAAACTCAATGATAAATAATTGAAACTTAAAAAAGATGAACAAACAAAAATTATAGTAAATTATTTCTATTCTAGACTCAATGATTGAGATAACATCTAAAACGATGATATAGTAGGGAGATCTGAATATTGTTTTAATTCATACAGATGAAAATAAGCAGATTAGTAGAAAATTTAGTATCTTGGATACATTCTATTTCATCAACAGTGATAATTTATTCTTAAAAGTCCTAATAACTTATGTAAATCAATCAGGGATGATCGAAAATAGTGATTTTTTATTGCTTCTGTTATTCCTCAGAAACTTTTACATAGAAAATAATGACAATCAATTGAAAACTTTTGATTATTATATAGATTATGTTTAAGATCTACTTGAAAAATAATTTGATGCGTTTGCATAATAATTTAATATTGAATTATTGTTGAACGAATTCTCAACTTTGAATATAGCATTCTAAAATTTATTTAAGAGCTCTTTGCTTTCTAATATCCTAAGACCGAAGCATATTAAAAGTCTGAAGATTTGCTTGCTAAAGACTATAGTACATATAATAGAAAATAATAGTGATTCATTTTTAAAATAAAGAGATTTTACTAGCTACTTTTAATATAAAAACAATTTTGCATGCAACGACAAGAATTTATTTTAGGAAAAAAATGTGATTAATATTTTTAATGGAATATTTATAGAGTTATCTAATTATGTTTCGGAAACCGAGAGCAATATTAATTTACAAAATATTGACGTTTTTATTTGTCTTCAGGTAAAATATTTGTCTTTATTATTTTTGTTCAAGTAGAATTATTAAATCTATCTAATAATATATCTTTTTAATTAAAAAATTGTTATTTATATTCATGTTAATAAAATAAAGTCTCTAGATTTTGACCTCAAAAATTTATTAGAATATGGAGATCACTTAAAAATATAAACCTAAGAAACAGATTCAATTGAACTTCAATCGCAACTTACTTATTGTACATTTAAACTAAATAATATAATTAAAAAATTGTATTATTTTATTAAAAATAAAAAAGAATATATCAAAAAAAAGATAAATTAGCTCTTTAATGATTTTGGTATAAAAAATGGTAAATTCAGAGTTGGGTTTTTTCAAAAAAGAGTTTCTTAAGAATTTAAAAGCTTATTCAAAAAATAGTAATTTAAATTTGCTTTATTCAATTATTAATTAAATTTTATAAAATATAATTGATTATTTTCAATTGTTAATATATAAAAAATTAAATTTTATATGTTTAAAATAATTTTAAATTGTAGGAAAATATTTAATGAAAAACAAAATTAAAGAACCATATTTAAAATATGTTTTAAATTTTTAAAAAGCGGTGTATATGTGTTTGATTGCATTGGGGAATTAGATGTAAGAAGGCTTTAATATGGCTATAACATAAAGGCATACCCTACCTTAATTGAAATGTAAATACAGCATTTGAATGAACCTCAATCTGAAGAAGCTTAATATTTTGTAAAAGTTAATAAGATTTAAATAATGTAAGAAATTTGATATTTTTATTATAAGTAATCAAATGTAAATATATTTAAAACTCAAATTAATTTCTCAAAAATTTGAATTTAGGGTATTTTTATTAGATAAAGATAATTTATTTGATTTAAAATAATTCATGTAATATCAGTAAGATAAAATATAGATTTAAAAAATGAACTAGTTCAAAAAATAGAAAATTTATTTTTTATGCAAACAGGAGTGACACTAAATCAACTAGATAATACTTATTTCTGGAAAGCAACAAATTCTATCAAGTTTTTATTTGTGAAGAAATTCTTTTGTGCGATGTGTATGAGGAATTTAAGAATTTTATTAATGGTTATATTAAATTAATCTAAGATCTTTATTAAGGTGAGCATCTTATATAAAATAAAGGAATATTCTCATATTTAAAATTTGCTAAGCTGATTGTAGATGAAATTTCAAAGATACAAAATTAAGATTTCAAAAGCAAAGCTAAATTTAACTAATATTTTGCAAATTCTATTATATAGTATTGCAAGATTTTTTAAAAGATGAACAATGAGGTATTTGAATTTAGGGAACTTAGTCTCTTTTGTAGTGATATATCAGGAGAATTGCAAAAAATGATAGAATAAGTTGATTATGGCAATCTTTCTGACACCAATCTTATCAAAAAGAGTAGCTTTTAAAGTAGATTAAAATAAATATTTCTAGTATTGTAAACCTTAACAAAGTTCGTTTTCTGATTAAATATGAAATAAAAGGAAAATTTAAATAAATAACTCATATTAATAAGAAAAATTATTAAATGTATTATTTGGGTTATTATAATTATCCTAAGCTAAAAAAATTCATCTATTAAAAAATCAAAGTTATAAATTTAATTTCCTATGTAGCTATTTTAATCAAATAAACTAAAATAATCATAAGTATGTTAAGCAGTAATTTTTTATAATTTAACTGAATATTTTGCATCAAAATAATTAACTAATTCTCAAAATAATTTACCATTGATTTAAAATTTAGAAAAGTTAATTTATTTGCTCAAATATAAAATTAATCGGAGTAATTTTATCTTTCATTTTTAAAAACCTACTTTAATTATTTAATTTTATTAAACATAGTGATTAATAGTATGTTATTTAGAATATTATTTTCTTAAAAAGTATAAAAATAATATATTTTCCAAATCTTTTTATACTTCAACTAAACTATATACAAATGTTAAAAATATTTATTTATATACTCATACTGGCTTAATTATTGAAAAAATAGAGAAAATACGTATGAAAAGAATAAATACATTAAAGGAAAAATTAATACAAATAATTTTAATGAGATGTTGACTTGTAAATATTTTTTCAAAAATTAAAGTACAATCTAAATATTCTCTTTAAAAATAAAAAATAATTTTAATTTTCTAATTTTAAAAAAATAGTTGTATATATTTTAAAATTTTTTGTAATACCTTCAAAAGATTTTTTATAAATTTGTGATAAATAGCACAAGATAAAAAAATGTTCAAGTATTTGATAATGAATGATTGTGTTTAATAGAAATGAATAATTTATTAAAAATATGCCTGAATTCTTGTTAATAATTTTCTCAAAAAAATAAGTAGATTCAAGAATAAGCAATTAAAAAGATATATCTATAAGGTTTAAGTAAATTACTTAATATAGAGAGATCAATAAATAATAATTCAATAGCAATAAATATATGCAAATATGAGTGAATTGGACATTTCCAACAGAAAAGCATTTATAATAATAATAAATATTGAGACATTTGTTAGTAATTAATTAATATATATATATATATTATTATCAAATAACTTTACTGATAAACATAAAAGCATAATAGAGTTTTCATATAAGTCTCCACTCATTTATATTGAAATAACAAATAGCTTCCCCACTATATTATTAAGAACTTAAAATATCTTTAGCAAATGAAATCGAATTTTTTCAAATCTGTTCATTTCTAAATAATATCTATTATATCGCTGCCTACAGTGATCACTATCATAATATGCATTGTAGGAATATTTTTTACACTAAATAAAGGACTAGATATAGTTTCTTAATACGCAGATTACATATATTAGCAGCAAATTGAAAACACTAAAAGTCATAATGGGGCTCTACTATTCTAACTTAATAACTAATTTTAAAAAATGTCTTGGTAGCTCAATCTTTTGAATTAATTTCATGATAAAGTCATTAATCAAAGAGTTAAGCAAAATCCTAACTATATATACTAAAATAATGTTTTAAATATTGATAGAGCTTACGAAAATGATGAAGAATAACTCCTATTGGACCTTTTTCGTAAAAATAAGTTGCTGACAAGTTCATGGTAATTTTTATTCTTTTCACTTTTCATACATTTTTTTTAAGTAGCATAAGAATCAATTAAATTTTAAAGTTTAATATATTCACTAGAAATAATCCTCAATAATAAAAAAGCTAAAAAAATTTGTTCAAATATTTCTACTTTCATACAAATAATATAAAACATGCATTAAAAAAATTTAAATTATAAATTTAAATTTTACTATTTTGAGTCTAGAGCATTCATTTATCTTGAGCTAGAGAAAGAATTTCACTAAGTGAGATATATTATTAATCATCTTTTTAATTTGTATCTCTTAATAGTAATTGAAGCTAAAAAAAACTTAGTACTAGTTAAAGACTATTAATTTATGAATATCATTAAGAAACTTTATTTTATTATCATAATTTAATCAATTAATTAAATCTTTCAATATAATTGATAACAAAAAAGTGTAAATTAGTATATCATAATTTTAATATTGCTCCCAATTAATTTTAATTATTAAATTCAATATAATTATCCAAATATTTAACAATTATGAGTAAGGATAAATAATAATTTCAAGAGTAAACACATACAATAAAAATAAAAAATTCTAGATAAATACTAACATTTTTAATAATAATTCATTTTTAATCTCTTAAATAGTTCTAATTTCGTAAATTAATTAATTACGTTCATTGTTTTCTAGGCATCAGAAAAATAGAAGAAAAAAATTATAAAAAATAAAATTTTTGTTTTATAATTCTAAATAATAATTTGTGGTTATTAAAGTATTCTTACACTTTTTGAAAGAAAATTTTGGTAATAAATAAACTTATTGATAAAAGATTCAATTTAGCTATCTTTCCCCAGATTACAGTTTTTATATTTCAAACATCCAACTAAATAAATATCAATATCTTGAAAAATTCAAAGATATTACTCATTTAACATCAATGCTAAGAATATTTTAAAACAAAAATTTAATGATTTTTTGGGTTTTCCTAACTAACAGTCTACATATACAAAATTTTATTTTATTTTTTTACAATTTTTATGTATTAACTACAATATTAAATAGGCACACTCCTAGTATAGCATATATAGATTAGCTAGATCTATAATCTAGATAATAACTTTAAAATGTCTCTAGCCTTGATAGTATTTGGAGAGCTATTGTCTATGACAATAACTTGAATGATATTTCAAATAATAGAAAACTAAAATTTAGAGATATTTTTGTAGGATTTGACTATGATGGAATGGTATACATGACTGCTATAAATACTACATATTAAAATATGTAATTACCTCCTGGATGTGTAAGGTAAAAATATGTATTCGATGTTCGTTGTAGGTACTACTATGAAAATACTAAAAATCAAATTTCTTTGTAAATGTATTAACCTAATCTTTTGTATACTGATGGTAATCCTTTTATAGCTAGTGTTTTGTGCTAAAAATTAATGAAAACAAATAATTAAAATAGCACATCTTTGCATTCTATTATTTGCAATGATATTGACTTGACATAGATTCCAGAATATTTTTCCAATTTTAACAAGGAATCTTCTATTCAAATAGTTTTAGACCCTAATTCATTAGAAATAATTTACCACTCTTAAATTTAAACTCAAAGACAATAGATTTTTAATCTTAAAAACATATCTCTTATCTAGTCTGACTCAAAGTAAAAATCAATTTCAAATCATTAACAAATTTAATTTACTTATTTATTTAAATTAAAATAAATTTAAACTCAATTAATTATTATTCTTAAACATTTTTTCATTTTAATAATAAATATTTAATTTTTTTATAAACTTATTTTTTAAAATAAAAGCTAAACATAAGTAACTGATGTAAGCAGCTCAGACTAAGAATAGCAAGAAATGCTTATTTAATTCATACAAAATAATTATTAGAATTGGAGTTTGAATTAATATAATAACATTAATATGATTGAAATTTAAGATAAATAAGAGAATCTAAAAACATATGAAATTAATTTTAATAGTGGAAGTCACTACTTTATAGTTATGAATGTAGTTAAACTCATAGATAAGATTCCTTCTTATGAAATGAAATTAAATAATATTCCTAAATACTAAACAGAAAGAGCTATTCTCTATATGAATATCTTATCCAAGGAAGTGCTTACTAAAGACATGACTAAACTTAAAGACGATGTCACAAAATTTTTTATCTATTTCACTTGTTTCTCGATTTTTGGATTTGTTGTGATTCTCTTATTTATAATACTAAAAGCAAATGTTATTTCATTAAGCATAATTAATGGTGTTAAACATTTAACCAAAGTTCTCTCTAAAATAAAATGGGAAACAAGTGAAGAAGGAAATGTCTAATTTTAAGATTTAATTGAAACTAATTTAAATATTGAATCTATTTTTTTATCTAAAGAAATGCAAATACTTTATGGGAGCTTTTAAAATCTATTTAAAACTTTGCATTACACTACTTCAAACATTTATAGTTAAAGTGATGGGCATAATTTATTAAATCTAAACATGCAATTATAGTATTTCGAATAATTTTAAAATTTTAGAGCACTTGGAGTTTGCAAAAATAATATAGGTAGATTTATCTATTTTTAATATTTTACATTAAAAATTATTTATAATCCTTCAAACTTTTAAAAAACTAAATAAAATTTATTTAAAACTTATAAAATAGGCAATATACATTATAATTCTGGTAGATATTTTGAGGCTATGGAATCATACTAGAAAGCTATTATTTGTTCAAATTATGACTTAGGATTATATAAAGAGAATATTTAATAAGAAGAGCATTAGGAAATCTATTAAGGTAATCTTAGTGAAAGTAGTAAAAGGAAGGGGAGTTTGTATAAATATGATTTTCGTTCTGAAAAATCAGATAGAAGTGATAAAGAAATTACATACTGGAATCACTTTAATAGAAAAATGAATTACTTGAAGGCTTTTTTGTCCTATTTAAATGAAAATAATTAAGACCATTTATGGATATGTGCTGAGAACTTAGTAGAAGAGCTTATTTAAATAAGTAAGACATAGTTATTTAATTGCTACAGTAGACAAATTGTTCTACTCTACTATAAATCAGTAACTCTATTCAAACAAGGTAAGATTGATTTATATGAATAAAATTTGAATAGAGGAATAAAGAAGTACAATAAATATCTTGCCCTAAAATGCAGAGTCCTTAATAGCTTTGTATATTAACCTTCTCTGATATTGAATTCTCCTCCCTTTAAATAATATCAAACAATTAATTCAAATAAACAATTTTAACTATCTCCTCAACCCTTATAAAATAACATCTAGAATGCTTTTATTCAATCAAATTCTTAATAAGTTAACAAGCAGTTTTCTCATAACTAATTAAATACTTCTTAGAATATAAAAATATGTTCACCACAAATGTAAAAGGAAAAAACTCTATCTAGCTTTACTCATGCAAGAATTACCACCTATTCCGCTGCTAATGAAAACTAACCTAAAACTCTAGCTGATTTACCTAATTTAGTCGCTTCAAATAATTTAAATGATGTCTCTTAATAAGATTGCTAACCATAGTTACCTAGCCATATCAACTAAAGTAATTGTAAAAATTTATTATTAATAATTTAAATTTAAGCAAGCCATTTTTTTATTTTACAAAAGTTTTTCATTAATAAAAATAATCTTCCTTTTTATTAAATAGGTTAAATTAACTGCAAAATTTCTAATGGCAAAAGCATGAGTTTATAATAATAGTAGTATTCTTCAAACTAAATAAATATAAAATCTACCAATCCCAGTTCAATAAATTAGCAGAGATCAACCTAACCTAATTCTTAATGTTAATTAAAATCATTATAAAGTAAAAACGAACTAATAAATAACTCAAATATAGTCTTATAAAATAACAATAATGAAATCAATTTATGTTAAGATTTAAATTTGTAAAATACTACAATTCTAAATGTGAATGATTTAAATTAAAAGATGACAAAGCAAAATACTCCTATTTCTTCTATTTAAAATTTAAATGAAACTGACAAAAAAATACCTCACTCAAATATTTAATTACTTTTAACTTAAGAAATAGAATAAACCAAACATAAAAAGTATACAAACAACGGAAATCAATTTGACTTGGATTCAAATCTTAAAAATGCAAACAAATTATAGTAAATAATTCAAACAAATTAAGCTAATTAGAACTAGAATAATCAGAATTAAGGATTTTCATTTTAAAAAAAATACAAGTCTTAGCCATAAAACGTACAATAATTTAAATAAATTAAAGAACAAGATTCCTATAATAAAGAAAATAAAGATAACACTACTCCTACAAATATTTTAGAGTAGATATAAGAAGGAAAATAAGAGTATAGAGAAAACACCATTTTCTAGAAATTTAAGAGTTATGTTGAGAAATTCAGAAGTGTTTTTTCTAAAAAAAGGGGTGAGTAAAAAAATTAAAAACCCTAAAACAAACAAATTCAAATTATTGAAATTACTTAACTGCCAAAGTTAAGAAATAATAAAATAAATACCATTCAAAATAACGAAACCCAACATGTTCAAAGTCAGTATTACTAAAAGTATAGAAAATCTCCAAGTAGCAATATAAAATTGCATAAAAGATCTAAAAATATTTCCTAAATAAATAGAAAAAGAAGTTAACTAAGCTCAAAAGAATATAATTATTCTAAGCCTAATTTGCTATTTTAAAATACCCTAAATAATTCTAATAAATATACCAAACAAATTATTAACTCCTCTGCTCAAAATTCATTTAATTAGATAAATGCCAATAAAAGCTATAAATAATAAGGCTCTATCCATCATTTTAATTATTTGTCTGGCAATTCTAGTTTTGGAACTAATTAAATTAATTTAAGTTAAAAATAAAAATTATATTTCATAAACTAATAAATAAGTTAAAACCATGAGTAATAGCAAAAGAGTTTGAGTATTTAGATCTCAAAAATAAAAAAAAATTACAACGATGAATAAATTTCTCGAAATATATTTCCTTAGAGTATTCTTGATTGTTTCTTGGCTCTTTAATAATCAGAGCTATTGTATTTAAAGGGAGAGTATTATAAAGCAGCATAACTGCTAACTTAACAGTTGTAAGATGAAGAACTTTATTTATAACATTTAAGACATAAAAGACTTTTGATGCTCCAAAAAATATTTTATAGAGCAGATATTCAAAATATATAATTAGACAAAATGATAAAAAATCAAATGCATAATTATATTTTTAAAATTTAATTTGTTTCAAATTGCAGAGACAGCTAATCTCTTTCGAGATCATTTGAATTGATCAATGACATTTTCTATGAGATTTTAAAGTAAGACCTAGACTAACTAGGGCTCGTTACTTATAATTATGATGAAAAATGCTACTGCTAAGAACTATAAATGACTTAATATGCTTAGCTTAAATTATCTAATAGTTCATTTATAGATAATTTATTGATATCTGTATTTTAAAAGTCTTCAAGTAATAAAAACATAAATAATGATTTTAAAAACCTAAAAATAACCAAATGTATTAGTTACTAAAATTAAGAAGGACAAATAAAGTAGGATCCTAAGAATTCTTTCTAAAGTTAGGCTAATTATTAGGAATCTCTTTAAAGTGAATCGAATAACCATGAAAAGGAAAATATTTTCAAATAATAATTGTAGAATAAAACAAAATTACAGTAACCTTATTAAGCTGATAGCATCTTTGAAAACCTATTTCATAAATAAGACTCATAAAAAAATAATTAAATGCATATTAGTAATTTAGAATTCTAGGACTTATAAATAAATACTTTCACAAATTAGAAAAATTAAAATGAATAGACTCTAGGCAATACTTAAATTATTTAGAATAGTGTTTATAATACAAATGAATTGAAATCAATAAATTAATTATACGACAACTAGAAAACATTTTAGCAATTACAAAATAAACAAAAACTTTTAGATGAAAACTATTAAGATTAAAGTTTAGCAAATATGAGCATTTATAGTAATTTACTTAATTAAAAAAACAGAAGGTAAAGTAATAAACTGCTTTTAAATTAAGTAACTAAAGAAGCTAAAGATCTTAATATTATAAATAACTCTAATCGTGGATGTTTTAAAGATGATGAGTACTCTGCAGCAACGTTTAAAAATCAAAAAAGTAACTTTTTCAACGACTACGAAGATCTAAATGATTTTTAGTAGCTAGTTAGTAAATAAGAATTGTTCCAAGATTCTTTTTCCAATAATTTATACTCCCCAATCAAAATTGATTCCCCATTTGAGTAATAGAAAAATTAAAAACCATAAATATTTTTTGGATCAAGCGTTAAAGAAGAAGCACACTAATAAATTTTTAGAAATCAAACAGTTGCTTAAACTTTTGAAAAAAATAGTTCAAATTTATAAAAATTAGATGTTGATTTGATAGTTAATGCAGCATAAAAAAATGCTTATCAAATCTAGGATGCTTAGTCTAAAATTGAATCAGCTCGTTCAAGTATAAATTATTAGGTATCACCACCAAATATTAGAAAAGCAGAGTCTTTCTTATATGTCTAATAGCCTATTGATAGTTTAGAATAAACAAACAAATAACAATAAATCGATTCTTAATAAAAACTGAGCTTATTTTCTAAATAGTAGAACCTATAAAAAACAAACTATTTGGAGCACCAATCCTAAATAAATTAGAATTCTATTAATCCAAATTAGGTTACATCATCTATTGAAAAGTAAAAGCTTATTGAATAAATTAAAAAGAAATCATTAAGCTTACAAAAACAAAAATCTAATCCTTACAAATTAAATACTAACAATCATTAATAAAATTTAATTATAAATGACTTGTCTCAAGAATAAACAGAATAAGACGATTCATTTTTTAGTAATATAAACGAAAGCAAAGTAGAATAATCTTTTAGTGTTAGTAGCTAACTTAATACATACGATAAATAAAGCCAAATTAAAAGTCCCATAAGTTAAAGAGCTAAACCATTAAAATAAATGAATGTAAACTTAAAAAAAATAAATTCATTGCAAAATTTCTAGGATTATTCTAGTTAATCATAATAAGTAAATTAAAATGATATTTAAAGCAAATAATCTAACAATATAAACGAAGATAAAAACAGTATTTAAATATATAAAAGAAACCTGTTTAGAAGACTTTCTGTTTAATCTTACCATTAAAAATAGTAAATTTTTAAAAGGGAAAGCTACTCATTAACACCAACCAGTAATAAAAACTATATACTATAAGAATTTAACAGAAATAATGCAAATACAAATGTATAATCGTATGAACATTAATAATAAAATTCAAGTGAAAATTAATAGTTTTTGAATCTACCATAATCACCATGCTTTTTAACTTTTCCTCAAAGCTCCAATCATCTTGAAAGCTAAAGCAAAATTGACTAAAGAGTTCTTAAAGATTACAAAAATAACCAACCCTAAATTAAAATGCAATCAAATGAAGACAAATAATTCCATTTAGGTATGTAAAAGGCCATCGTATCTTTATTGTAATCTAATAATGAAAACTAAACATACAATTTTATAAAGTCAAAGTTTGAGTTTAATTAGTGCATAAGCAAAGTAGAAAAATAAAAAATCACTTTAAAAAAGCAATGCGAAAGTCCAAAATAGAAATTTCAATAATAAAAGTAAAATTCAGAAAGTTAATTTACCCATCAATATTTAACAGACCAAGTAGCTATAAGTGTAAAGAAGTTTATCATATTTGCCACAGATTAAAATTAAATAGATTAAAATACTGAAATGTATTCTAAATTATGCTAAATGCTGTATAATAGCGAGATAGAACTTCTTATACTTCAATTAAATAGCTAAGACTCTGTGAATGAGACATCAATAGACTCAGATTCATACTATTAATAAAAGTGTGTCATTAAATTTTTCTTTTCCTCAAATAAATTACTATAATATATATATTCATAAAGATCAAATTTCAATGTAAACTTACTACCGCTTATTATAGAGCATTTTTAAACGACCTTCTTGTTTGTATTTCTTTTCTGATTCTTTTAGCATCAACTGAATGGAGGATTAATTTTTCCTACCTTCTAGTTATGTTGCTATGGCTCTTATCAATATTCATTTTTTTTTCATTTATTTTTTTGAATTAATAAGATAAATTTATATCTTATATCCATTTACTGCTAAATGAAAGAATTAAAATTAATTTTAAGAAATAATATTGAGAAATTTCGCACAATATAAATCATAAAACTATAAAAGAAAATATAACTAAGGTTCTAATTATAGCAAAGTACCAAAATAAAAAATGTATTAAACTATTTATAAGAAAGTAATTTTCAAATTTAATAAGTTAAAAATAATTATGTGTAATCTTTCAAATAAGCACAAAATTAATTATTTTCAAAAATTTTTATATTTTAAAAATAATTCAGAAAATCTTAGTAAAATGCTTTAATATAAAGTAACCTGAATTAATAAGGATTGACGGTATATTAACATTTACCTTATAGATTTCTCAATGCTTTTTTAGAATGAAGAAGAAAATGTGATTAACTCAAAAATTTTTAATTTATAATAATTTATTGTAAATTATTAATCAATAATTTGCTCTAATTGTAATTTTATTACCTTAAAATTTTAACTGTAATACAGAAATATAATTTAGGTTTAAAAACATTTTTTTGAAACAGATACAAAAAGAGAGCGATGTTTAATATTTATATCAGAAAAGATTGATTAAGTATCTATAAAAAAATATTTAGAGATATGAATACTTATTATTTAGCATATTTATTAATTCTAATAAAGTAATTTTAAATTCAATTCAAAAAACATAAGCTAAAAAATCATAAAATTATACTCTAATACAATAGAAAAAATTAAGAATTTATATTAAATAAATATTATAAAATTTAGATTAAATAATCTGAGATATTCTAATGTTCAAAATAGTATACTTAAGTAATATTATCAAAATAAATTTAGCTTTTCTGAGACTGTTCACTCAGAAATTATAATAAAAATGTATGATTAAAATTTTATTTATTTATTTAATTTTACTTCTGAATAAAGCGGAGATAGTACAAATAAAAAATAGATATACTCATTCTTAAAAAAAGAGGTGATCAAAGAATTAAATATAATCAAAGTAAATTGTATCGTATTTTAATAGATTGAATGTTTTTTTTTTAATTAATTTTATAAATGAATTAATTGTTCCAGTAGTTATATAGAAGATGCTTTTTCAAAACTAGTGATACTTGAAAAAAATAATCTAATTTTGTTTCACGAATTTTAAGGTTGCGAGTTGTATTAATTTGATAAAAAAGAAATAATCCTAATTAGCTTTGATCTTATTCCTTCTGACAAAGGGAAATATTATAGTAACCAAGTTACCTAAAATGAGGTTGCTTGATTCGATATTCAAAAAAACTTATTTAATATTATATCTTAATTGCCATTTTGAAAAATTTTTAAATAATATTTTTATTTGTTACTCTAAAAATTTAGTAGCTTTCGATAGTCAGAGTATAAAAAAGAAATAGATAAAATCAAAAATTAATTTTGATTTTTTGATAGTCTATTAATTGATAAATAAATAAAAAGTATCTATTTTTGTTTGAGTCAATTTAGTATATATAGAATTTATTAGAAAATATATAAATTTTGAGTTATATATTAAGTTATTTTTCTTTGTAAAACTATTCAGTTAAAATCTGGAAAGTAACCTTTTCATATTTGATAAGAATTAAATATTAATTAAAAAAATGTATTTATTTTAAAGTGCTTTAATTAGTATACATATTTTATTTAAAAAGTTATTAAATGGCGTATGGTTATTTATATATTTAATGATATTTAGTCTTTAAAAATACCAAAAGAATATTTCTTAAATTTATTAAGGATTAACAAAATGTATATTTTAATTTCTTTATTCTGTGAGTATATTTTTAGTATAATTAAATCTGTGATGCTTATTCATTGTAAAATGATAGTCATCCTATAACTAAATAAAGAAATAAGTAATAAATTTATTAGTATTTATTTTTATTTATTTAACATGAATGATTAGGAAAGAGTTAAGAAGATTGTTAAATTTTGAATTAATTACAATATACAAAGCATACACTAAGAGTAGAAGTAGTGATTTATTAGATAATTAATCTAATTAATTAGTAAATTAATCAATTATTACTAGGTAGTGATATAATCTAATTAAAAATAATATTTTCAGTCTCTATATTATAAAAAAGTAGTAATAATTTAGATTAGAAATGGTTTAAATATCACTAAATTCCTAGTGGAAATAAATTTTATAGAGCTAAACCTTTATCATAGCAGTTTTGGCTATTTTGCCTTCTCTTCTTATGTCTGTTATTTGCTATACATCTCTCACATAGTTTTAATTATAGACAAAAATATTAATAACATAATATAGTGAGAATTTATATTAATCACAAAAGAATAGCTCTAAGCAGCATAATTTTGCTCTAGGGATTCAATTTGATTCGCAAGTACAATAGATATAATGGAGACTGTACGTTACAAATAAATTTTATAAGAAAATCCTTAATGGCCAAGTTATTAAAAACCCTAATTTCTAAGCTACTTTTATAAGTCTTGAAAAAACATTTAACTAAACAGAAGATTCATAACTTTTAGGTTTATTCAAAAGAAATCCTATCCTAACAAGCACATGGTAAATAATATATAAACTTTAATTATTCTATAATTGAGATTAATTGTTAGTGTATTAGTTAATTTTCTCATTTTTACTTTGTTTTTTTTTTTCAAAAAAATAATAATATTAACAAATTAATGCTAGTTGTTTGAGATAATTAAATAAATCCTCTACTTTTTCAATTCAATTAAGAAAATAAAATTATTATTGATTTAAATCGCCATTAGAAAGCATAAAAATGATAAAATAATTAATTTTTTTCAAAAAATAAATATATTTGAGTAGTTTATTTAGTTAAACAAAAATAAAATGGTCTGTTGATCACTCACAATTTTATATTTAAGTTATGCAATAATTTATTTATCAAATATATTTAGGTTTAATCCAAATCACACTAATTTTGATGAACTAAATATATAGTCAAAGGAGGAACTATAGGATTCTTTTTACCTAGATAGCTTATGGAGAGCTATTAAATACGAAAATACAATTAATGGCTACTCTAGATTATAAATAAAAGACCTTTTTTTAGGGTTTGAAAATGATGGAGCTCTATACATAACTCCAGGTATTAATTCAACATATTCTTAATTTAAACCTCCAAATTGGTGCTTACCAAACGTATATCACATGGATGTAAGATGCAGATTTTATTATCAGCCTACTATTGAGAGTACTTCTATTCCAATATTATATGCTGATATATTTTATAGCAATCTTGGGGAACCTTTTTTAGCAAGTATTTTCTGCTAAAGGACTGATATAAGGAATGCAAATGAAGACTTTGAAAAGTACAGTATTTTATGCCTAAATATCGACTTAACACACATATCTTCCTTTATGAATAATTTTGGTAGTAATTCTAAGTTTTAATTATTTTTGGATCCTGTAAAGCTAAACGTAATTTATGATTCTGACCAATCTATTCTGAAAGGCTAAGTAATAAACGTATTTGACCATTAAATTAAATGGATGTAATCAAAGTAGTAATAAGACTTATTTATGAGCACTTTGAAAAATTTTACTAGTTCATAGATATTAGACAGCTTTAGTCAAGTTAATATGGTAAAATCTCTCACAGATAATGTTTTATAAAACTAACTTACTCTAGAATATAATATAAATGGAACAGATTTATTTGCAATTATGAATAGAATTACTTTCATAGATAAAATTCCAAATTAGAAGGACTAATAACTATAAGGAACTAAATATTTAGAAAAATTGGTGTACATCTTTATAGATGTGCTAACCCAAGAGCAACTTATGGAAAAATCTAGTAAAGTAAAATCTGATTTAGATAAATTTTAACTTGTGTTTTTAATTGTTAGCTCCATTTTTTTTTCAATTACAATTATAATTGAAGTACTCTATGCCTTGAGGATTAGCTTTTTATTTGAAAGGCCAATAATTCACCTCACTAAAATTATACAATAAATACAGTTAAAATAAACTTTAGAAACCAGTAATAAACTTAAAAGCTAGACTTCTTTTAATTAATTAGCATCTATAAACCTAGATTATAAAATAATGTAATCGTAAAAATAAACAAAAAGAAGTGTTTAAAATATTTTTAAAGGAGGTGAATCGTAGACGACAAGCCATGATATTTAAATTGGTTCATCTTAAAATAAGCAAAAGTAAAAATAAAATGAAAAAAATTAGTATAATATAAGAATATTAAAAGAAGATTAACATAAAAATGGAGACAATTTGAATGATAAAAATCTAAAGAGCCAGTTAAATTTTTAATCAATGAGTTCTAGAAGAGGAGGAATTACATACTTTGGCTTTATTTAGGAAGAAGAATGGAAAGTTAATATCGTTGATTTCTGTCTTTCAAGTGAAACTAAGAGTTTGTTTGAAAGCTTTCAGAATATGTTTTAAACCCTCTAATTTATTACTTAAAATATTTTTGGTGGAGACGAAAGTTAATCGCTTCTTAGTCTATCTACATAAATTGAATTTTTTAAAAGCATTAAAAACTATAGAGCATTGGGAATTTGCTTTAATAATATGGGTAATATTCACTATAATTGTTGCAGGTATAAAGAAGCTTTGGAAAGTTACTAGCATGCTTTGATATACGCTTAATATGAGATTGAATTGTATAAATCAATTGACTATTTCTGTAAATCTGAAACTCAAAAACATTAGGATATTCATGACAATTCAAATAATGAAATTAATGAGAAAAGCAGAGAGCAAGTTTGTGATAATGACAACCATTCTATCTTAAAGGAAAACTCTGCTCTTAGAAAACATGATTTTGGATAAAAATATAAAAGTTCTATTAACTATTCTAGTAATTTTAGATTTAGAAGTTAGGCTAAGAAAAAAACTTTACTATAAATTCTTAATATAGAATAAAGTATGCAACATCCTCTTTTAAATATCTTAAATAATAATCAAACTCTATCTAATAGTCATAACTTTTCTTCTTCTATTAAATTTAAATTGTTCTGTAAGCTAAGCAAATAAGAAAGTGAAGTGCTTTGGTGGAATATCTTTAATAGAAAATACAACTATTGTTAAGCTCTAGCAGGGTATTTAAAAGATTACCATAATAACAATATTAGCTTGTGGGAAGAAATGGAGTCAGTCGTTTATGAGCTACTTGCAATTAGTAGTAGCTAATTCCTTCCATAATGCCATAAAAGAGATATGATTATACTCTATTAGCTATCTATAGCTTTATTGCATTAAAATAAAGTTTATTAATTTCTTGAATGCCTTTCAATATATGAATAAATATATAATTTCAGTAAAGAATCAAAGCATTAAGCAAAGATAGAATCTATTTCTAAAACTGTAATCAGACAAAATTTAACCCCTCAAAAAAAAGAATAAAAACCTATCTTCTAAAGCTAAGAATAACCTAATTCGTTCAGTAACTAGCATAATAATCCTCTTATAAACGCTTAGAGCTTATCTCAGAAAACTAACAAAAATATATTTTTTACACCTTAACACTATCAGCAAAAAAATGATTAAAAACTCCATGAATTTCCAACAATCTAATTTTCTGCTGAATAGTCAGATTAAGTTATGTTTTAGGCAACTCAAAAATCAAGATTTCATTTAAATGATGCACCACTTTAGCTACCAGCTAATTTCACTTTCAAGCATAAAGAAATCTTGAAAAAAAAAGACTCTCTTTTTTTAACTTGTGAAGATAGCCCTACAATGTTGTCTTCGCGCCAACTTGAAGGTGCTTATTTAGACGAGAATGCTACATTTCATGCTATTAGAGATACTTAAGCCAATCTCTTTTAAATTTCCAAAAATAATATCAGTAATGTTTTAGAATAGAATGTTTAGATTGCTAATGATGCAGAAAATCAAAGTAATTTAATAATCGATATGGCTAAGATTAACTAAGAAACTCCTGATAAACTTAAATCAGCTTAGCAGTTTTTATTTGGTAGGTAATAAAGTATTTTATTCTAAAAGTAACTTATGTAGCCTCATATTAATGATAAAAACCATCATAATTAATAAATTATAACAAAAAAATTTCATTCTTTTACAACAAAAAACATACAAAAAAGGGAAGAAAATGAAGAATTGCATCTTTCTCATAAGAATATAAATTTTTAAAAATAAGATATTAATCTTAATGAAAAAAAGTAAAGTAGAGTATTATTTTCAAATAGCTTATTAAAGAACAAGAGTGAATAATATTATAGCACTGCAACATTCTAGGCCTATGAAACGAATTCTACAAGTCTTTATGATATCTAATAACAACGAAGTAAGCCAAGAAATCAGAGTTAAGTAAAATCTATAAAATCGTTTGAAAAAATAGCTCAGTATAAATTTAATATGGATATTTTTGCTTAATATTACACTTTATAGCTATCAAACCTTTAATCAAAGATAGGAAATTACAGCCACTCAGCTGAGATTCTTACTAAGATACTAGAAAGGAGCTACGTTTACTCTCCTCATTTAAAAAAAAGAATTTTAAAGAAACTTCATAATATTTTTATAAAATTAAACATTAAAAATCCCTTTCTTTTAAATATGAAATACTAGTACGAAAATCTATAAAAATCTAATTTTAAAATTTGTTTTATAACCAATGTGCAAAAGCCACTCTAAAAGTAAGAATGCTTACACCTATGCTAAGATTTGATATAGGATATTTTAACTCGTAAATAAGATTAGCTTTCTTTAATAAACTATAAATAAGAGGAGCTTATTTATGTGCAATAGCAAATGTTAACTCCCGTTTTTATAATTAAGAAATAAATAAACCACTTTTATCAGATTCTTTTAAAATCATTTACTAATGAAAATGACTCTAAGTAGTGTAACAACTCTCCTTTATGCTCTTAAAATATTAGTTTCAGCCTTTACAATCAAGATTAAATTAAAAATATTTAATCTCCTTTGTCAAATTTGTCATAAAATTTAATTCATTTTAAATCTGATTAAAATTAAAATGCTTCATAAAATTTTCACTAATAAAATCATCAAGGCTTGACAGAGCAATTTGATGATGAATTTTTTTCTATACATAAAATGCAAAAATAAATCAAAGAATAGGAAAAATAAATTAAAACTGAAAATTAATAAACTCATCAAAATGCTATCATTAGTATAATTGATTTAAATAACGAAAATGTAGGATACTAAGTTTCATTCAAAAGTATAGATAACTCAAATAATTTGTAGTCAGATGTTAAATTAAATTTAGATATATCTGTGAATGGTCTAATTAACATAGAAAATAATAACCTTTAACCTTATACAAAAATAAATTCAATTAATTCATCATAACAATTCTTCAATTAGAACAATTAAGAAGAAATTATTAAAAATTGTTAGCATTAAAAAGTTGAAAATAACTTAAAATAACAGTAATTAGATTAATAACACTTTTCTTTTAACTTTGAAGACAAATCAAAAGATAATTTGAGCAAAGAAAAATCATAAAGTTTTATAAAAAAGCTTAATTATCATAATAATCAACAAATAAAAAACTAAAAAAAATTGATATAAAATCCAAAATATTAGTAGATTTAATAACCAGAATATATATCAAATTAAGAAATTTAATAGAGCAAATAAAAAAGCAAAGGGAATTAATAAATTAGCTAAACACTATAAATATCAAATGAACCACAAAAAAATAATACCTCTTCAACTTCTTCATTTTAAAAAATTAATATAAATAGACCATCTTCCTTTAAAAAAATTTTTTTTTCATCTGATGATAAAAATAATTCACAATAAAATGGTTAATTAAGTGATTAAATTTTAAACGGAAAATTCGATGACTAAGAATAAAAAAATTATTAAAAATTCCCATCTATTGATTCTATTTATGAGTAGAATAATCTTTAGTAAATTTCAAATTTTCATAGGGTTGTATCATGTCCAAATACAAGCACCACTGAAAAAGAAGAGAATTCAAATTCAAATTTATAGAATTCGATTTCCTAATAAAAAGAATAGGAACTAATATTTCATCTTGGTGTTCATATTGCACTCAAAAGAGATATTCTAAATTCACCTTAAAAGATCTCCTTTTATTAGGCTTAAAAAAAAAATGGAAAATATATGTAATTAAGTGAAAATTAAAAAGAGGTGCTCTCTTAAAATTACTTCAAGTTTAAAGATTCAGATTCATATCCAATACAAAAAACTTTCTTAATTTATGTTACAGACTAAATTTTAGTAATTAGAAATACATTTTTGTACAAAGAATTGTGCAGCTTACTTTACAATTTAAGCATAGAGCTACTAGTTTTGCTATAAAATTCTTATTAATCTACTTTAGAACAACCAATTGATTTAAACGCTGAAATACTAAACAAAAATGTGATATAATTTTTTACATCTTAATCAAAACTCCTATAATATATATACAATCAGAGAGATATTAGTAATCATAATTTGTATCCTACTATTGTAGAGTAATTTTAAACTAATTCATTTGAATGAGTTTTAGATAAAAATAAATTAATTACTTTGAAAGTATATTTATCGTTTCCTGCTTTTTTTAGTAAAATCCCTCCTCCACTCAAATTTTTAAAATAAAAAAAAGCTGAAACATTTATATAATAAAATTTCTAGAAATATACATCATTAAACTGTTTAATACTTTGTTTGAATTGCATAATTAAATTTTATATTAAATATTTGTTAATTTATAACTTTCTATTTGGATTTAAACATGAATAATTCATTATTTAAATTTTCTAAAATTCTAAAAAATATTTCTTTGTAATTTGCAACAAAGTAAAACATATATATCAAGAGACAATAACCCAGAGTCAAAAAATATTTAGCGGGCACTCAAAAGAGCAATATTTAATATAATAGCACTTTAAGCGCCAATGAAAGTGTTATTTAGATTCAAAAAGGCTTTAAATATTAGAAAAAGTAGAGGTAAAATATAATAATTTAATGCAAAAAATTTTTAATAAGTAGAACACAAAAAAATAAATAGGCAAATCAAAATGGAATCATAGGCATACTCTGAAAACGCTTTGTACTTTATTCAAGTCGAAGAAGGTGCAAAGTAGCCATTTAAGGCTTATGCTGAATCTGCTGGATGGGACCTCTACAGCTTGAGTACTTGCAACGAAGTCATTCCTGCTAGATAAAGCGCCTTGATTAACACTGGTTTAAAAATTGAAGTTCCTAAGGGTTATTACGGAAGAGTCGCTCCTACTTCAGGCAATGCTGTAAAAGGTATTTCAGTAGATGCAGGTGTTATTGATAGAGGTTATAAAGGGCTTTTGAAGGTTTTACTTGTCAACAGAACAGATAAAGATATTACCATTGGAGGTGGAGTTAAAATTGCTTAAATTATTATTGAAAGAATATTTGAAGGAAGTGCCTTTTTCCAAAAGCTTGATGGAAACTAAGAAATTGACAATTAGCAAGCTGATAAAATCAGAGGTGAAAATGGTTTTGGATCTTCTGGTACCTTTGCTTAATAGAATCAATAATGATAAATGAATTTTCTTTAATAGTTTCATTTCAAAAAAAAATAAAAAATACTTTTTTAGTAATTAAAAACAAAATTATTATTATAATATAAAATATAAAATTATTTCTACTTCTAAAATCTAGTAATGGTATATGTTTACATACCAAGCAATCTTTTGTATATTATTTTACTTTTTTAGCAAGGATCATCATTTTTTAGTAGAAGTTTTATACCTACTTTTTGAATTTCAAAAAAGGAAAATATTTATGTTAAAATCAAAAATTAAATTTCATAAATCAAAAAAGATAAATAAATAAAGTCTAATTTAAAAAATAGTCAAAATGTTTTAATAAATATTAATGCTATTTATTTTAATTTTTTAAAAGAATAAACTTTATTATTTTAAGTATTATTTATTTTATTTTAAGAATAAATACATATGAAAAGTTATAATCCTTTTTTAAATATATAAAAGTTAATAATTTCAATAAAAAATACATGCTTATTAAAAATTAAGAAATTTCTTATTTCTTTTAAAATATTCATATAAACACATAAAAGTGTTACAAAGTTAAATAAATATTAATATAAAATTTATTTTATGAATTGAATTCAATAAAATTAATTTTATCAGCTCGATAATAATCATTTACACATACTATTTCACAATCTGTACCAACACAGTTGGTGATATTTTAAAAATATTAAAATTGTAATCATTTAATTAATCTAACTTATAAAGGTTTTATTTTCCTTAACAAAATATAGAGAGAGAAGTATCTTAAAATAGCAAAAATTAATAGCAAGAAAAATTTAAAATTAATTTATTAAACTAAAATAAAGTCAAAATATTTTCATATAAATTACTGTGTTTAATATTTTAAAATATCATAAAGAAAAAGAAAATCTTAGCATACTAAACTCAAAAAAATTATTAATTACTAACTTTAGTTAAATATGGATATAAGTATTTATTTTATTCCTGTTTTGAGAGCTTTAAACAAATATTAGAAGCTTCATTAAATGATTCATTATCCCTTAAATTGTTAAATTCAGAATATTTTTGCAAATAATCAAAATAATAATATGCTATTGTTATTTCATTAGGGTGCAATTGCATTCCTTTTTGAATGTAAAACTCTGCCTCTTAATATTTCTTTTATTACTTTAACAAAGCATACAACTTTTGATATGGAGTTTTTAACTTTTTTCCAACTATTGAGTTCTTATAACATTCTAAGGATTTATCATGCTGCTATTCATTCTGATACGCTAAACCCATGTTATAATATGCATTTACTATCTTAGGATTTATTTCTATGGCCTAATGTTTTAAAATAAAATGTCATATTTTGATCAGTTCTTAATATAAATTAGGATTCGCAATAAATCTTATTAAATTTTACTTTCAAAATAAAATGCTTAAATAATAATTAAAAAAATATAATTTAATCTAAATAATTTGATAAGTATTACCTTTTAACATTACTCAATACATTTTATATTATCTTTCATAGAAGCTCTAATTAATTATCCAATATTATTAAGTGTTTAGGGAGATTTAGGATTTAATTTCAAAGATTGCTCTAAGAAAAATAGTGATTCTTTTTCATTTTTCAAACTTCCATAAATATAAGATATATATCTTAGTATATCGCTGTCGTACGTATCAGATTTTAAAATCTAATTTAAGTATTCTTTTGTTATTTCATTCATAGAGGGTTTATCAGAACATATTTAAGTAAGATAACTTAAAATCCATTGGTTATTAGGGTTATGAGATAAACCTTCCTCTAAAATACTTCTTGACTATTGCTCATCAAGCATGGAATTATACAATATACCTGCTACATAGAAATTCCTCCAATATAAAGAGTCTAATTGAAAGCATTCTTTTAATAATTTCAGTTAATCTTCTTTAATTCCTACCCTAAATTCTATTTAAATCAATATCAAATCTATTCTAGCATCTAAATCTTATGGTGATAATTATAAGATTTATTTGATTAACTAGAGGCCTTGTTATTTGTTTTACTTGAATTTATATTCTATTTGTGATAAAATGGCTAGACTTCTTATATCCTACTAATTTTCTTTTAATTAGTCTTTTATTTCCTATTCAATTTCTTACAACTCTTTATAAAAAGAGAATACCTACTTATTTGCAAAAAAGTTGTACTTTATTTAATTATGAGTGATCATAATTTTAAGCAATAATAATCATTATAATAAAAATTAAACAAAAAAAAAGTACATAACAACGTCTAAATATGTTTATCTATTTATATTAATTAATATTGTTCATTTTTTCATTATTTTTTTCTGAACATAAATAAATAAACTAATTTTTTAAATTTCTATTCTTTATAATAAAAATTAAACAAAAAAAAGTACATAACAACGTCAATAAATCTTTATCTATTTATATTAATTAATATTGTTCATTTTTTCTTTATTTTTCTCATAAACATAAATAAACTAATTTTTTTATTTATTAGATGAAATTTTTAAAAATGTATTTTGCTTAATTTAAAAAGTAATCAAGAAAATTTAAACCAAAGTAAATTCTAAATAAGCAATAATTTTACAAGATTTTAAGTTTTTATTTTGACAAATTATTACTAATTCCTTCAATTGAATGGAGTGTCACCTATGATTTCAGAACAAAGTCAAGTGATGTTTAAAGTTAATTTAGTTTGTAATTGTTGATAAACAAAATAATGAAAATAAATTATTAATAAATATTATAGCATAAAAAATAACCAAAAAATTAAAAAAGTAAAAGAGGAAAAAGCATCAATTTATAAATATAATTTTTACGTTAATTGTATTCATAATATTAGAAAAACTTAATCTATTCAATAAATTAAAACAAAAGAAATTTGCGAGAAATATGTCTCTGAAATCAAATAAATGCTTAAACAAAATAGCTGCTTTAATTTAAAGAGCAATTAATTTTTGCAATTCTAATAAAACACATTTAACAATAATAGCATTAATGCTGCTTCCGACTGTATTTTGCATGATCATTACATTTTTAAGCATAAAAATATCTTAATTAATAACTTAAGACCTAGTTGATGAGTTTGCTGAATAACTTTTTTAAGATCAGATTAAAGCATCTTAAATCTTAAATACTGCAATAGTTTTTCAGCTTAACTTTTAAATGTAGAAATTGGTATGGCAAATTAATCTTTTAAATGAATTTTAAGGAAATTTAATTTAGAATAATGTCAAAAAAAACATTAATCATATTCCTACTATTCTAAATATCGATAGAGCTTATAACAATAATGAAAATCCTTTAATCATGAACTTGTTTAAGAAGAATAATATTTAAGTTAGTTCTTGGTAAATAAAATTATACTTTTACTGTAATTTAGGCATGATAAATTCAATTGTTCTCTTTTCAATAAAAACATTTTAAATTTAAAATATTATTATTCTCAAATAATTATTTATTTATTAGGAAATCTTATTGAGTAGTATTGTATGTAAACCTTTTTTATTAATTATAAAAAATTTAAAATATTAAAAAAAGGTATCAAGATAGGTTTCAAACCTAAACAAACAAAAAAAATAAAAAATGTTTAATCTAAGATTTAAATTTTCGATGAAGAAATCTAAATTTTTAATTAATCAATCAATTTTAAGAGTTAAGCCTTTTTTTCATTCATAGGTACAAAAAATAATAAAAAAAGATTGAGTGTCTGATAAAAAAATTTAGATTTCTTCATAAAAAGTTAAATCTTTGATTAAACGTTTTTTATTTTTTTCTTCTATCAGGTTAGAAACCTGCTCCAAAACCTTTTTTTAATTTCTTTTTAATTTTTTTTATTTTTATTAAATCATATTTATTGTCTTTTAAAGTTATATTTATCACTTAAGAAATAATTATTTGAGAATAGCTATAGATTAAGAAAATTAAATCTTTTTATTTTTTATTTTCTTTGAATCAAGAATAAGTTTTTAAAGTAGAAACAATTTTTGAATTTATTATTAGAAAAATTAAAATTATTTCTTTTAACTTAAAAAATTTTTTTTAAAAAGGCATTAAGTAAATGAAGCGTATTTGAAAGATCTTAATTAAATTTAAATTTAATAAATGGATTATGCTGTGAGATAAGATTCTATTTGGAAAGCAATAAAATATGAAAATGACAATTAAAATCAAAGGTATCTAAAAATAGATGATATTCAGATAGGATATGATAAAGGTGGATTATTCTACTAGACAGGTAAAAATTTAACATATGATAGCTATGAAATACCTTCAGGGTGTCCATACACAGGATAATTCAGATTTGATGTGCGCTGTAGATTCTACTATCAGCCAACTATGAACAATATATCTATTGCAATTTTTGATCCTTAAGTTATTTACAATAATGTAACACCTTATTTAGGTAGTATCTTTTGTCAAAGAAGATTAAAGTATTAAAACACAAACCCAAGCGATGATGGTGAGATATATTCGTTGCTTTGTATCACTTTAGATATTTCTTAAATTTAAAATTATTTTACTAATTTGACATAAAATTCAGTTGCTAAAATTGTCATAGACCCTAGAAAACTCACTATTGTATATGATTCTTAATAAAAAATAACTAGTGTAGGATTAAATACTTTGTATAAAACTGAGATAGATTTATTGGAAAATATAAGTGAGGTGCAAAATATTTTAGAAAACATTCAATAAATGTCTTAATTTGTTTTAGATAGCTAAGATTCTATAAAAGAGCTAAGCTTAAGCCCAAAATCTATACAAAATACCTTCTAATACAACAGAAACGGAACAGAATACTTTGTTTCACAAAATCTCATCACAGTAATAGATAAAGTACCAAAACGAGAGACACTAAAAAAAATAAATCCTTCTAAGAAATTCTAACTCAAAGGCGTGTTTATCTATCTCGATTTGATTTCTAAATAATAAATGACTCAATATTGTTAAAATCTAACAAATTCTATTGAAATATTAAATAATGAGCAAATTTACTGTTGTTTGTCTCTTCTAATTATATTAATTGGCTTCAAGCTCTATTATTCTATAATTTTAGGTTACCAAATTTTATATCCAATAGCTCATTTGACAAATGTTCTTAAATAAATTTAGATTGTGAACAAATAAGATAAAAAGTCTGTTTTTAAAAAAATATTCACTTAAAATTATAATTCACCCTCTTAAGCTTTAGATAAATTAAAACTAACATAATAATCGGATAGTGATAGTTATAATTAAATTTAAATCAGTTTTGATGTTGATTAGGATTTTGAAGGTGTTTGCTTTTCTCAAGATACTTAAGAGTTACTTTTCATCTTTTAAAATATGTTTTAAATTTTATTATCAATAAATAAAAATTTTTTCAGCTCAAATGAAAGTTCCAAACTGTTAGAATTTAATAAATAGCTTAACCACTTCGAAAATATAAAGAATTATAATTCTTTGGGAGTTTGCTATAATAATATAGGAGTAATACATTACAATAATCAAAGGTACTAGGAGTCAATAATAAATTTTTAAAAATCAATTATATATGCAAACTACGAATTAAATGTTTATTCTCACAATAATTCCAAATATAACAGCAGTAATAAACACAAATCTGAAAATTAAAACATAAAATATTCAAGCAAATAGAACACATATTTGGAATATTTAAATTTTTAATAAGAAGGTGAAGATACTTACAATTAGAATGAAATTTAGGAGCTCTACGAGAATTTGTATAACAGAAAATTAAATTTAGTCAAAGCTTTATTTCATTTTTATATATCATACTCAGGTATGTGGGATATTTTCTAAGAAATGATTTCAGATTTGTTGTATTTGACTAAGAACTTTTTAGGAAAATCAAATGAAAGAGAAATGCTAACTTATTTTGTAATGCTAAAGGGTTTTTACTTTAGTAAAGATTTATCAAGTGCTAAAGATACTTTGAATATACTAACCGATTTATATTCAAAGAAATTTGAAACAAATGATCACTAAAATAACAAAAATAAATAAGAATATTGTTAATTCTAAAATGTGACTGAAAGTTAAATTTAAAATAAAGAGTATTATGCAGATTAAATATTTATTTCACCTATTATAAATATTAAAAAATTAAAACATAAATCTACAAGAAGCAAAAAGATATAAAATTTTTTTAATTATTCCCATAGTTAAGAAAAAGATCAGTCTATTTTGTTTTAAGAGTTAAAAAACCAAGAAAAATCAAAAGATCCACTTCAAATAAAAGAAAATTTTTTTGAAACATAAAATAACTCAATTGCAGTTATGTATCAATATAAAAGTAAACAGAATAACTCAATTGTAAGCAACGATAAAAATTAATTAAACTTAGAGGAAAGCAGCTTAAACACAGATACGTATTATAATAGACCTAAAGTGAGCTCCATATTTAAAAAAATATTAGAGCACAAAAACAAATTATAAAGAGAAGAAAACAATGAGAATAATTTAGAAAAGGGAAAGTAAGAAAATTTTCATTAAAAATTCATGAGCTTGTGCTAAAAGTAATATGTAATGTAATAAAGTAGAGCATTTAGTAGTTAATACCCATAAAATAGGGAAAGAGCAAAAATAATTACTGGCCACACATAAGATAAATAAACTAAAATTACTTTTTACAAGCTTTATAAAACTTTAAAAAAAACTTTAAAAGCCTAAGATTATGAATTTAGTTCAGATATTTATTTTTATTATTATGCTCTAAGCTAAGCTTAATATTAAATTTATATTAATAATTAATATACTGCAGCTACTATCTTAACAAATTGCTTTGAAAAATGTAAATAATATTTACCTTATTTAAAGTTACAAGCTTTAAATATGCTACATAGGATATTTAGCTAGAACAACATAAAAGAAGAATACTTAGAATAAATGAAGAAATCTTATGAGTAATTTCAAGACTGTAATTATCATGTATATGTAATTTCAGCATGCTAGAAAAAAAGAAATAAGAAAAAAATATATTAAATTTGCAGTGATTTATATAATTATATACTTCATAAGTAGGAGGATGTGTTTGGATTAATACAGTATCAGTATTAAGACCATATTTTTGAGTAAGTTGTTTCCTAGACTTAATTAAAAACTCTTCAATCTAATGTTTAGCTAGTAGATAAAATGTTTGAATAGCTTTACAAGCAAACAAATTAAACATAAAAAAACTCAATTTAATATTCCTCATCATAAGCAAATAAAAATATACCATTTACTTAAGATAATATGTTTTAGATGAATTAAAAATATGAATAATTTTAAGTAAAGTAGCAAAAAATAAACACAAATTAATAGAACCAAAGCTTATTTGATAATAGATAAGATAATACAATTGAAAATTCTAATTTTGAGTCACAATAATATACTCTAGATAATCTAAAGACCTCTATGAAACAATTGAATTTATATGAAAACTCAAAAATTCTAGAGAATAATAATCATTTTTGTGATACTAAAAGTAAATAGAAATTTCCAAATTAATATTTTGGTTTTTAAAGCTAAAATATAAAATCACATACTAATCTATTAAATAGCCATTTTTCAGATGATATGCAGAGTTTAGAATAAATTAACATGAATTATTGTACAAAGTAGTTGAAAAATAAGTTTAATTTTAACAAATATAATAAATCTAAAATTAATATTGAGCTTATCAAATATGATAACGAATCTGAACAACAGTTATAGATATAAAAAAATAAAATTAATTAGATATCTGATTTTTAAGATTATTAGAATGATTAATTTAACAATAATATAAATGAAAAATAACAAAGAATGTAATGTTAAAATAATAAAATTGATAAATATGTCGCTGAATTTATATTTCATTAGGGTATACAAGCGGCTTTGAAGTAATTTATTTTAAACACAGACAACAAAATGAATTATTATCTTGAGTTGAATGCATTTAAAAGTTAAATAAAAACAAAATAGTTCAAATTACCAAAGACCATACAAAAATTTATCATCTATGCAACTGATAATGAGTTACAATTTAAAAATAAAAATATATTGAAGGAATTATGTTTATTATTAAACAATTTGGATATCTAACTTCTAGTTCTTACTAAGAATCATTCTTAATCTTTAGAAGAATTTTCTGATCTTTAAGATATTTTTATAAAAGAAAAATAAATTATTTTGTTTTTTAAAGAAGAGCAAACAATGCTTCTATACATATACAATTAAAGAGAACATGTTAAAAATTAATTTCTTCCAATGATGATTGAATATTTTTGAATTAATATTTGTAGGGCTAATTTGTGTTTTTAACTATTTTTTTTATTCATAAATAAAAATTTTAAAAATAAAGATTTCTTTATTTTTTTGATTTAATATTTGATAAAAAACAATTTTGGTATTTTTCTTTATTTAATTCTTAATAATATTGTAAAATCATCGAATTAAATGATCTCATAAAATTTTTTCAATTATTTGTTTAGAAAATGTAATCTTATGAAATTAAAGATTTAACAATAATATAATGGCCAATAAATGGAATTTTAAATAAAGATGTTAAATGATAAATTTCATAATAAATATATATTTTTCTTTTTTAACAATAATATAATAAATAACTATCAATAGTATTTATGCATTTTTATAAGTTTTATAAATTTTCTTTTATATTAAGAAACATTTAAATATTTTACTACTGATAACTTTCAGAAAATTTTCAAAAAAAAGAATATCAGAAAACTTCAAATTAATCTTGACACAATGAACTTTTCAATAATCTTTTAAATAAAATATTAATATTTAACTCCTAAAATATTATATTGATGTGAATAAATTTTACAAAGGAAAGAAGTTGTCTCTCAAAATTTAAACATATTTAATAAATGTTTGATTGTTGTAAATAATAGAATATTAATAAGTTGCATAGCCAATAAATACTATTATTATCTTTAAATGATTATTAAATTATCAAATAATTATGAGTTTAAAATACAAATAAAATTTGCATTTTATGACAATTAAATTATAAAAAGTTGTTTCACTCACTATAGAGATACTATCAATATAGATAAATAAAACTTGAATAGTACTATAAAAGTACTGTTTCATGATATTTTCAAATTGTGTTAAAAAATTGCTCTATTTTTAAACAAATTCAACTATTAAACTAATGAAAATATTATTGACTTGAATTTTCTATTTTGAAATATGTTTTATATAAAATTCTTTTGATATTTTTATAGCTAACAATAACTAATTTATAAATATTTAACACATTTGTAAATTTTAAATTATTAAAGTTAAGATATTAAGAAAGATAGCGAAATGGATGAAGTAAATTAAAAAAAATAAAATAAGTTTTATAGAATATCGAATTATTTAAAAGCGCACATAAGCAACAATTTAACTTAAATTTTTATAGTATTTATAACCCTATTTCCTACTTTAGTAATAACCTTCGCTACTTTTACAAACATTTAGTTTTTTTAGAATGTAAGCGTGGATCTAATAAATGGTTTTGCTGAATAGCTCTTTCAAGACTAAATAAATAGTTCCAAGCAATAAAATTTAGCTGTAGTTTTCTAACTAAACTCATAAATTTAAAAAATTCTTTGGCAGATAAACTTGCTTAATGAATTTTAAGGCAAAAATCTACTTGATATAGTAATTAAAAACTAGAAACATATTCCTGCAATTCATAATATAGATAGATCCTTTTATATGTAAGAAAACAAGACTGTATTAAATATGTTTTTGAAAAATCCAATATTGACTAGTGTCTGGTAATTTTAATTTATTTACATAAGCTCAATCTAAAATATTTTTCTCTCATGAATTAAAGCATTTTATCAATTTTATTTAAGCTACTTTGTAATCTAATTAATCAACTTACTATAAAGCAACATTTGATGAATATTTAAAGTTTATTTCTATATTTATTGTCAATTTTTATTAATAGAATTAAGATAACTCTCAAAAACATAAATAAACAAAATATAAATTTTATTCGATATAAATTATTTTAAAAATTAAATTAAAAAAATTTCAGTAAAATTTAAAAATAAATTAAAATAGCACATCATATAATATGATAAGGAAATAGTTCACTTTTAAAGTTAATATTTTTAAATTTACAGGCACCATGTAAATTTTAGCTATTTAGAGTAATTAGATGAAAGATAGATTTAACAACTGTATTATGGTTATAGATTAGATTCTATTTGGAAAGCAATTAAGTTTGATAATTAAAATTAGAATAATATGTGGTTATAAATCTAAGACATTTTGGTGGCACATAATTATGATGGTATGACTTATAAGACAAGTATAAATACAACATATATAGATTACCCTATTCCTCCGAATTGCCCTTATTATGGTACTTATAATTTTGATATCAGATGTAGGTTTTATTATAAACCAACTATGGACGATATATCTACAGTTCTTTTTGATCCTTAAGTTTTTTATGCTAGTGCTTAACCTTATTTAGCAAGTATTTTTTGCCAGAGGAGATTGAGGTATTTTAGCTAAGATCCAAACTCAGAGGCAGAAAAATATTCTATGCTATGCATAACTTTAGATTTAACTTAAACTCCTAAATATTTTTAAAATTTTGGATAAAACTCTAAATTTTAAATTATTCTGGATCCAAGAAAACTTACAGTTGTTTACGATTCTATAATAAATATTAAAAGAGATTAAATCTTAAATATTTAATAAGCAGAAACATATTACCTGCAAGATTAAAGCTAGTCAAAAATTATAATTGAAAATATAAGTATGATGTCTCAATACATTCTAGACCAGAAAGATAATATAAATGAGCTTTAGTTAGATTCATAGTAAATTTAGAGAACATTCTAATACAACAGAAATGGGACTGAGTGTTTTGTAATTCAAAATCTCATCACTATGGTTGACAAGATTCCTAGTTTTGAAGTATTAAAGAGAGGAAGTGCTTTTAAAAAATTTTAGCTCAAAAGCGCTTTTATCTTTTTGGATGTTCTCTCGAAAGAGAAAATGATTTAGTATTCTAATGACCTTCAAATAAAGATAAAATACTACAATTAAATATTTAGCTACTGTTGTTGGGTTTTAATAATATTGGCTACCATTTTTTAGATTTACTTTTCAATAATCCTAGGGCGATTATTAATTCATCCTATTATTCACTTAACAAATATATTAAAGTAAATCAAAATTAAAAACCAAAGCATTTAGTAATAGAGTAATAATTTAATCAAAGATTCCTTGCATACTGGATATCAAACACTAAATACAAATTTTAAGAGCTAAAAAGACACCTATTATTAAAATGCTTCAATATTGAGTTTTGAAGATTAAATACAATTTGAATTTAACATAAATTTAGATTTTGATAATATTTGCTTTTCTAGAGATACGTAGGAGTTGTTAAACAGCTTCTAAAATATGCTTAAAATTTTAAAATTTACTAACTCAAATATACTTAAATAAAATGAGAGTACTTCTCTATTGAATCTTAATATGCAAGTTCAGTACTTTGAAAAATTTTGTAATTATAGAGCATTAGGAGTGTGTTATAATAATATAGGAGTAATTCATTACAACAGCGGTAGATATTAAGAATCTGTAGAAAATTTTCAAAAAGCTGTTATATTTGCTAAATACGAGCTAAATGTCTATAACCAATAAAATGTAAAAGAAGAACTTTCTTAGTAAATAAAGAGGTTCGCTTCAATTTTTAATATGAATATCCTTGAAAACAAAAATAAAAATAATTTCTTAGATGACAATAGCGAACAAAAAAATAAAATTTTGAAATTAAGTTTTGATAAATATAATCAGATCGATGAAAAAGAATAAATTCAATTCTAATTTGAAGATATAGTTGAAAATGAATAACTCTACTGGAATCTATTTAATAGAAAAGAAAATTTACTTAAATCCCTATCAAACTATTTAAATTATAATTCTGGTTTATGGGATATTTACTATGAGCTTGCTAAAGAAAATGCTATAATTAGTAAAATGTTTCTTCCTCCCTCTTTTAAAAGAGAAATGTTTAATTACTATCCAATATTAATTTCATGCTTCAAATCTAAAGACATGGAAAATGCTAAGGATATATTAAAAAAAATAAGTATATTATATATAAAAAACTATGAAAAAAAAAATAACTAAAATGAAATAAATTCAGAAAAACCTAAAACAATCTCAAACTTTGCAAATAAAATGTTAGCTCTTCAAAATAATTTGTTAATCTAGAATACTCAAGATTCATTATTTCTCTAAAAAAAGTTATCTGAATACAGTAATTAAGTTAGTGAAATTAATGCTTCATAAGTTTTAATGTCTCCTATTAAGAAGTCTACAGTAAAAAAGTAAATATTAAAATTTAAAGAGGTGTTAGAAAAGGAATAAATTTACAGCTATAGTAATTAAAAGCGATTATCAAGTCTAGCTGAAGGAGTTTTTGATAGTGCTCAGTATCACTAAACTTAAAAACAGCAAGCAAAGCAAACATAAAAAAATATACCTGTCTCAATCCTTTAAAATCAAGAAGCTAATTTTAAAGTAAAAAAATAATAAATTTACTAAAATGATCCAAATAAGAAAGCAACAAAATAATCATTTTTTTAAAAACAATACAATACAAATTAGTAGCATAGTTAACTAAGTGAAAGAAATAATAAAAAAGCCACACTGATAATCTAAAAAGAAAATCAAAAAAATCCAAGGAAATCAAACTTTTAAAATTTCATACAACTACATATTCTCTCTAACACAAATAAGAAGTTTTTATCTTTTTACAAAGTTAGGAAATGCAAAAATTCAGATAAAGTTTCTAAATATGAATTTAGCTCAGATGTAAATTTTATGTATTACGCATTGAATTAGGCTTAGTTTTTAGTGTAAAGCTAAAATTTTTCTAAAGCTGCAACAATTTTAACTAATTCCTTAGAATCTTGTAAATACTATTTACCTCACTTGAAGGAGTAGGCTTTAAACATTTTATCTGATATATTTTGTAGAAAAAATATTTTTGCTGAAGAGTTAGAAGAAATGAAAAATTCCTATTAGTCGTTAATAAATTGCAATTTTCATGTCTATATTATATCAGCTTGCCAGTAATGGAAGGGAAACAAAAAAATTTGTAAAATAAGTTCAGACCTGCTCAAAGATATTCTGTTTAAAGATTAAGATTCTTTCGGATTAATAAGTTATTCTTTTTCTGAAAGTATATTTGAACAGTTTATGGCTTAAATATATATTCAGGTCATAAAATCCTATCCACATTTACTCGAGCTATTGCTCATATCTTATACTCAAAAATACATTTAGAATGATTCTCATAACAGAAATTTAGGGTTATAATATTAAATAAATAATAACACAGGAATTTAAGAAGAAGATATAAAGAATAAATTAGATAAAAGTGGCTCTTATTATAAGTAATACACGAAGTAATATTTAGAAGATTATTTTTTAAATCAAGGACCTAAATATAATTTGCTTAATTGCTCATTAGATATAAATGAAAATACTAACAGGAATAATAAAACATTGTCAATCAAGTAAAGGCCATTAGAAAATGAGTTAAGTAAAGAAGAAAAACTAAATAATTATTTTTATTAGACCTTCTTTCAAACAGAAAATAAAAAAAATTAAATTTATTATTTCAACTAAAATATTTAAAATTCATTTAACCAAATAGGTAAAAAAAAGAATTTTTAAGAATTTAATATTGGAGAAGAATCACCAATAATGTTTGATAAAATTGAAAGCCAATAAAAATTTTTTTAATAATAATGCTTTGAGTCATCTCCTTGTAAACTAATAAATAGTGGCGAAAGTGATCGTTTTAGAAATCGTACATAAATTCTTAATTAACCTTTTCATTTAGATTATTAGTCCTCAAATGCATAGAAAGATATCTTCAAAAATGATTAACCAAATGGGGAAGAATATTTAGATTTTGATTAATTAAGCAAGTAAAATACAAGCTTAAAATAGCATTCTTCAAAAACAAATCTTAATATATTTAATGAAACATATTCAAATAAATTTAATGGTATTAAATGGCCTAAATCTAATTAAAATAATTTTATTAGCCCATACATTTAAACGAAAAATTAAAAAAATTATTTTTAATAAAATTAATACAATTATTTAATTAATAATTAATTTTAATCAGAAAACTAAGACACTAATTAAAATAATAATGGCAAACAAGAAAATTAAGTTAAAGATGAAAATGATTTTTACCATTAAGCCAAATAAAATTAGTAATAGTTTAACAGCAAAAAGGTTAATTAAAGCTCAGAGGAAATATTCCACCTAGGAATACATGCAGCTCTAAAATAATTCATTTTGTGTACTAAAGAAAAAATAAATATTTATCTTTCTTTGAAAAAATATAAAGAGAGCTAAAAAAATAAACAATTTTAGCTTTAAAAATAAAACTAGACAATTTTAATTTATATCACAGATCTGCAACTGTAATTTAAAAATGGTGAATTTATAAATGAGTTGAGCCAGCTTTTGCTTAATCTAGATATTTAATTGTTAGTTTTAGTGTTAAATTAGCAACAATAAACTTATGAGCATGACAAACTTCAAGATATAATAATTTCTGGAAAAAATATTATCAAATTTTTTAACAGTTAATAAAAGCTACTCCAATATATTTACAATCAAAGAGAGCATATTAAAAATAATCTTATGCCAATGATGATAGAATATTTTTGAAAATTAAATATAATAATTAGCAAGCTATAAAATCTATTAAATTTATTAGTTATATACTGTAAATGCTCATTAATTAAGGCATTCACTAAGTATCTTTTTTGCCCAAAAAAAAGTGCCCAAAAAAATTAATTTTTCATAAAAAATTAAAAGGAATTCATTTATTTTTAATAAAATCACAGGTAGATCTGATAAATTCTAACAAAACAAAATAAAAAAAGAAAGAAGGCTAGTTAGCATTCAAATTTTAAATAAAAACTTATTGAAATTATCATACAATACTCTGCTTCTTAATATTTATTTTATTACTTTAACAAAGCATACAACTTTTGATATGGGGTTTTTAACTTTTTTCCAACTATTGAATTCTTATAACATTTCTAAAACGCTAAACCCATGTTATAATATGCATTTACTATCTTAGGATTTATTTTTATGGCCTAATGTTTTAAAACAAAATGTCATATTTTAATCAGTTCTTAACATAAATTAGGATTCGCAATAAATCTTATTAAATATTACTTACAAAATAAAATGCTTAAATAATAATTAAAAAAAATATTTTTATAATTTAAAAATTTAATCTAAATAATTCCATTAGTATTACCTTTTAACATTTCTCAATACATTTTATATGATCTTTCATAGAAGCTCTAATTAATTATCCAATATTATTAAGTGTTTAAGGTGATTTAGGATTTAATTTCAAAGATTGCTCTAAGAAAAATAGTGATTCTTTTTCATTTTTCAAACTTTCATAAATATAAGATATGTATCTCAGTATATCGCTGTTGTACATGTCATATTTTAAAATCTAATTTAAGCATTCTTTTACTATTTCATTCATAGAGGGTTTATAAGAACAAATTTAAGTAAGATAACTTAAAATCCATTAGTTACTAGAGTTATGAGTTATATCTTCCTCTAAAATGTGTTTGTCTTGACTATTACTCATCTATCATGAAATTATATAATATACCCGCTACATAGAAATTCCTCCAATATAGAGAGTCTTATTAAAAGCATTATTTTAATAACTTCAGCTAATCTTCTTTACTTACTACCCTGATTTTTAGTTAAATCAATAACAAATCTATTCTAGCATCTAAATCTTATGGCGATAATTATAAGATTTATTTGATTAATTAGAGGCCTTGCTATTTGTTATACTAGAATTTATATTCTATTTTGATAAAATGGCTAGACTTCTTAATTCCTACTAATTTTCTTTTAAAATTATTTTTGTCTTTTATTTCCTATTCAATTTCTTATACCCTTTGTGAAAAGAGAATGCCTACTTATTTGCAAAAAAGCTGAACTTTTTTTAATTATGTATGATTATTATTTTTAAGCAATACTATTCATTATAATAAAATTAAACTAAAAATAGTACATAATAACATCACTATTTATATTAATTAATTAACGTCATTCATTTTTTCTTTCATTTGTTCTTTAACATTAATAAACTAATTTTTTTATTTTGTAGATAAGATTTTTATAAATTGGTTTTAAAAAATATTATTTTTTTTATGTATTTATTTTGTTTAAATTAATTTTAAAAATTAATCAAGAAAATATAATCTAATAATTTTAAACCAAAATAAATTACAAGGATTCATTTAAAAAGACAATGAATTTTTACTTTGAGAAATTATGAATAATTCTATTAATTGAATGGAGCATCATCAATAATTTAAAATTAAAGTCAAATAACATTAGAGCAAACATTTTAAAGCTTTGTTTATTTAACGTTGTTGAAAAGCATATTTATGAAGATAAATTTTTAATAAAGAGAATAGCTTTAAAAATTAATCGAAAAATTAAAAAAAGAACAAAAAGCCTTATTTTACATTGAATAAATTTTTTATGTTAATTTTATTCATAATATTAAGAAAACTTAATCTATTCAATAAAGTAGAACAAAAAAGATTAGCGAGAAATATGCCTCTGAAATAAAATAAATATTTAGAAAAAATAGTTGCTTTAATTTAAAGAGCAATTAATTTTGCCAATTCTAATAAAACACATTTAACAATAATAGCTTTGATGCTGCTTCCCACTGTATTTTGCATGATTATTACATTTTTAAGTATAAAAATATCGCAATTAATTACTTAACACCTAATAGATGAGTTTGCTGAAAAACTTTTTGAAGATCAGATTTAAGCATCTTAAATCTTAAATACTGGAATCGTTTTTTAGCTTAACTTTTAAATGTAGAAATTAGTATGGCAAATTAATCTTTTAAATGAATTTTAAGGAAATTTAATTTAGAATAAAGTCAAAAAAAACAGTAATCATATTCCTACTATTCTAAATATCGATAGAGCTTATAATAACGATGAAAATCCTTTAATCATGAACTTATTTTAGAAAAATGATATATACGTTAGCTCTTGGTAAATAAAATTTAACTTTACTGATATTTTGGCAAGATAAATTCTATCAGCTTCATTTTTCAATAAAAAAATTTTAAATTTAAAATAAATTAAGAAAATTGAACCATTTATTTTTTAATTTTCTTTGAATCAATAATGATAGATTTTTAAAGTAGTAACAATTTTTAATTAGAAAGATAAAAAAATAATTTTTTTTTAACTTAGAAAATTTTTAAAAAAAAGGCATTAAGTAAATGAAACATATTTGAAAGATCTTAATTAAATTTAAATTTAATAAATGGATTATGCTGTGAGATAAGATTCTATTTGGAAAGCAATAAAATATGAAAATGACAATTAAAATCAAAGGTATCTAAAAATAGATGATATTCAGATAGGGTATGACTAAGGTGGGTTATTCTATTTGACAGGTAAAAACATAACCTATAATAGCTATGAAATACCTTCAGGGTGTCCATACACAGGATAATTCAGATTTGATGTGCGTTGTAGATTCTACTATCAGCCAACTATGAACAATATATCTATTGCTATTTTTGATCCTTAAATTATTTACAATAATGTAACACCTTATTTAGGAAGTATCTTTTGTCAAAGAAGATTAAAGTATTAAAACACAAACCTAAGCGATGATGGCTAGATATATTCGTTGCTCTGTATCACTTTAGATATTTCTTAAGTTTCAAATTATTTTCTTAATTTTGCCTCAAATTCAGTTGCAAAAATTGTCTTAGACCCTAGAAAACTCACTATTGTATATGATTCTTAATAAAAAATAACCAGTGTAGGATTAAATACTTTGTATTAAACTGAGATAGACTTTTTATAAAATAAAATTGATGGGCAAAACTTTTTAGAAAATATAAAATAAATGTCTTAATTTGTTTTAGATAGCTAAGACTCTATAAAAGAGCTAAACTTAAGCCCAAAATCTATATAAAATGACTTCTAATACAACAGAAACGGAACAGAATGCTTTGTTTCACAAAATCTCATCACAGTAATCGATAAAGTACCAAAAGGAGAGACACTTAAGAAAATTAATCCTTCTAAGAAGTTCTAACTCAAAGGCGTGTTTATCTATCTCGATTTGATATCTAAATAAAAAATGACTCAATATTCTTAAAATCTAACAGATTCTATTGAAAATTTAAATCATGTGCAAATTTATTGTTCTTTATCTCTTCTAATTATATTAATTGGCTTTAAGCTCTATTATTCTATAATTTTAGGTTACCAAATTTTATATCCAATAGCTCATTTGACAAATGTTCTTAAATAAATTTAGATTGTGAGTTAAAAAGATAAAAAGTCAGTTTAAAAAAAAAAATAATTCACTTAAAATTTAGATTCGCCCTGTCTAACTACTGATAAATCAAAATCATCATATTATTCAGATAATGATAGTTTTAATTAAATTTAAATCAGTTTTGATGTTGATTAGGATTTTGAAGGTGTTTGCTTTTCTCAAGATACTTAAGAGTTACTATTCATCTTTTAAAATATGTTTTAAATTTTACAATCAATAAATAAACATTTTTTTAACTAAGATGAAAGCGCCAAGCTGTTAAAATTAAATAGATAAGTTAAGCACTTTGAAAGTATAAAGAATTATAGTTCTTTGGGAGTTTGCTTTAATAATATAGGAGTAATACATTACAATAATCAAAGGTACTAGGAGTCTATAAAAAATTTTTAAAAATCAATTATATATGCAAACTACGAATTAAATGTTTATTCCCACAATAATCCAAAATATGACAGCAGTAATAAACACAAATCTGAAAATTAAAACATAAAAGATTAAAACAAATAGGACACATATTTGGAATATTTAAATTTTTAATAAGAAGGTGAAGATACTTACAGTTTAAAGGAAATTGAGTAGCTCTACTAGAACTTGTATAACAGAAAATTAAATTTAGTCAAAGCTTTATTTCATTTTTTGATAGACAACCCAGGTATGTGGGATATTTTCTAAGAAAAGGGTTCAGAGTTGTTGCAATTGACTAAGAATTTTTTAGGTTAATCAAAAGAAAGAGAAATGCTAACTCATTACGTAATGTTAAAGAGTTTTTACTTTACTAATGAATTGTCAAGGGCTAAAGATACTTTGAATATACTTAGCGATTTATATACTAATAAATTTGAAATAAATGAGCACTAAAAAAATAAAAAATAAGAATAATGTCAATTCTAAATTATGAACGAAATTTTCTATTAAAATAAAGAGTGTTATGTAGGTTAACTATTGATATCACCTATTAGAGAAAGTAAAAAATAAAACCCTAACTCAATAAGAAGCAAAAAGGGATAAAGTTTTTCAAATAATTCCCAGAAATAAGATAAAGATGAGTCTTTTTTGCTTTAGGAGTTAATAAACCAAGAAAAATAAAAAGATCCACTTCAAATAAAAGAAAATTTTTTTGAAACATAAAATAACTCAGTAGATACAGTTCAATATGAAAGTAAAAAGAAAAACTCCAATGATAAAAATTAATTAAATTTAGAGTAAAGCAGCTAAAACATAGATACGTATTATATGAGACCTAAAGTGAACTCCATATTTAAAAAGTAATTAGAGCACAGAAGCAAATTATAAAGAGAAGAAAATATTTAGGATAATTTAGAAAAGGGAAAGTAAGAAAAGTTTCATTAAAAATTTATAAACTTGTGCTAAAATTAATATTCAATGGAATATAGTAGAAGATATACTAGTTAATACCCATTAAATAGTTAAAAAACAAGAATAATCAGAACCAACAAATAAGATAAATAAACTAACATTACTTTTTACAAGCTTAAAAAAACTAAAAAAAAAAATTAATAATCCGAAGATTATGAATTTAATTCAGATATTTATTTTTAGTATTACGCTCTAAGCCAAGCCTAATATTAAATTAAAATTAATAATTAATATACAGCAGCTACTATCTTAACAAACTGCTTTGAAAAATGTAAATACTATTTACCTCATTTAAAGTTGCAAGCTCTAAATATGCTACATAGGATATTTAGCTAGTGCAACATAAAAGACGAATTCTTAGAAGAAATGAAGACATCTTATGAATAGATGCCAGAGTGTAATTATCATGTATATGTAATTTCAGCATGTTAGAAAAAAAGAAATAAGAAAAAAATATATTAAATTTGCAGTGATTTATATAATTATATACTTCATAAGTAGGAGGATGTGTTTGGATTAATAAATTATCAGTATAAAGACCATATTTATGAGTAAGTTATTTCCTAGATAAAATTAAAAACACTTCAATCTAATATTTAACTAGTAGATAAAATTTTTGAATAGCTTTACAAACAAGCGAATTAAACTTAATAAAACATAATTTAAAATACCTCATCTTAAGCAAATAAAAATATACCATTTACTTAAAATAATATATTTTAGATTAATTAAAAATATGGACAAGTTTAAGTAAAGTAGCAAAAAATAAACACAAATTATTAGAACCAAAGCTTATTTGATAATAGATAAGAATATACAAATGAAAATTCGAATTTTGAGTCACAATAGTATACTCTAGATAATCTCAAGAGCTCTATAAAACAATAGAATTTATAAGAAAACTCAAAAATTCAAGAGAATAATATTAATTTTTGTGATACGAAAAATGTATAAAAATTTTCAAATTATGATTTTGGAATTTAAAGCTAAAATACAAACTCACCTACTAATCTATTAAGTAATAATTTTTCAGATGATATACATAGTTTAGAATAAATTAGTATGAATTATTGTACAAGGTAGTTTAAAAATAAGTTTAATTTTAACAAATATAATAAATCTAAAATTAACATTGAGCTTATCAACTGCTCAAAATAAAATCATATCAAACGGTATCTAAAGAATAGGTTTAAGGAGAAGAATTCTCATTATTAACTTTTTGATAATGTATAAGCATATATTTTAGAGAAATAGGATAGTTAATTTTAACAGCAATTATAGATATAAAAAAGTAAAAATGGTTAGAAAGCTGATTTTTAGAAAAATTAGAATGATTAAATTAAAAATAATTTAAATGAAAAATAACAAAGAATGTAATTTTACAATAATAAAATTGATAAATATGGTGCTGAATTTATATTTCATTAGGGTATACAAGCAGCTTTGAAGTAATTTATATTAAACACAAAAAATAAAATCAATTATTATCTTGAGTTGAATGCATTTAAAAGTTAAATAAAAACAAAATAGTTCAAATTACCAAAGACCATACAAAAATTTATCATCTATGCAACTGATAATGAGTTACAATTTAAAAATAAAAATTTATTGAAGGAATTATGTTTATTGTTAAATAATTTGGATATCTAACTTCTAGTTCTTTCGAAGAATCATTCTTAATCTTTAGAAGAATTTTCTGATCTTTAAGATATTTTTATAAAAGGAAAATAAATTATTTTGTTTTTTAAAGATGAACAAACAATGCTTCAATACATATATAATTGCAGAGAGCATGTTAAAAATTACTTTCTTCCAATGATGATTGAATATTTTTGAATGAGCATTTGTTGTGCTAATTTATGTTTTTAACTTTTTCATAAACAATAACTTTAAAAATAAAATTAACATTTTTTTTTTGATAAAAAACAATTTTGGTATTTTTCTTTCTTAATTCTTATTAAATTTATAATTTATCTTTTATTAGCAAAAGCAATATATATAAAACCAAAGATTTAAAATGATTTCATAAAATTTTTTTCAAATTATTTGTTTAAAAAATGCAATTTTATGAAATTAAAGATTTAAAAATAATACAATATCCAAGAATTGGAATTATAAATAAAGATTTTACACAATGAGTTTTTGAATATTTAAAAAATAAATTTCTTTTATAATAATATAATATTAACAATTATCTATCATTTAATAATAATTAATTTAATTATTTATTGTTTCTTACTCAAATAGTTGGTTTATAAATCTAATAAAAAAAAGCAGAATTAGGTATGTATACTTATAAAATTTTGTAAGCTTTCTTTGATGATAAGATATTTTTAAATATTTTACTGATTGATAAGTTTTCATAAAATTTTTAAATACAAAAAGAAGATCAGAAACTTAAAATCAATTTAGATAAAATGGCATACTCATAAAATACTGATTTGAATAAATTAGACACAAGAAAGTAGGTCTTTCAAAAGGTAAAGATATTTAATTATTGTTTCATAGTTGTGAATAAATAAATAAATATTAGTTGGTTACATAACTATTTAAATACTATTACTATCTTTAATTGATTATTAAATTATCAAATAATTACGAGTTTAAAATGCAATTAAAATTTTGCATTTTATGGCAATTAATTTAAATTTTTTTCTCTGGCAATAGAGATACTGTAATATTAATAAATAAAACTAGTACTACAAAGTATTACTTATCAAATTGTGTTAAAAATCAATCAATTTTTAATCAAAATCAATTATTAAAATAATGAAAAAGTTTTCAACATGAATTTTCTATTTTGAAATAATAATTTATAATTAACTAGCGCATTTGTATATTTTAAACTATTAAAATTTAATAAGAAAGATAGCAAAATGGATGAAGTAAGTTAAAAAAAATAAAATAAATTGCATAGAATATCTAATTAGTTAAAAGCTTACATAAGTAACAATTTAACTTAAATTCTAATAGTATTTATAACCCTATTTCCTACCATAATAATAACCTTCGCAACTTTTACAAGCATTTAATTTTCTTAGAATGTAAGCGTTGATCTAATCAATGACTTCGCAGAATAGCTCTTTTAAGACTAAATAGAAAGTTCCAAGTAATAAAATTTAGCTGTAGTTTTCTAATTAAAATCACAGGTTTAAAAGATTCCTTGGCAGATAAACTTGCTTAATGAATTTTAAGGCAAAAATCTACTTGGTGCAGTAATTAAAAACTCTAAACATATTCCTGCAATCCATAATATAGATAGATCATTTTATATGAAAGAAAACAAGACTGTATTAAATATGTTTTTGAAAAACTCAATATAGACGAGTGTCTGGTAATTTTAATTTATTTACATAACTAACTTCAATCTAAAATAATTTTCTCATATGAGTTATAGAATAAATTAATTTTACTTAATCTATTTTCTAATCTAATTAATCAGCTTACTATAAAGCAACATATGATTAATATATAAATAAATATATGTTTATTCAATATATTATTATTTTATTGTCACTTATTTTTGATTCAATTAAGACAACTCTTAAAAATTTGAAATAAACAAAATATTTATTTAGTCATAAATATATATAATGAATGATTATTAAGGTATCTTTATTATAAATTTAATATTAAAAATAATAGTACATTGTAGTAATCAAAAAACTAATTAAATATTCTTGACATAATAAAATGAATAAATATTTATCAATATATTAAGATAATTTAACAATTTTAAAGTGCTCAGAACTAATTTTGCATAAATTACATTTTATTCTTAATTATTTTGAGAATTAAATTTTAAAAGTATTTAGTAAGAATTAAAAATAGATTAAAATAATATATCAAACACATATGATAAGGAATGAATTAATTTTCTTATTAAAATTAATATTTTTAAATATATAGGCACCATGTAAATTTTAGCTATTTAGAATAATTAGATGAAAGATAGATTAAACAATTGTATGATGGTTATAGATTAGATTCGATTTGGAAAGCAATTAAGTTTGATAATTAAAATTAGAATAATATGTGGCTAAAAATCAAAGACATTTTTAATGCCCATGATTATGATGGTCTGATTTATATGACAAGCATAAATACAACTTATACAACATACCCTATTCCTCCAGGGTGTCCTTATAATGGCACTTATAAGTTTGATATTAGATGTAGGTTTTATTATAAACCTACTATGGCCGATATATCTACAATTCTATATGATCCTTAAATATTTTATACTAATGCTAATCCTTATTTAGCAAGTGTCTTTTGCTAGAGGAGATTGAGGTACTTTAACTAAGATCCCAACTCTTAAGCAGAAAAATATTCTGTACTCTGCATAACTTTAGACTTAACTTAAACTCCTCAATATTTTTAAAATTTTGGATAAAACTCTAAATTTTAAATTATTTTGGATCCAAGAAAATTGACGGTTATTTACGATTCTTCTATCATAAATATTAAAAGAGATCAAATCTTAAAAATTTAATAAGCAGAGACAGATTACCTCCAAGATTAAAGTTAGTCATAGATTTTCATTGAAAATATTAGTTTGATGTCTCAATACATTCTAGACTAGAAAGATAATATAAATGAGCTTTAGATAGATTCAGAATAACTTTAGAGAACATTCTAATATAATAGAAATGGGACTGTGTGTTTTGTAATTCAAAATCTCATCATTATGATTGATAAAATTCCTAGCTTTGAAGCATTAAAGAGAGGAAGTTCTTCTAAAAAATTTTAGCTCAAAAGCGCATTTATCTTTTTGGATGTGCTCTCGAAAGAGAAGATGACTTAATATTCTAATGACCTTTAAATTAAGATAAAATACTACAATTAAATATTTAGCTACTGTTGTTGGGTCTTAATAATATTGGCTACCATTTTTTAGCTTTACTTTTCGATAATCTTAGGGCGATTATTAATCCATCCTATTATTCATTTAACAAATATTTTAAAGTAAATCAAAATTAAAAACCAAAGCATTTAGCAATTGAGTAATAATTTAATCAAAGATTCATAACAAGCTACATATCAAATGACAAATACGAATTTTAAGAGCCAAAAAGAAATATTTTAATCAGATGTTTCAATATTGAGCTTTGAAGATTAAATACAATTTGAATTTAACATAAATTCAGATTTTGATGGTATTTGCTTTTCTAGCGATACACAGTAGTTGTTAAACAGCTTCTAAAATATGTTTAAAATTTTAAAATTTACTAACTCTAATATACTTAAGTAAAATGAGAGTACTTCTTTGCTTAATCTTAATATTCAAGTTCAGTACTTTGAAAAATTTTGTAATTATAGAGCATTAGGAGTGTGCTATAATAATATAGGAGTAATTCATTACAACAGTGGTAGATATTAAGAATCTGTAGAAAATTTTTAAAAAGCTGTTATATTTGCTAAATACGAGCTAAATATCTACGCCCACGACAATTTAAAAGAAGAACTTTCTTTATAAAAAAAGAGGCTCACTTCTATTTTTAATATGAATATCCTTGAAAACAAAAATAAAAGTTCTAAATTAAGTTTTGGTAAGTATAATCAGATAGATGAAAAAGAAGAAATTCCATTCTAATTTGAAGATATAGTTGAAAATGAATAACTCTACTGGAATCTATTTAACAGAAAAGAAAATTTACTTAAATCCCTATCAAAATATTTAAATTCTAATTCTGGTTTATGGGATATTTATTATGAACTTGCTAAAGAAAATGCAATAATAAGTAAAATATTTCTTCCTCCATCTTTTAAAAGAGAAATGTTCAATTACTATCCAATATTGATTTCATACTTTCAATCTAAAGATACGGTAAATGCTGAGGATATATTAAAAAAAATAAGTATATTATATATAAAAAACTATGAACAAAAAAATAACTAAAATGAAATATAATCAGAAAAACCTTAAACAATCTCAAACTTTTCAAATAAATTATTAGCTCTTCAAAATAGTTTGTTCATGTAGAATACCGAAGATTCATTATTTCTCTAAAAAAAGTTAACAGTATACAGTAATTAAATTAGCTAAATTAACACTTCATAAGTTTTAATGTCTCCTATTAAGAAGTCTATAGTAAAAAAGTAAACACTAAAATTTAAAGAGGGGTAAGAAAAGGAATAAATTTACAGCTAAAGTAATTAAAAGCGATTATCATGTCTTGCTGAAGGAGTTTTTGATAGTATCCAGCATCACTAAAGTTAAAAAAAGCAAGCAAAGCAAATATAAAAAAATCTATCTTTCTCAATCTTTTAAAATTAAGAATCTAATCTTAAAGTAAAAAAAGAATCGATTTACTAAGAAGATCCATATATGAAAACAAGAAAAGAATCATCTTTTAAAAAAAAATACAAAACAAATAGGAAGAAAGACACACTAATAATCAAATAAGTAAATCACAAAAAGGCAAGGAAATCAAACTATTTAAATTCCATACAACTGAATATGCTCTCTAACACAAAAAAGAAGTTTTTATCTTTTTACAAAGTTAAGAAATGCAATAATACAGATAAAATTTCTAAATATGAATTCAGCTCAGATGTGAATTTTTTGTATTACGCTTTGAGTTAGGCTTAGTTTTTAGCGTAAAGCTAAAATTTTAATAAAGCTGCAACAATTTTAACTAATTCCTTAGAATCTTGTAGATACTATTTACCTCACTTGAAGGCGTAGGCTTTAAATATTTTATCTGATATATTTCGTAGAAATAATATTTTTGCTGATGACTTAGAAGAAATGAAAAATTCATATGAGCAGTTAATGAATTGCAATTTTCATGTTTATATTATAACAGCCTGTCAGTAAAGGAAGAGCAACAAAAAAGTTTGTAAAATAAGTTCAGACCTACTCAAAGATATTCTATTTAAAGACTAAGATTCTTTCGGATTAATCAGTTATTCTTTTTATGAAAGTATATTTGAACAGTTTATGGCTTAAATATATATCCAGATTATAAAATCCCACCCACATTTACTTTAGCTATTGCTCATTTCTTATACTCAAAAATATATTTAGAATGATTCACATTACATAAATTTAGGGCGATAACATTAAGTAAATAATAACTAAGGAGAACAAGATGAAGATATAAAGGAAATTAGCCCATTAGCATCAAATAGAAATAAATAAAGTGTGTGTAAATTAGATAAAAGTAGTATTATATAAAAGTAACTAGTGAAGTAAAATAATGAAGATTCTTTTTTAAATGAAGAATCTAAATATGATGGGGCTAATCGTTCATTAGATATAAAAGAAAATACTTACAGTAATAATAATAAGATTTAAACTTAAACAAACTCAAAAATCTCTAATTTTTTAAATAAAAATTATTAATAAATTAAAAAAATATAAAATTAATTGCTTTAATAATCAATCTCATCTATAATTCCAAATTATTAGTTTAATTTTTTACCAGTATTTATGGGATAACATAAAAGGCAAAAAGATTTGTCAATTAAGTAAAGACCTTTAGAAAATGAGTTAAGTAAAAAAGAAAAATTAAATGAAAATATACAAAACTAAAACTGTGACTTCAACCAAAATATTTAGAATTCATTTAACTCAATAAGTAAAAATAGGAATTTTTAAGAATTTAATATCAGAGAAGTATCACCGATAATGTTTGATAAAATTGAAAGCCAATAAAAATATTTTTAACAATAATGGTTAGAATCCTCACCTTGTAAGCTAATAAACGGTGGAGAAGGCGATCGTTTAAGAAACGAAACATAAATTATTAATTAAACGTTTCGTTTAGATTCTTCGTTCTCAAATGTGTAGAAAGACACCTTTAAAATTGATTAACATAATGGAGACGAACATTTAGATTATGATTAATTAAGCAAGTCAAATATAAGCTTAAAATAGTATTCTTCGAACACAAATCTTAATATACTAAATGAAACCTTTTCGAATTAATTTAATGGAATTTAATAACCCCAAACTATTCAAAATGATGATATAAGCCCATGTATTTAAACGAATAATTAAAAAAATAATTTTTACTCAAACTAATATGATTATTTAATTGCTGGTTAATTTTAATCAGAAAACTAAGAAAATAATTAAAATAATAATGGTAAACAAGAAAATTAAGTTAAAGGTGAAAACGATTTTTACCATTAAGCCAAAGAAAATTAGTAATAGTTTAATAATAAAAAGATTAATAAAAACTCAGAGGAAATATTCCATTTAGGAATACAAGCAGCTCTTAAATAATTCATTTTGAGTACAAAAGAAAAAATAAATATTTATCTTTCTTTGAAAAAATATAAAGAGAGCTAAAAAAATAAGCAATTTTAACTTTAAAAATAAAATTAGATCATTTTAATTTATATTACAGATCTACAACTATAATTTAAAAATGATGATTTTATAAATGAATTGAGTCAGCTTTTGCTTAATCTAGATATTTAATTGTTAATTTTAGTGATTAATTAGCAACAACAAACTTATGAGTATGATGAACTTCAAGATATAATAATTTCTGGAAAAAATATTATTAAATTTTTTAACAGTGAATAAAAGCTACTCCAATACATTTATAATCAAAGAGAGCATGTCAAAAATAATCTTATACCTATGATGATAGAATATTTTTGAAAATTAAATATAATAATTAATAAAATCTATTAAATTTTTATGTTGGCTGCATAAATTAATTTCATTTAAAAAAAATCAGCTCTTTAATAGCAATAATAAAATAATAAAGTAATTAAGTAAGCCAGTAAGCAAGGATAGAAAGAAATATCTCAAAATAAAATAAAAAAACTAGTGATGTACCAGAATATATTCTCAAATAAAAATGAATTTAGAATATTTATAATATTGAAAAATATTTTGGTATTATCATTCAAAATATTAATATTTTGTGATTAATTTAAAAATTGACAACTTAAATGTAAGTTAATAAAGATTATTTCATATGTTTTCAATAAAAATCTCTTATTGTACTCTTTCTCATAAAATAAATATTTTTTAAAAATTACAATTATTTCCATAAAATGAATCAAATTAAATACCTTTAAATATTTAATCAATTTCTTTATTTTATTAAATAATGAATTCTATTTTACTTGAGAAAATATTTTACTTATTTTAAGTTATTATTTTATTTTAATTTCTTTATTTGATCAAAAAATAAATATTTATTCTTTTTAATTTTTAGGTCAACTTATGAATATTTTACACTTATTATTATATAAGTTTATATAACACTACCTACCTAATTTATTTATTTACCACTTTATGTATAATATTAATATTTTAGTATCTATCTTTAATTCATATTCTAATGTCACAAAAAAAATTTCTTATATATGAGGTCACATTAGATTTTTTTAAATATTATACCTGAAAATCTCTAAGATTATGTCGAAATATAAATCGCTAAAAAAGAGAGTCTGAAAAAGTAAATTATTTAATATTTAGATAAAATCTATGAATGTAAACTAAAAGATTATTGAAGTTATATAGTTATTATAGCAAATTGTATTTTAATAGTAATTATAAAATTTTTAAATATTTTATGCTTTTTATAAATAAAAATGGATTTATTAGAAAAAAAAAATAAAAATTTTGCAAATAAAATATATATTTAATTTTTTTAATTTGATTAACTATGTAGTAAACTTAATTTGTTTGTCTGAAAAATGATTATTTTTAAAATTCAAAACACATTTAAGTATAACCATTTAGAATTTAGTTTTATTTAAAATTTAATTAAAAATAATTGTATTTTATTATAAAAATATATTGTTACATTTTTTTCAATATTTTAGTGAGCTAGAAATTAAATTAAATATTTAATTACACAGTTGTTTTTCATGTAAATGAGGGATGATAAATATGTAAATTGAATTGAAAAAAGCGAAAAGAAATTTTCAAGGAAGAGGAAGTATAAATCATTTATGAAATATGAATTATAGATGATATTTAGTTTGATTGCATTTAAATATTATTTGAGGTCAATATTTAATTTTGTCTGTATTATAATTTGTAAAAAGTTAGTAATCTTTCAGAAAATCAGCTAATCGTAAAAAAAACCAAATACTGATTTTTATGCATTTAAAATTAAAATTAATAAAAAAACAAATAAATAAATACATTCTAATTATCTTAGTTACACCAACAACAAAATAAATGAAAAAGAAACTGAATAAGTTGAGTTTTATAAAATAACTACTAAAATAAAATCAAATTTAACTAGTTATATCAACCATAATTATCTTTCCAACTCTAATCCTTGTTGTAACTACCTTTATTAGCCTGTGGTTTTACTATTTTATTAACAATTAAATTATTTATGAGTTTGCAGAAGAGTTATATTAAGATTAAATCAACAGCTCTTATCTCTAAAACTAAGCAATTGTATTTTAAATAAATCAATAAGTATAAAAGATTGCATGGTAAATGAATCTTCTTAATGAATTTATGGGAAGAAATCTCTAGAAAAAAGTAAAATAAAATTTTCATTATAAACCTGCTATTCATAATATTGATCGATCCTATTATAATGATGAAAATCTACAAGTTCTAGAGTTATTTAAGGAGAATACAATCTATACTAGTGTTTGGTAATTTAAAATATTAGTTGAGTAGTTGTTTTATTTGTATATTAGTTATGTAGCTAGCTAGTTATCATTATTATTTTATTGTATTTATAAACATACAAAAGTAGAAGAAATAATATCAAAGATAAAGCAAATCATGATATTTGTGATCTGAATTATTTTTATATAAAAAGGCATCTTGTGAACCAGGGATATTTATCAGAATTTGACTAAATACAATTGCAGCAAATGGTTGGCGCAACACGTATCGATTCAATTTGGAAGGCTATTTTGTTTAACAATAAAATTTAAACTACAAGATGGCTAAGCTAAAAAGAACTTTATCTAGGCCATTAATACGATGGACTTATTTACATGGCCAGTATGAATAACACAACTCCTTCTAACTATTAAAAACCTCCAGGTTGCCCATATGATGGAATTTATAAATTAGATATCAGGTGTAGATTTTATTATAGTGAAACTGCTAATAATATTTCTACTGTCACTTTTCCTCCATAAATATAATATGCAGATGGTTCATCGTATTTAAGTAGTACTTTTTGCTAAAGGCATATAAAATTCATAGAAGATAATCCTAATTTAGAAAGCAAATTATATTCAATATTATGCACTACATTAGATTTGTAATAAATTCCTCAGTATTTTTAAAATTTTGGGTAGAATTCTAAATTTTAGATGCTGTTAGATCCTAGTACCCAAACTATTGTATATAATTCTTAATAAAGTTAAAAATACGATCAAATTCTAACAATTTAATAAGTAGAAACAGATTATTTAAATGATTAAAATTAATCTAAAATATTTATTGATAACATAAATTAATATAAATAGTATATTTTAAATAACAGCAACTCAGTTGATATTTTTTAGTAGTATGATTATAACTAGAACTCTTTTGAATATTAAAGAAACGGAACAGCATGTTTCGTAATAGTTAATATCATATCAATGATAGATAAAGTTCCTATATTAGAAACTTTAAAATCAGTAAACCCACAAAGCAAATACTAATTAAAAAATATTTTTTTATTTTTAGATGTTCTTTCTAAAGAAAAAATGGAACAGTTCTCTTAAAATCTGTACTCTACGTTGCAATTTTACAAGATTCTATTTACATATTCTAGCTGGGGACTCATTATTTGTATACTTATAGTTCAGTTTTACTATTCACTATAACTTGGAAGATATTTGATGCAACCTGTAATACATCTCACTAATATCTTAAATTAAATCTAAATACAAAGTACCAAACTTTAAGAAGTTACTTATTAAAATGACTCTTTTTTGAATATCTCGTACGATGAAGACAATTAAATTCATATTGATGACCATATTTTCTCTGATTTTGAAGGAGTATGTTACTCTAGTGATACTTAAGAATTGCTTTACAGCTTTTAGAATTTATTTAAAATATTATAATTTACAACTCAAAACCTTTATACTGAAAACCAAAGTATTTCCTTGCTCAATTTAAATATTTAAATTCAATATTTCTAATAATTTGGTAACTATCGTGCACTAGGAGTTTGTCATAATAATATGGGAATACTTCATTACAATAGTGGTAGATTTTAAGAAGCGATCGAACATTTTCAAAAATCTATTATTTATGCAAAGTATGAACTCGATATGTATTCTGATAATGATGAAGGTAGTAGCTTATCAAATACAATTAAAAGATTTACAATTAATTTGAGAAGTAGTTTGTTTAGTACGAACTCTTAGATTGATTAGTCTATGCCAGCTTTTATGTAGTAGTAGTAATAATAAAGTATAACAACTGAAAAATAATAATTGAAAAAAAATCAATTAAAATATTTTATATATAGGTAATAATAAATAAATGAAAAAGATTAACTCTACTGGAACTTGTATAGTAGAAATTAAAATTATTTAAAGGCTCTTTCTTGCTATTTAGATGAATAAAATTTATATTTATGGGATATCTTTGAGGATATTACATTAGAAACAACAAGTATTAGCTAAATTTATTTATAGAATTCTAATAAAAGAGAAATGATAAACTACTATGTCATATTGTTGGGTTATTTTCGCTAAAATAAATTTGAAGAGGCAAGCAATATACTAAGAAAATTAGCAAAGCTTTACTTAAAAGATATGAAAAAAAAACAATTTTTTAAAGAATAAGAAAAGTATTAAACCAACTAATCAAGCTTGTATAAAAAATAAATATCATCGCCAGGTAAGAATTAAAGTGAGATATTTGACATTACCTCGTAAATATAAAATATAACACCTTTAGGCAATAATTCTGAAACATTAAAAAGTTTTACTTTGCTCTCGCCAATAACAAAATCCTTTAAAAAAAGTATTAGCAAAAATTTACAAAACCTCAATTTTAGCTAAATTGACCAGCTTTTAAGCAACGAAATGATAAAATAGTAAAATATAAATTAAAATTTGAAAAATAAATAAAGTACTACTGACAGAAACTTTGATATTAAGAAATTTAGGACAATTTAAAGAAATGAAACTATAAATAACAATAATGTAAGCAATTATAAATCAGAAAATAGTAGATATCCTCCTTCTTTTCTAGAAATGAGTGAGGAAAGATCAGCAAGGATACTTTAAGAAAATGTTACAAAAGAAAATGTATATTTAGGTTAAAGCAGTTATATTAAAAATTTTAATAACAACTCTCATATCTATAACATCTTCAATTTTAAAACTTAAGGTGAATAATCTTAAAAGAGTGTTAATAATAACCAAGATTCACCTATTAAACTGTTGGATAGATACTCTGATTTGAAAAAAAATAAAATTTATAATATTTTTGGCACAAAAAAACCTAATCAATCAAAAACTACTCTAAATATTTAAAAAGAAAAAAGCCTAACTCAAAGTTAATCAAATTAAACAAATGTATCAAATTATAGAATTGCTTAGTAAAGTAATCATATAACCTAAAATCACAATGATTTGTATTTTTAGGTAAGGAAAGCATAAAATTATAACAAAACTTCCCACTATGAGTTCAACTCTGATATATGTTTTCAGTACTATGCAATCTAGCTAGCTAAGTATCAACTAATTTAGTAAAATCCATATTAAGCAGCTTTAATTTTAACTAATTTACTGGAGTAATGCTAGTATTATCTCCCTCATTTAAAAAGGTTGGCCTTGAAATTATTAAATGAATCATTCAAGATGAAAAAAATCAAAAGTTATGAGCTTACTGATATGAATGAAAAATATTTATCATTCACTGACTTTACTTATAAAGTATGCTTAATATCAGTTTGCCATAGCAAGTTTTATAAAAAGAGAGTCTATGCTTTGTCTCACGATCTTGTTAACGAAGTCCTTTTTAAAGAAGAAGATTAATTTGGTTTATTTTCTTATTCTTTTGATGAATGTATTTTTATCTAGTAAATGTCATATACTTCAATAAAAATTATCAAGTCTAACCCATTTTTTTTTGAAAAAACAATTTTAAAAATTTTTGATAAAGAATAAAAGTAAAGAAATGATAAAAATTAATTTAATAATAAAGAAAAATTAGAATTTAAAAAATAAAGCACTAATTTTTTTGACAGATAAACTATATATTCAACAGAAACTAAATTAAAATCGTAAAAAAATTCAAGTTAGCCAAAAAAAACATCTTTTATAATTCATAATGGTATCAATAATATAGAAAATTCAAATGCTAATTTAAATGGAATTGATTCAAACTAGTTAGATCATACTTTTGGAGGAAAATTTGTTTCTTAAAAGTTTTCTTAAATTAAAGGTCATAGGAATAAACTGAACCTTGAAGGAAGAGAAGGCATCTTAAAAAATTCTTTTACATCTTATAATGTATAAGAGGAATAAATAGATAATAATTATGTATTAAAATGTAGTGATTCATCGTGCTCTTCAATAGAATCTGTTTTGGCTTCATAAACTATTGTAAATAACAAGAAAAATAAACTCGAGAACAACAAAAGTGATGTAGCATAATAACAGTAATCAAAGATAAATTAACTTAATAGTTAATGTTAAACAAAAGATATAACTAAATCTTTTGAAAAAAATGATCGACAAAATTCTTAAATATATGATCCTTAAAATATACAAAATTACTAATTGAACTCTAAGATGTTTCCTTTGAATAATAACTTAAGCATGTAAAATTAATTTTAGAAAAATGAATTACTAAATTAACAAAATAATTAAAAAATTGAAAATGATTAAAATTAGTAATCCTGCTAATTATTTTCAAATCGGAGAAAAATTAGCAATTAATACGATAATTAATCAGATTTTAACTCATTTTGTTAAATTGTTAATTTAAATTAAATAAATGATGCTTCTCTTTTCTGTTAATTAAGTTCTAACAGGGAAAAATGCATTTTTTAAGATTAATTATTAATTTATTAAAATGATTAACAGAAAGAAGATAACTTAAAAAAATAGTCTGCAACATCGGACATTAGATAAAATTTATAAAATTAATATTAATACTAAGGGGACAAATTAATAAATGATTAACATGAAAAAAACGATAACATGATTAGAGTTATTCAATAAATTGAAAACTCTAGTGAAAATTATTAAACACTTAATAGCAGTAGACTGAAACATCAAGATCTAAATTCTCAAAAAAATAAAATTGCTGAATACTCATTTATTTAACAAAATAATTAAGAGCATGACCAAACTTAAATATCATCTAAATAAGAGTTAAAAATGCTATCAAATTAAAATTTTTAGCCATAATCATTTTCATTTTTCTAAAAAGACATCACAAGTGATAAATAAAATTAAATCGTAAATGAAAATTATATTTATAAAACTAACATAAATTAAATTACAGAAAAAGTAATAAACGATAGAATTTACACAAAGTAAATTGTTGATTAAATTGATTCTAATTTATAAAATGATAAAATAAATAAAATAGAGTTTGATTATAATTATGAAAAGGCTTTGAGTAAATAAAATCAATATCCAAATTTATAAGCAAATATCTTTTAAATTAATAATAATGAAAATTAATAATCACAATAACTAATTTTGAAGGAAATTTTAGATTAAACAAAATTGATTGATAAGAAAGATACTTAGTTGAACTAATAAAACGATGAAAAGAGAATATTTGGTTTCAATCATTTATTTGGTTGTGGTGAAAATTTAAATGTATCTGATAATCTACTATCTCCTACATTTAAAGAGAATAAAAATAATTAATTTTTTACATCTCACTCGAATAATAATTATGAAATAGATTTAAATTAAGATAACAAGGATTATAAATAAAAAAATAAATAATTCATAATTGCTAACAAATTTTAATATTCGGGTGAATAACTCTTTCACCTAAGCATTAAAGCTGCTTTGAATAAATATATATTGAATTCAGATGAAAAATTATCAACATACCTCTCATACAAAAATCACAAGTAAATTCAAAGAAAATAAAAGGTTAATAGCATTTCTAAAAATTAATAGGGATTTTTAATTTATTTTACAGATCAATATTTTTAATTGATCAATTAAGATCATTTAAATGAACTGTGTAGCTTATTAATTAGCTTAGATTTGTAGTTGCTCATTCTAGCTGTAAATGAAAAAAATTTTATAGAAGAGCAAGCAAACCTTCAGAATATTTACTAAGATGGTAAATCCTTGGTCCTATTTTTTAACAGTGAAGAAAAATTGCTTCAGTACATTTACAATAATAGGGAACATATTAAAAGTTCTTTAATACCAATGGCTGTTGAATTTTTCTGATTTTTTACTTACAAAATTTTTTAATTTAATCAATTGATGAATTATAACATCATTTTATGGGTGTGAAATTAATTATTTTCAATTTATTATTATTAAAATGAATTTACAATTAGAATGTATATTATATTATTTATATCATTATTTTTGTTTGTTTAAGTTGACACAAGATTGTTATTTTCTTAATAAAATATGTAAAATATTTGAAAAACTTAAAAATTATTCTCTCTAAATTAATTTATGTTGTATCCTATTAAGTTGAATGAAAGAGTTTTACCCTTTCTATTTTATTGTCTCAGTATCTGCTAAAAAAATATAAAAATAATACTTCATTTCTAGAATTCACAAGTTTATTTTGTTCTTTTACATATTTGATGATGAATATATCACTTTAGTCCACATTAAAAAGAGGTTTTATTTGGAATTTTATATTTTTTTTGCTATTAATTAGATAAATACTATAAAAACTTAAAATTACAGCATAATTATCCTAACTGATTTTAATTGATTTTTGACATTAAATTATAAATTATGATTTCAATGGTCATTATAAATTAGTGAATAAATCTAATTTTTTTGACAAAACTAATAACAATAAACGATTGTTAATTATATTTAATATTTTTTCATCAAAGCTATAGTAAATTACTTTAAAAAAATATTCGTTTGCATATCACCCAAATAGAATTTCAAATAAATCGAAAATTTATTCATTAAGTTTTTAAATCATTTTGTATTACAATAGTTAGTTAATAATACATTAAAGATTTTACAAATTCTAGTAGAGATTTCAATTTTGTATTAAACAAAAATAATAAAAATCAAAAAATAAGAATAATTATTTCCTTTTTAAAGTAAAGAAGAAAATGCAATTGTTGGGATTTTTATTAGATAAATAGTCATATTAATAAAAATAAAAAGAAGTGAGACAAAGCTGGATAAAATAACACCAGACACAGCTAACTATTATCCTCATTTCTTTATTTCCAACTTTTATTTTAATTACTTCTACTTTTGTTAGCTTAATGGTTTTTTAAAAGATGTGCATAAATATTATTGAAGAGTTTGCAGATTAGCTTTATCAAGATTAAATTTAGAACTCGAAATAATAAAACTCAGCAGTTCTTTATCAGATAAATTAGCAAGCCTAAAAAATTGCTTGGCAAATAAATCTGATTAATTAGTTTTTTGGAAAAGAGATTCTTAACCAAGTTGGAAAGAATAAAAAATACATTCCTGCAATTCACAATATAGATAGAACATACATTAATTAAGAAAATAAAGCCATTCTTGCACTTTTTAAGAAGAATCCAATTTATACAAGTGTTTGGTAATTACATTTTTTTAATATAAAATATCACTAACTTAATAACGAGTGAATTTTCTTGATAATTTAAAATTTCAATAGTATTATTAATCATTTCTAACAACTAATCAATTTAATTTAAAAATATTCAATTGTTATTTTATTTATAAATATAATAAAACTTTTAAATTCTTTAGAATAAAATTATTTCAAAATGAATAATTATAATTAGTTTTTTTGAAAATATAAAATATAATCATTTGTCATGAATTATGTCATTTATCAATAGGATAATTCACTTTTTTAATTCAAAAATTTGTTTATCATATTGATTTTAATTTAAAATATTCATATAGGCATTAGGTTAATAAAGCTCACTTAGAAGATTTAGACTAAAAGTAATTAGAACAAGTGTACCATTCAACACATTTAGATTATATTTGGAAAACTATCAAATATGATAACTCCAAAGAAAGTTCTAGATGGTTATAGATTGGAGCAATATATTTAGGGTTTTCTTATGATGGCATGATGTATGTAACTAGCAACAATACTACTTATGCAGCCTACTAAATTCCTCCTGGATGCCCTTACATTGGACCATATAGACTGGATATTCGATGTAGATACTACTATTAACCCACTATTGATAATATTTCAACAGTAATATTTTCTCCTTAGCTAAATTTTGGATTTGGAACTTATTATTTTGCCAGTAATTTTTGCTAAAGGACTATGAGGTACGCAACCTCAGATCCTAATTCTTCAAGTAGTCCTTATTGCGTGCTGTGTATCACATTAAGTTTATCTGTAATACCAGCTTACTTCAACAATTTTAGTTCTAATTCTAAATATTAAATGCTGCTAGATCCACTATAACTAACAGTAGTTTATAGCTCTTTGTCATCAGTACAACAATCCCAATCAATTACTGTTTAACAAATAGAGACTTAATACTTGCAAGATTAAACACAATCATAAATATTCTTAGAAAATGTTAGCCAGTTCAAAAACTATATTCTGTAAAGTAGTGATCAAATAGATATACTTACTCCTTATCAGAATACTTAAAAAACATTTGAATATAATAGAAATGGTACAGACTGTTTTGTTATTTTAAATATTGTAACTCTTGTAGATAAAGTACCAAAATTTGAAACATTAAAGTCAATTGATCCTGCTAAAAAATTTCAATTGAAAAGTGTTTACCTATTTTTAGATGTTCTTTCTAAACAAAATATGCAAATTTATGCATAAAATCTAGAAAATACAATTCTTTATTATTATTAAATTTTTACTTACATAAGTTGGAGTTTAATTATTATCATTCTAATTGTTTAAACTTATTATTCTATCTAGCTTGGGTCATTTGTTTTGTAACCTGTTATTCACCTAACCTATATACTCAAGTAGATAAAATTTATGAATCAAAAATAAATGCAATATGATAAAGTAGTTCAAACTAATGAAAAGAGCTTTAAATTAATAGAGTCACAAACCAGTTTTATAACGACAGAGAATCATACTCAGTAGGATCAAGTAGTTATAGATGAATAGATTGATGCAGACTTTTAAGGCTTGTGCTATTCTAGTGATACATAAGAGCTTTTAGATAGTTTTTAAAATCTATTTAAAATTTTAAGGTTTACAACTTAAAACTTTTATAATGAGAATGAGAGTATATCTTTATTAAATCTAAATATTTAGATTTAACATTTCAAATAATTTGGCAACCAAAGAGCACTAGGAGTATGCTATAATAATATGGGTGTTATTCATTACAATTGCGGTAGATTTTATGAAGCTTTACAAAATTTTTAAAAAGCAATAATTTGTGCTAAATATGAATTAGAAATTTATTCATAAGATAAAAATGAAAAAAACATTGAAGACAATATAAAAAGACAAACAGTGCATCTTAGAAATACAATTTCTTAAAGAATATCATTTTATGACAATAAAGAAATGAGTAAGCATGGTTTACAACAATAAGAAATATCTAAAGCTAAAAGTTACTTTAATGAGAATTATCAACTCCACTTAGAAACAGAGTAGCTTTATTGGAATTTATTTAACAGAAGTACTAATTATTATGATTCCTTGTTTTAATATTCATAATAATTTGATAATTATTTATTGGATATATATGAAGATTTAGTTATTGAAAATATGAGTTTGAGCTAACTTTATCTTCCTCCATCTTTAAAGAGAGATTTTATTATTTATTATGCTTTATCAAAAGGAAAACTTTATAAAAATCAATTAAAAGAAGTCGATAGCATTATAAATAAATTAAATTTTCTATATTTGCAAAACTTTGAATATAAATAGAGCATAGGGTTGAAAAGTTTATATTAACCTTTTTTGCTTAATTAATCAAACTTGGGTGATAATAATCATAAAATTACTAAGGATAAAAAATAAATAGAAATAAAAATAGACAATATGAATGAATCAGTGATTTTGATGGCACCTGTTTAAAAAATAAGAGATAAAAATCAGTCTTAAATTATTAGCAATTATCTAAAAAATAGAGTTGATGATATTATTTTATAAAAAAGAAATAATGTTTCTCTATCAAGAAGTCCTGCTTAAATTCAAAGATAGCAAATTCTAAATATTACATATGATATAAAGGAATCAAACAAACAATACGATTAAAATCAAAAAGAAAATTCTTAAAACTAACTAAACTAAAGTGATTAAATAAATTAGTACCTAGAAAAAGAAAAAACTTAAATAAAAAGCAATTTTAATAATGCTTATCAATTACCAACAAACTCACCTGTTTTTAAAGAATAAAAAGAACTTTTTACTTTTTAATACTCACAAAGAGAGAATAATTTTTCTTAAAGCCAATTTAACCCTAAAAACTCAAATAGAGATATTTTGCTAAAATCTAAAAACAACAATAAAGAATTAATTGAGAATGCTGTGTAGAATATTACTTCTTCAAAATGTAATTATAGTACTAAGTAAAATATCTCTAAGATTCTATTTAAATAAAAGCACAACATTCCTAGTTTCTTAAGAAAGAATAAGCCAATTTTTTATCAAGTCAGGAAGATTCAAAAAGTTGATAAGTTAAGTATTTATAACTTCAGTTCAGATATTTATTTCTAGTTTTGTGCAATTTAGTAAGCTTAATTTTAAATTAAGCAACAAAACTATCAGAATGCAGCTTATATTCTGACAAACGCTTTAGAAAAGTGCTTTTATTATCTTCCTTATTTAAAAAAGACACAATTAAAAATTTTAAGATAAATATTTAAGGAAAATTAAATAAAAAGCTAAGATTTGCAAGAGAAATATTGCAAATATAAATGTTTAACTCATTGTAATTTTAATGTGTGTATGATATCAGTTTGTCGTAGTCATTCGATTAAAAAAAGACTATTTGCTTTATCCTATGATTTCATTAATGAGATACTATTCAAAGGAAGTGACAATTTTGGATTAATTTAATACTCATTTAAAGAAAAAATATTCCATTAAATTGTCAATATTACAAGTATTAAATCAGTTAAATCGAACCTAAATCTCTTTGAGGATCTTTTATTTTAAATATTTTCAAATAGGTAGCATTCTAGCATGGAATAGTAAAATTTTTAACTATAAGATAATTTGATTAAGCAAAACTATAAAGAATAGACTTTCAGTTCTAATAACAAAACTGTGATTTAAGAATCCTTGAATGTATCTTTCTTAAATTCAACGACTAATTTCTAGCAAACCATTCATAAAAATTAATTCAATAAAGATTTGATATAACATAATGTAAATACTTAAAATTCTAAATTTGAGTAAAAAAAATTTATATTGAATATCAATAATTAAAATGACTTCTAAATAGAAGAAAAATTGTTTAATAATTTATAAGTTTCTTAGCAATCTTCTTTATCATCTTTTGATTCCACCCTTTAACAAGATATAGATTAAAGCACTTATAATAACTATAACCTTTATAGTTAAGTAGATACACCAGAATAAATTTTGCAAAGTTATAATATGCAAAATTATATCTAAACAAATAAATTCAATACCTAAAATACAACTGAATAAGAAAAATTAAATATTTTAAACTCTTAAGAAAATTCATATTATTAAAATTAAAAAATATTTTAAAATTCTTTAAATGATTATAATATGAATCAATGCTTAAATAAATATGAAGGTCAGCAATCGCCATATTCAAATCAATAAAATTAGAAAAATCAAAGGATTTTTGATGAAGTCAAAGAAAAAAATACCTTCACTCCAACCCAAGAATAAATCTTTCATTAAGGTGTAAATAGTTGTTTGAAGTAATTTATTCTAAATACAGATGAAAAATTATCAATTTATGTTGCACAAAATAAATAAAACAAAAACAAACCAAAACAATTATAATAAAGTTATACCTTCTTAATATACTTCACTGATCAGTAGTTGCATTTTTAGAACAGCTTTTTACTAAACGAATTATGCTTATTGCTTAGCAATTTATAAATAGAATTGCTTGTCTTAGTATTAAATGAGTAATAAAATTAATAAGAATACATTGATTTTCAAAATTATATTTAAAATGGAATATCTGTTATCACATTTTTTTAGACTGAAGAAAAGCTCTTACAATATATATATAATAATAGAGAGCATGTTAAAAATTACTACACTCCTCTAATAGTAGAACATTTTTGAATATATATTTCTTTTTTTCACATATTACATATTTGTGCTTGAAAGTCTTTTAAATTTTTTGTCATTTTTCAATTATTTAAAAATATAATTATAATGATAGCCAGAAAAAAAAATTTGCCTATTTTGATTTAAACAATATTTGAGTTAAAAAATATGTCTTTTTATTTAATTAATAAAGAAGAACTTCACAAAAAAAAGTTAAGTTTCTTTTATGCAATTTCTTATTTTTTTGATTATTTAATTAAATAAATAAATTTTCTTTTTGTAACTCAAATGTTTAATTATATAAGTTAATTTTTTGTATTCTATCTATTTTTTTCTTTTTTCTTTTTATATTAACATATTTAAATAACTTTAAAAAAATAATTTTACCTACTCAATATATTTGAATAATTTTAAAAAACTATTTAAAAAAAAATAGTTTAAATAATAATTTTAATTCTGATTGTAATATAATAGATAATGGAAACAAATTAAAATTTTGATATATTTAAGATTTAAACTACCCAATAGAATTGAATTAATTGTATTTTGTATTAATCAGATTAAGAATAATCAAACATAAATAATCATATTTGCTTTTTCTTTATTTCCTACAATAATTTTAATATTTTCTACATTCATAAGTTTACTGTTTTTTAATGTTGCTTGTGAAGATGTAATTCAAAAATTTACAAATGATTTGTAAAATTCTAAAATGGGGAATCAAACTGTTGTATATTAAATAAATTAATAGATTAAAGAATTGCTTGTAAAATTAATTGTCTAATGAATTATTTGGTAAATAAAATTAATATTACTGACATCTTTATCCTAAATTAATGTTATAAATGATAACAAAAAAGCATAATAATTTTTTTAAGCAGCTAAAAATCAGCTATAATTAATATTTGATACTAAATAAGAAGTTTATCTCAATCCTTTACATGAAAGTTCATTTTTGAATTAAAATTAAAAATTATTTTTATAAATTAAGAAATAAAATGAATAAATTCATAATAAGTATTAAAGAGCTAAAAGCATTAACAATAGTAAATTACCCATATAAAAAACAGAAAATTGAAAGATAATTAGCTGAACTAACAAACTGATGAATAAAGGTATTTGATTTCAATCATTTATTTGGTTGTAGCGAAAATTAAAATGCACTAGACTATTTACTATCTCCTACATTTAAAGATAATAAAAATAATTAATTTTAACATCTCACTCAAATAATAATTAAGAAATAGATTTAAATTAAATAGCAAGAATTATAAATAAAAAAATAAATAATTCATAATTGTAGCAAATTAATATTCGGGTGAATAACTCTTTCACCTAATCATTAAAGCTGCTTTGAATAAATATATATTGAATTCAGATGAAAAATTATCAACATACCTCTCATACAAAAATCACAAGTAAATTCAAAGAAAATAAAAAGTTAGTAGCACTTCTAAAAATTAATAGGGATTTTTAATTTATTTTACAGATAAATATTTTTAATTGATCAATTAAGATCTTTTAAATGAATTGTGTAGCTTATTAATTAGCTTAGATTTTTAGTTGCTCATTCTAGCAGTAAATGAAAAAATGTTTATAGAAGATCTAGAAAACCATGAGAATATTTAATAAGATGATAAATCCTTGGTCCTATTCTTTAGCAGTGAAGAAAAATTGCTTCAGTACATTTAAAATAATAGGGAACATATTAAAAGTTCTTTAGTATCAATAGCTGTTGAATTTTTCTGATTTTTTACTTACAAAATTATAAATCGAAAATTTAATCGATGGATAAATTATTACATGATTATTTGGTTAAATTTTTGCATGCGAGATGATAAAAAAAGCTTAAATTTGATTATTTTTTACTTTTTTTATGATCTTTATTGTTTAAAAATTGCAAATTTTATTTATTAATCAATTATTGTTAAAGGAATAATATTGGTTTCATCTTAGCCCCCATCCTTATTAAATCTATTTATTGTGGGGAGTGAAGATTTGATATTTTCTTATATAAAAATGATGATTCTTGTATTAATCTAATGTTTTTCTTAATAAATTTAAATAAATTTCTTGATTGAATAATTTTATTTCATTAGTATTTATTTAAGGCCAACATTCATTAAGCTAAATCAATATTTTCAAATATAAAAAAATTTTTATTTTAAATAAAATTTAGAATTAATTTATGAGTGAAATTAATTATTTTCTATTTATTATAATAAATTTGTTAACAAGAATTTACAATTTGAACGTATATTTTTGCATTTATATCACTATTTGTTGTTTGTATAAATAAGACGTAAACAAGATTCTTATTTTCATAATAAAATATGTAAAATATTTGAAAAACTTAAAAATTCTTTACTCGAAGTTAATTTATTTTATATCCTATTAAGTTGAATGAACGAATTTTGCCCTTTCTATTTTATTGTTACAGTATCTGCTCAAAAAAATAAAAAAGTAATATTTCATTTCTGGAACTCCCAAGTTGATTTTGTTCCTTTACTTATTCGTTAATGAGATAAACATTATAATTTTTTAATAATTATCATTTTAGTCAACATTAAAAAGTAGTATTATTTGGTATTTTATATTTTTTTACTTTTATTTAGATAAATACTATAAAACTTAATATTAAAGCATAATTATCCTAACTGATTTTAATTGATTTTTGACATTTAATAATAAATTATTATTTCAATGTTGATTATAAAATAATCAATAAATACAATTTTTTGACAAAACAATTACCAATAAATAATTGTTTATTACATTAATTGATTATGAAAGCAAAAAGCAAGCTACTTTAAAAATGTTTGTTCGTATATTACCCCGAAAAAAATTTTAAATCAATCAAAAGTTTATTATTTAGGTTTTTAATTCATTTGATAAGTCAGTTTATCATACATTAAAGCTTTAAAAAAATTCTAGTAGAGATCTAAATATTATATTAAACAAAAATAATAAAACAAAAAATAGTAAAAAAGTAAAAACAAGATAATTATTTTCTTTTTTTAAAGTAAACAAGAAAATGTAATTTTCAGGACCTTTATAAGATAAATAAGCAAATAAATAGAAATAAAAAGAAGTGAGACAAAGCTGGATAAAATAACATTAGACATAGCTAGTTATTATCCTCATTTCTTTATTTCCAACTTTTATTTTAATTACTTCTACTTTTGTTAGCTTAACGGTTTTTTAAAAGATGAGCATTAGCATAATTGAAGATTTTGCAGATTAGCTTTATCAAGATTAAATTTAGAACTCGAAATAATAAAACTCAGCAGTTCTTTTTCAGATAAATTAGCAAGCCTAAAAAATTGCTTGGCAAATAAATCTGATTAATTAGTTTTTTGGAAAAGAGATTCTTAACCAAGTTGGAAAGAATAAAAAATACATTCCTGCAATTCACAATATAGATAGAACATACACTAATTAAGAAAATAAAGCAGTTCTTGCACTTTTTAAGAAGAACCCAATTTATACAAGTGTTTGGTAATTACATTTTTTTAATATAAAATATCACTAACTCAATAAAGAATGAATTTATTTTCTTGTTAATTTAAAATTTCAATAGTATTTTTATTCATTTCAAACAACTAATCAATTTAATTAAAAAATATCAATTGTTATTTTATTAATAAATATAATAAAACTTTTAAATTCTTCAGAATAAAATTATTTTTAAAATGAATAATTTTAATTAGTTTGTATGGAAATTAAAAAATTTAATCATTTTTAATATGAATTATGTCATTTATGAATATTATAATTAGCTTGTTAAAATTCAAAAATTTGTTTATCATATTGATTTTAATTTAAAATATTCATATAGGCATTAAGTTAATAAAGCTCACTTAGAAGATTTAGACTAAAAGTAATTAGAACAAGTGTACCATTCAACACATTTAGATTATATTTGGAAAACTATCAAATATGATAACTCCAAAGAAGGTTCTAGATGGTTATAGATTGGAGCAATTTATTTAGGGTTTTCTTATGATGGGATGATGTATGTAACGAGTAACAATACTACTTATGCAGCCTACTAAATTCCTCCTGGATGCCCTTACATTGGACCATATAGGCTGGATATTAGATGTAGATACTACTATTAACCCACTATTGATAACATTTCAACAGTAATATTTTCTCCTTAGCTAAATTTTGGATTTGGAACTTATTATTTTGCCAGTAATTTTTGCTAAAGGACTATGAGGTACGCAACTTCAGATCCTAATTCTTCAAGTGGTCCTTATTGCGTGCTGTGTATCACATTAAGCTTATCTGTAATACCAGCGTATTTCAACAATTTTAGTTCTAATTCTAAATATTAAATGCTGCTAGATCCACTATAACTAACAGTAGTTTATAGCTCTTTGTCATCAGTGCAACAATCTCAATCAATTACTGTTTAACAAATAGAGACTTAATACTTGCAAGATTAAACACAATCATAAATATTCTTAGAAAATGTTAGCCCATACAAAAACTACATTCTGTAAAGTAGTGATCAAATAGATATACTTACTCCTTATCAGAATACTCAAAAAACATTTGAATATAATAGAAACGGTACAGACTGTTTTGCTATTTTAAATATTGTAACTCTTGTAGATAAAGTACCAAAATTTGAAACTTTAAAATCAATTAATCCTGCTAAAAAATTTCAATTGAAAAGCGTTTACCTATTTTTAGATGTTCTTTCTAAACAAAATATGCAAATTTATGCAAAAAATCTAGAAGAAATAATTCTTTATTATAATTAACTTTTTACTTACATAAGCTGGGGTTTAATTATAATCATTTTAATTGTTCAAATTTATTATTCTATCTAGCTTGGATCATTCCTTTTGTAACCTGTTATTCACCTAACTTATATACTCAAGTAGATAAAATTTATGAATCAAAAATAAATGCAATAAGATAAAGTAGTTCAAACTAATGAAAAAAGCTTTAAATTAGTAGAGTCACAAACCAGTTTTACAACGACAGAGAATCATACTCAGTAGGATCAAGTAGTTATAGATGAATAGATTGATGCAGACTTTTAGGGCTTGTGCTATTCTAGTGATACATAAGAGCTTTTAGATAGTTTTTAAAATCTATTTAAAATTTTAAGGTTTACAACTTAAAACTTTTATAATGAGAATGAGAGTATATCTTTATTAAATCTAAATATTTAGATTTAACATTTCAAATAATTTGGTAACCAAAGAGCGCTAGGAGTATGTTATAATAATATGGGTGTTATTCATTACAATTGTGGAAGATTTCTGGAAGCTCTACAAAATTTCTAAAAAGCAATAATTTGTGCTAAATATGAATTAGAAATTTATTCATAAGATAAAAACGAAAAAAATATTGAAGACAATATAAAAAGACAAACAGTGCATCTTAGAAATACAGTTTCTTAAAGAATATCATTTTAAGGCAACAGAGATATGAGCAAGCAGGCTTTATAACATTTAGAAAGATCAAAAGCTAAAAGTTATTTTAATGAGAATTATCAACTCCACTTAGAAATAGAGTAGCTTTATTGGAATTTATTTAACAGAAGTTCTAATTATTATGATTCCTTGTTTTAATATTCATAATAATTCGATAATTATTTATTGGATATGTATGAAGATTTAGTTATAGAGAATATGAGTTTGAGCTAACTTTATCTTCCTCCATCTTTAAAGAGAGATTTTATAAATTATTATGCCTTATCAAAAGGAAAGCTTTATAAAAATTAAATAAAGGAAGTTGATAGTATTATGAATAAATTAAATTTTCTATATTTGCAAAACTTTGAAAATAAATAGAGTATAGGGTTGAAAAGTCTTTATTAATCTTGTTTGCTTAATTAATCAAATATGGATGAAAACGATCATAAAATTACTAAGGATAAAAAATAAATAGAAATAAAGGTAGACAATATGAATGAATCAGTGATTTTGATGGCACCTGTTTAAAAAATAAGAGATAAAAATCAGTCTTAAATTATTAGCAATTACCTAAAAAATAGAGTTGAAGATATTATTTTATAAAAAAGAAATACTATTTCTTAATCAAGAAATCCAGCTTAAATTCAAAGATAGCAAACTCTAAATATGGCCTATGATATGTAAGAATCAGTCAAATATGATGATTAAAATCAAAAAGAAACTGCTTAAAACTATCTAAGTTAAAATGATTAATTAAATTAGTTTCAACATAAAGAAAAAACTTAAATAAAAAGCTAATTTAATAAAGCTCATCAATAACCAAAAAACTCTCCTGTTTTTAAACAATAAAATGAAGTTTTTACTTTTTAATACTCACAAAGAGAGAAAAATTTTTCTTAAACCCTATTTAGCCCTAAAAGTTCAAATAGAGATCCTTTGCTAAAATCTAAAAACACCAATAAAGAATTAATTGAGAATAGTGTGTAGAATATTACTGCTTTGAATTGTAATTATAGCACTAAGTAAAATTTCTCTAAGATTCTATTTAAATAAAAGCACAACATTCCTAGCTTCTTAAGAAAGAATAAGCCAATTTTTTATCAAGTCAGGAAGATTCAAAAAGTTGATAAGTTAAGCATTTATAACTTCAGTTCTGATATTTATTTCTAGTTTTGTGCAATTTAGTAAGCTTAATTTTAAATTAAGCAACAAAACTATCAGAATGCAGCTTATATTCTGACAAACGCTTTAGAAAAATGCTTTTATTATCTTCCGTATTTAAAAAAGACACAATTAAAAATTCTAAGAGAAATATTTGAGTAAAATTAAATAAAAAGCTAAGACTTGCAAGAGACTTATTGCAAATATAAATTTTTAACTCGCTGTAATTTTAATGTGTGTATGATATCAGTTTGTCGTAGTCATTCAATTAAAAAAAGACTATTTGCTTTATCCTATGATCTCATTAATGAGATACTATTCAAAGGAAGTGATAGCTTTGGATTAATTTAATACTCATTTAAAGAAAAAATATTCCATTAAATTGCCAATTTAACAGGAATCAAATCAGTTAAATCGAACCTAAATCTCTTTGAAGATATTTTATTCTAAATATTTTCAAATAGGAAGCATTCAAAACAAAATTAGTAAATGTTTAGCATGGAACAGTAAAATTTTTAACTATAAGATAGTTAGATTAAGCAAAACTATAAAGAATAGTAGACTCTCAGCCCTAATAACAAAACAGTTATTTAAGAATCCTTGAATGCATCTTACTAAAATTCAACAACTAATTTCTAACATACCTTCCATAAAAATTAATTAAATAAAGATTTGATATAACATAATGTAACTCCTTAAAATTCTAAATTTGAGTATTAGAAATTTTTATTCAATATGAATAACTAAAACGACGGTTAAACAGAAGAAAAGTTGATGAATAATTATTCTTAATAATCTTCGTTATCATCATTTGACTCCACCCTTTAGCAAGATGTAGCTTAAAGCCCTCATAATAACTATAACATTTAGAGTTAAGTAGATACACCAGAATAAATTTTGCAAAGTTATAATATGCAAAATTATATCTAAACAAATAAATTCAATAACTCAAATACAACCGAATAAGAAAAATTAAATATTTTAAACTCTTAAGAAAATTCATTTTATTAAACTTAAAAAATATTTTAAAATTCTTTAAATAATTATAATATGAATTAAAGCATATCTAAAAATGAAGGTTAACAATCGCCATATTCAAATCAATAAAATTAGAAAAATTTAAGGATTTTTGATGAAGTCAAAGAAAAAAATACCTTCACTCCAACCCAAGAATAAATCTTTCATTAAGGTGTAAATAGTTGTTTGAAGTAATTTATTCTAAATACAGATGAAAAATTAGCAATTTATGTTGCACAAAATAAATCAAACAAAAACAAACCAAAACAATTATAATAAAATTATACCTTCTTAATATACTTCACAGATCAGTAATTGCATTTTTAGAACAGCTTTTTACTAAACGAATTATGTTTGTTGCTTAGCAATTTATAAATAGAATTGCTTGTCTTAGTTTTAAATGAGTAATAAAATTAATAAGAATTCATTGATTTTCAAAATTATATTTAAAATGGAAGATCTGTTATCACATTTTTTTAGTCTGAAGAAAAGCTCTTACAATATATATATAATAATAGAGAGCATGTTAAAAATTACTACACTCCACTAGTCGTAGAGCATTTTTGAATATGTTTTTTTTTTTTCACATATTACATATTTGTGCTTGATAATCTTTTAAATTTTTTCTCCCTTTACAATTATTTAAATATATAATTATAGTTATAGCCAGAAGAAAAAAATTTGCTTATTTTGATTTAAAAAATATTAGTAAATCAATATTTGAGTTACAAAATATGTTTTTTTATTTAATTAATAAAGAAGAACTTTACAAAAAAAAGTTAAGTTTCTTTTATGCAATTTCTTATTTTTTTCATTATTTAATTAAATAAATTAAATATGCTTTGTAACTCAAATGTTTATTTACACAAATCATTATTTTTTAAATATATATAAGCTAATTTTTGTATTCTACCTATTTCTTTTCTTCTTATATTTACATATTTAAATCACTTTAAAAAAATAATTTTACCTGTTAATTAAATGGAACCTAAAAATCTAGAAAAGTGAGTGTATTTGAATAATGTTAAAAAACTATTTTAAAAAAAATAGTTTAAATAATCATTTAAATACTGATAGTAATATTACCGATAATGGAAATAAATTAAGATTTTGATATATTTATAATTTATGATACCCATTAGAATTAATGGTATTTGGTATTAACCAGAAACTTATTTAAAAGTATTTGCAAAAATTATAATTCTTAAATCTAAAGCAATTACCATAAAATCAGTTTTTATTTAAACTATAAGAAATGTTAATAAAAACCAGAATTATTTGTTTATCAACAAAATTATATTTGTTAAATTGAAATATTATTTACATAAAAAACTCAAATTCTAAGTGTAAAATATCTAAATCAGAATTTTTATATACAAAAAAGAGTAAATATATTATTACCATTATTACTTGTATTAACATAAAGAAAAACCGGATTATTAATTAGAATTAGAAATTAATTTGTGATAAAAGCTAATCTTTTGGTTTTTTGATTAAAGATAGAGAGATAAAATAAGGAAGTTAGTATGATTTAGTTTTCTAACCAGTATTTAGAATAAAATTAAAAAAAAAACTACAAATGCTTAGACATTTTTAAGGATAATTAAACATAAATCATCATAATTGCTTTATCTTTATTTCCTACAATAATTTTAATACTTTCTACATTTATTAGTTTCCTGTTTTTTAATATTGCGTGTGAAGATATAATTCAAAAATTTGCGAATGATTTGTATTAAGATCAAATATAAAACTCTAAAATGGAGAATCAGGCTGTTGTTTATTAGATAAATTAGTAGGTTTAAAAAATTGCTTGGTAAATTAATCTTCTAAATGAATTATTTGGGAAATAAATTTTGAATAAAGTTAAACAAAACTCACATTATACTCCTCCAATTCACAATATGGATCGAACATACACTAACTAAGAAAACCCTAAAGTTTTAGAGATGTTTAAGAGAAATCCTCTCCTTACTAGCGTATGGTAAGTTTTTTATTATCAAACATATTAAAAGAAGAAGAATTTATTTTTGAAAAGCTAAATTAGGAATTTTATCTAGAATAAAAATAAATGATTTTTGCATATATTCAAAATTAGGCACCAGGTTAGCAAAGCAACTCTAGATTTATTAGATGAAACAGAATTGTAACAAATATACAATGCTAGTCTAGTAGATTTTACTTGGAAAGCAATAAAATATGATGATTTAGTTGAAGGCTCTAGATGGATGCAAATTGGCTCTATTTATTATGGCTTTAATTATGATGGACTTATATACGATACAAGCACAAATACTACTTTTCAATATTATTAAATTCCTTAAGATTGTCCATATGTTGGGCCATATAAATTAGATATCAGATGCAGGTTTTATTATCAACCAACTATTGATAGTATTTCAACAGTAGTTTTCCCCCCCTAAATAAACTATGGGAATGGATCATAGTATTTTGCCACAAATTTTTGCTAAAGAAGAGTTAAATATGAAAACTAAAATCCTGACTCAGATAACTATATCTATGCGCTGTTATGTATAACATTAAATTTACAAGTTATACCTAGCTATTTCATAAATTTCAGTTAAAATTCTAAGTTTTAAATGCTCTTAGATCCAAAATAATTGACAGTAGTTTATTTTTCAGAAATTCAATAATCCTACTCAGAAATTTTGAATGTTAAAGACATAGAAACTAAATACCTGCAAGATTAAAATGAAGCCAAAATATTTTTGGAATAAATTAGCTAAAATTCTGGTGATATCCTTTTGGAAACCGATAAAATAGATTTGATTTAGTTATTTTAAAATACTTAAAAAACTTTTGAGTATAATAGTAACGGCACTGACTGTTTTGCCATATTGAATGTTATCACCATGGTAGACAAAGTTCCAAGCTACGAAACTCTAAAATCTATTAATCCATCTAAAAAATTTTAAATTAAAACTGTTTATCTTTTTTTAGACGTGCTCTCAAAAGAAAATATGCTAGTCTATGCTTAAAATCTCAAAAATAAAATTTATTATTATGATTAAATATTTACTTACATGAGTTGGTGCATATTTATAATCATTTTAATTGTTTAAATATGCTATTCAATTTAGCTCGGAATACATTTGCTTCACCCAGTAATTCATCTGACATAGCTTCTTAAATAAATTCGCTTTTTAAATACAAAATAAGCAGAAAATTCAATTCATAATGTTAATTTTTAAGCACAAAAAAACATAACTTCAATTATAATGGTAAAAACTATAAATAATCAAATATAAAGTGAGTATAATAATTTAGTTTAAATAGATGAGTAAATAGACAATGATTTTGAAGGCGTATGTTTCTCAAAAGATACATAAGAGCTTTTAAATAGCTTTTAGAATCTATTTAAAATTTTAAGATTTACAACATAAAAATTTTTTAAAGATAATGAAAGCACTTCTTTGCTGAATTTAAATGACTAAATTTAGCATTTTAAACTATTTGGAAATTTCCGTGCTTTGGGAGTTTGTCATAATAACATGGGCGTTATTCATTATAATTGTGAAAGATACTAAGAAGCTCTAGAAAATTTTGGAAAATCTATAATTTATTCTAAATATGAGTTGGGTATATATTCACACGAAAATAATTATTTAGACATTTAAGGTAAACTAAACACTTACACAGCTAAATTAAGAGCTATATTTTAAAATAAATTTAATAAAAATGAAAATTAAATGGTTCTAAATGAATTTTTAGAAGAGACTAAATTTTATAATTTTAATAATTAGATGAGTTAAGAAACAGAACAGCTTTTTTGGAATTTATTTAACCGAAGTTTAAACTACCAAAGCGCATTATCTTTTTACATTAAATAAAGTGAATTCAATCTCTGGGATGTTTTCGAAGATATTGTATTAGAAAATATAGTTGTCAGTCTACTCTACTTGCCTGCTTCTTACAAAAGAGAAATTATTAATTATTATAATCTTTTAAAGGGTAGATTTTAAAGCAAAACACATAATCAAACTAATTTTATTTTAAATATTTTAACATAGAATTATATCAATATTTATGAAGCAAAAAAATCTAAAAAACCTGAATTATTTTAATCATTTTCTCATATTTCTCAGGCAAAAATTTAAAATGGAACGATGTTAAAAGATTACCTAGTTTAGTAAAATAAGATTTTAGTAAGTAGCAATAACAACAATGAGTCATTAATTCTTTTATCTCCAATATAAAGATTCAGCATAAATGGAGCAAAAAGAAGGTAAAGATAGCTTTCTTTAAAATTCTAAAATCACATTAATTTAGATTTCAATTTAAGATCAAAAACAACTTACAATAGGACTCTGTTGTTCAACTCTCATAGTTCTTAAAAAAATTAAATTTTTAAATAAGAAATTGAAATTAATAAAGTAAATACTTGTGAAAAAGTCCAATCTGATAAAATATTTAAATCGCATTAAATTAAAAAATAAAAAGACGATGAAGATAAAAATTTAATGAGCATTTAAGAAGTGCAAATAAATGATCAATAAACAAACAACCGTTATTCTTTTTAAAAATTTAAAATAGAAAAGGATTTACATATTGAGAAAAAGGATGACACTTTAATAAATAGATAAAGTTAAATGTCAATAAATAACAAATCCTAATTTTTAGTTGAATAATTATATTATAATAACAACAGCAAATAACAAATAAAAAATATTTAATTGATTGAGGAAGAATCTTTTGATAACTACCCATAACATGACCATAATAAAAAACAATAAGAATTTATAAAAGAGTAATAGTTTGTATAATAATTACAGTAGTAGAGTAGAGAGGGTTTTTACAAAATTAGAAAAGAGACAAAAGTAAATCAGTAAAACATATTCGATTATTGTTCAGATATCTATTTTTAATACTGCACTATACAACAAGCCTAGCATTAAATACAATAAAAAAATTATTACAACGCAGCTTTAATAATCACTAATTCATTAGAATAATGTAAATATTATCTTCCTTACTTAAAAAGAATGGAAATGATGTTACTCTCACAAATTTTCAGAGAAAATAATATCTAAAGTACAGAATTAGATGATAAAATTAATAAATATAATCAATAAAAGGATAGCAGCTTCAATGTTTATATAATATCCACCTGTTACAATCGTTATTTCAAAAAAAGGTTCTACGCCTTGTGCAATGACTTTGTAAATCACGTCCTATTTAAACAAAGTGATTCGTTTGGAATTTTACTCTATTCATTTGAAGAGAATATATATAGTCAATTTTTAAGTAAAACTTCAATAAAAACTATCTAGTCCAACATTTCATTTTTTTCTGAGATTTTTATGGGACTACTTTTAAAAAAAGCTAAAAATTAACCAGAAAAATTTAATTTAAGAAGTAATACTGGATAAACGAAGCAGTTCAAAAGCAAACAAGCAACTGTATCTCCTTTAAACAAATATAACATTATAGAAAACCAAACTAGTAATCATTAAGTATTTTCAAAACATAATTTTTATTCTTATGACAAATAAAACTCAAGACATTTTCTAAAGAATAATAATTTTAATTAAAATTAAGATTCTAATTAAAATTTCAAGTTAGATAGCTTTTTTTTAGAAACTCCTTATAAAAAAAAGTTTTCTTTAACCAGCAAAAAATTCATAAACAATAATATTTAATCATACAACGAAACCTCAAATGTTCTGAAACAGACTTAATTTACTGAATATTCTTTTGATTCTGTTTTTACTTTACCTATTTACGAAAGTAGTGAAGTGTAGTAAGACAATAGCAATAATAATACTAATATTAGTAGCTATAATTATAATTAATAATAACTTGAGAATAATTAAAAAAAACGATTAAATAGTTAAATCACACAAAATGGATGTAATAATATGTAAAATGAAACATTACAGACATCTTTATCCTAAATTAATGTTGTTAATGATAACAACAAAGCATAATATATTTTTTAAGCAGCTAAAAATCAACTAGAATTAATTGGTGATACTGAGTAAGAAGTTTATTTCAATGCTTTACACGAAAGCCCGATGTTGAATTCAAATTAAAAATCATTTTTATAAATAAAGAACTAAAACGAATACAATATTCATAATAAGTATTAAAGAGCTAAAAGCATTAACAATAGTGAATTACCCATATAAAAAAGAGAAAGTAGCTAAGATAAAAATACAACTCAAGTATAATGTTAAAACACTGCAAAGCGCTTAACTGGCGAATAGGTCTTTTTGTAAGGAGTATAGACTTGCATACAATAATTTATTTTGGATTCAAGTGAAAAGTAAACTATATTTGTAACTTAAAGTAAATACAACCAAAATTGTTTGTAATAGTCTTATCTTTGTAAAAACTATTATACTTATCTAATATACTACACAGATCAAAATCTGAATTTTATTGATAGAAATAAATTCTAAAGGTTGTGTAAACTACTGATTGATTTGGATATTGAGCTACTTGTATTAGTTTTAAATGAAACATAAAATTTAGAAGAGCATTCAGGTTTGCAAAATATTCATGAAAAAGGAAGATAAATAATTACTTTTTTTTATTCTGAAGAAAAACTATTACAATACATCTATAATAATAGAGAACATATCAAAAATAATTTCTCGCCAATGGTTGTAGAGCATTTTTGAATGATTTAAAATATTTACCATACATATCTTTGTTTACTAACTTATGTGTGTTTTATAATTAATATCTACGTTTATTTATAATTAAAAAGGCTAATTTATATTTTTAAACAACAGTAATACATAAAAAATATATATTAATTCATTACATATATATACTAACTCACCTGAGTTATAAAATATTATTGTAATATCGAAATTTATTTATTTATAATTTATGTATACTAAGTTATAAAATATTATTGTAATATCGAAATTTATCTTTTTATTTATTTATTATTAAAATGGCTAATTTATATTTTAAACAACAGTATTATTTTTAAAATGTAATTTAATTCATTATTTTTAAATAAAATAATTGAAAACATAAGTTACGTCATCGCTTCAGTAAATTAATTGAAATATTTAGTAATCAATTAATCAATATTTATTAATCAAGCAATTTTTTAATTTACGTCTAAGTATAATAAAATCTGATATTATTACAGTTCTTCTTTTTTATTTTTAATTAAAATATTAAAAATGAATATTATAAAATTATATATTTTTGTTCATTTTTGAATTAAAAATGAGCAAATAAATAAGCCAAAATTATGATAAATATTTTTTAATCTTGAATTTTTTGATATGAAAATTTACTTTAAATCAGTTTTTTTATTTGTTAATTAAAGAAGCTGAATTCAAAGTTTTCAAACATTTCCGCTGTAAGTATTTTTTCTATTTGAAATAATATATTTATATTTATTTTTTATTGATTGAATTCAATCATATATAAAAGCAGGAGGACAGAAATAAATTATTGTCTGCATTATTTATCATACTAACTTTAATAATTGAGTATTATGAAATTTATGCCAAAAAATTTATGTTCGTTATTTTAGTATATTTTTTCTAGTTTATGAAAAGTTATGCTTAAGCTTAATCAATTGGAGGATTTAACTAAACAATTTTAACTTTGAGTAGCCTTGCGTTTTTTAAGCAGACAAATAAAATTTGCTTAAGAAATTGATTCAATCTATTTTAAGCATGATTCATTCATACTTATTGAATTTTGTTCAAATAATATTTTTCTAACCAAATAATATTTATATTAAAGAATGAAATGAATTAAGTGGTATAGTTTAAAAAAAATAAGTGTAAGAACAAATGATATACTTGAATATTTATTTAAGTAGAGATAAAAGTAGGTATGCATATAAATCAAATCACTTATTTATTTCCTAATTAATTATGTATTAGACATTTGATTTGCCATCTATTAAATTTAAAAATATGCAAATGATTTTGATTAATTATTAACCTATTTATGTATTTCAAAAATATACATGTTTGTTAGTTAGCTAGCTTTACGTTATGTATTTATTAAATAAACACTTTTGAAAAATTAGAAAAAAATAAGACTTTTATTTTGTGTAAATTATAATAAAAAAGAAGCAAATGAATTAAGATAAAGCATAATATACAACAACAGATGATAATAATAATAAATGTCTATCCAAAAATTATGGATTTTTTTAAAAAAATTAAACTCAGATAACTATTATTTTTATTGGACTACTACCTTCTATCATTTTGATTGTCTCTACTTTTATCAGCCTTAGTTATATGGAGAAAGAAGGTATAAAAATTATATAATAATTTGCTGATCAAATGTATCAAGATCAGATTAGTAACTCAAAATTATAAAATTATGCAGTTTTATTTTAGATAAACTAGCAGGTATAGAAGATTTCGTGGTAATTGAACATGTTGAATGAGTTTTTAGGGAAATAATTGCTACATTAAGTCACGAATAATAATAATTATATACCAGCTATTCATAATGTTGATAGAACCTATTTAAATTAGGAGAACCCTACTGTCTTAAAGATGTTTTAATAAAACTCACTTCTTACTAGTGTTTGGTAAATTATTTTTTGTTTAGCTGCTTATGATTAAAATATTTGATTTTATTTTTATTTTATGGGATAGGAATTAGTTTTATTTTAGCTAAGCTTACATGTTTTTACAAGCTCTAGAGTCTAAAAATAAAATAAATATTCTTTTTAATTTTATGCCACTAAATAAATTAATTAAAATAGAAAAATCTACTTAATTTCTAATTGCTAAATACTCAAAATATATTAAGTTATTTTGTTACATATGCTGAATACTTAAAATATATTTAAATATATTGTTAAATCTATCTACTAAACATTCAAAATATTTTTAATTATAGGCATTAAGTAGCTAAAGGTTATTTAGAATAGCTAGATTAAACAGAATTGTATTAGCTTAAGCAATCAACATCCTTGGACACAATCTGGAAAGCAATTAAATATGATAATTAGCATGAAATTGCGAGATGGATGCAAATACAATCAATTTATTTAGGACTAGTAAATGATGGCTTGATATATATGACAAGCAACAACACAACTTATGCTACTTACGTACCATCTAAGGATTGTCCTTATTAAGGACCTTATAAATTAGATTTGAGATGTAGATATTATTATCAACCAACTGTAAGTAATATTTCTACCTAGGTTTTTGCTCCTTCTCTAAATTTTGGTTCAAATGGCCCTTATTATTCTAGCAATTTTTGTTAAAGGAGAGTTGATTTGAGCTCCAAATAAGAAAATGATATCTTTTCAATATTGTGTATCACTCTTAATCTTTAAGTTATCCCCGTTTATTTTTAAAATTTTGGATAAAATTCTAAATTTCAAATGCTTATAGATCCACAAACTTTTTCACTAGTCTATAATTCTTAAACAAAAAACTAGTCTTTTCTGACTTCAAATACTATAATGTAGGTGGAAACGGACTATCTCTAAGATAAATCCCAAGCTAAAATATTTCTTGGAAATTTAACTGAAAGCTCAAATTTTATAATGATGAATTCAAGTAATTATTAGTTTAATTATTAGTTAGATACCAGCTAGAAAGTATTTGAGTATAACAGAAACGGTACTGATTGTTTTGTTTTGTTAAACATTATCTCAATGGTTGATAAAGTACCAAGGGTAGAAACTCTTAGGCGAGAAAATCCAGCTGATAAATTTTAATTAAAAAGTGTGTTCTTATTTTTAGATGTCTTGTCTAAAGAAAATTTGTAGATTTACTCTAATAATTTACAAAATACTATTTACACTTATAATAACATATTTACTTATACAAGCTGGGGATTAATTTTTATTATTTTAGGAATTTAATTTTATTACTCTATAAAAATGGGAAGGTATATTCTCAATCCTGTAATCCATCTTACTTAAATACTAAAATAAATTAAAGTATTAAATTCAAAATAGAGTTAAAATGCAAAAGAAACCCCGATTGATAAGGTAGCTAATTCATTACATGTGTCGTAAAGTATGTTTAGTGAAATTTCAACTGACCAAGATAACTAAATTCTCATCGATGAGTAAATTGATGCTAATTTTGAAGGAGTTTGTCATTCCAGAGATACTCAAGACCTCTTAAATAGCTTTTAAGATTTATTTAAGATGCTCAGATTTACCACTTAAAATTTTTACAAAGAAGATGCTAGCACACAACTTTTAAATCTTATTAAATAGATTCAACATTTCTAATAGTTCGGTAACTATAGAGCTTTGGGAGTTTGCTACAATAATATGGGAGTAATCCATTATAATTGTGGAAGATTTTAGGAAGCTTTAGAAAATTTTCAAAAAGCTGTTATCTATGCCAATTACGAATTAAATTTATACTCCCACCAAGGCGAAGGAGCTTAATTTTCCTATAGCATTAAGCGATTTACTTTACATTTAAGAAGTTCTTTATAAAATAATGCATCTTCTAAAGATTTGACCACCTCCACAAATCATCTTAAAATATCTAATAACATTTAAGATAAATCAAATAGCAAAAGTAATAAAAATTAATATATTTAGAATTAGCAAGTCGAACTATACTGGAGCTTGTATAATAGGAAAACGAATTTATTTAAAGCCATGCTCATGTTCATACAAACAAGCAAATCTTATTTGTGGGATATTCTAGAGGATCAAGCATTAGAAAACCTAAGTATTAGTTAGATTTATTTACCTCCTTCATACAAAAGAGAAATTATTAATTACTATGCTTTGTCAAAAGGTGTGCTTAACTAAAATTCTAGCAAAGAATCAATAGTCCTTAACAAGCTAAGCTAGCTTTACATAAACGTTTATGAAGCTAAATATGGTAGATTATTTCAAGAGTGTCCTAATTATTTCTATAAGAATGATTTTGATACTCCAAAGAAATAAGAATAAAATACATTCCAAGATTATTTAATTAATTCGAATAAAATACTTGTAAATAACTGCAATAACAACAATCATATTACTGACTCTGTTATCTTACTATCTCCAATCTAAAAAATAAAAACAAATCACTAAAATGAAAGTGTATAAAATAAAATAAAATATAAAATTTAGAGCCTAATTAACATGCAATACATAAGTTAAATTAATAATAGTTTACATCAAGCCATTCATTTGAATACTCCAAACAAATAAGAAAAAAGGTTAGATTAAAAAAATAATTAACAGAAGCAATAAAATTCTATTTTTTTCTAATATAGCAATAACAAACCAACAGAAGATATTAAATAATCATATAAAATAAATTAAGAAAGTGATAATAAATTGATTTTAAATGAATAAAATATTTTTAGTCCTATTAGATCTGGAGTAAATATTAGATCAAGTTTAAGTCCACTCATTTTGTAGTCTGATGTTAAAAATAAATCCGAAGAAAAAACAACAAAATAAAATAATTGCAAATAAATCTAATTCAAATAATAGCTAACTCATTCTCAACATCTAGAAATCCCTTAGAATATTAGTTAAAAACCTAGAAAATCAATATTACAAAATAGCAGTATGCAAAATATAAACTTAGAAATTTAAAAGACAACTAGCTAGAAATCAAATAAGCATGCTAAATTTTTTGCAAAAAGAAGAGATACAGCAAATGAAAACCAAAAAATTAAAAATGTAATTTTCTATCATGTTAGAAAGCATAAAAATAACGAACAGGTTAGAAACTATGAGTATAGTTCAGACATTTACTTTCAATATTGCTCACTAGAATAGGCTTAGTTCTAAGTAAAATAATAAAATTTCTATAGTGCAGCTTTGATGTTAACTAATTCCTTAGAGTAATGTCAATAGTATCTTCCTCATTTAAAAAAATTAATATTGGATTTATTATTAGAAATATTTCAAAAATAAAAGATAAAAAGTTAAGATCTTGAAGTAAAAAGTAAAAGGTATAATTAAATGACAGATTATAATTTTAATATTTCTGTTATATCTGTTTGCTAAAAGCAATCCAACAAATTAAAATTATTTGCTATGTGTAATGATCTTATTAATGAAATTCTCTTTAAAGATGATGACTGTTTTGGAATGATATAATACAATTTCAAAGAGCAAATATTTATGCAATAAATAGCTACTACTTCAATAAAATTAATATAGTCAAATCCACGGCTCTTCGAATAAATTTTCCTCTCTTTATTACTTAATAATCCACAGTATAATGCCCATAAAATATTGAATAATTAAATTTAGAATTAGTTAAAAAGCACTCACGACCACAGTAACAATTTTCATAATCTTCCAACTATCAGCTAAGACAAATATTTTTCTTAGGATATGAATTTCCATTCACTTATAAATTTAACTCATCATCTTAAAATAGATTCTTTTAGTAAACTTGAAAGTCCTTAACTGAGCAAAAAAGTATTAAATAGTAAACCTCACAAAGAATTAAAAGGGCATGAAACTCTGAATATTTAACTTGCAAGCCAAAAACTAAATTCCTTAAAAAATTACTTTTTGGAACAAATTTAAATATTCTAACATTCTTTAGAGTCTTCTTAAGATTCTTAAATTGAAACATTCAGATTAGACTCTGATTAGCATAAATAGGATAAAAAGAAGGTTGTATAAATCAATTAAACTAGTATCAAAGATCTAGAAAATTATAAAACTTTATGTCATATAAACAGTTTAAATAATAAATAAGTATAGGAATAATCATTAAGTTTGATTTTGAATGATAAAGACAAAATAAATAATAAAATTATACATGATGAATAAATTGACGATTCTACCAATATTTTGCATTTTTCATCAAACAAATGCTTAGATTGTAAAAAAATTTAAAGTTATAAAGATATATCTAACTCTTAATAATCTTCAAATGGATTTGAAAGTAATTAAAGCTAAAATGATTATGGAAACAAAAGCCTAAAAAAATCATATTTCGAAGATTTTTAAAAGTAAAAAGCTTCACTTTAAGAATAGAAAATTTTAAACAAAAGCAGTACTAAGATAAGCTCACCTAATTTAAAAAATCATAAGAAATTATAATATGAAATTAACTAAATTTTAGAGAACGATGAAGAAACCAGCAACAATGACAAAATTGGTACTTCTTCAAAATCAGAAACTAGTAAACTTTAATCTAAATCTAACAGCTAAAGTTAAAAAGAAATACCTTTCCAAAATGTATAAAACAGGTTAGCAAATTAAACTAGTTAAAATAATTTGTTTCTTTTTCCAACAAGTTAAAATTAGCCCTATTCCTTAATTGAAAATGATTTTTAATTTAAACTAAAAGAATTTCACAGTGATTAAAACTTAAATCAATCTAATCATTCAAACCAAAACACTCAAATATAAGTCCACTAAGATAAACTAACTTTATTTAATTTAAATGATATATTATTCACTGATGAATAAAGAAATAATTAGCAAATTAATGATGAAAATAAAAATATAAAAACAAAATCAAGTGAATATTTATTTCATTTAGGAATTCACGTGTCTCTCAAACAATTCATATTAAATTCAGATAAAAAATTAAATATTTATCTCTCTTAAAATAAATATTTAAATTAAAGCAAAAAAAAATATGTGTCCTAAAAAACCATACAAAACTATTTGATCTATGTAACTGATTAATATTTTCAAATCAAAAATAGAAATTTAATGGATAAACTAACATAGCTTCTATTCAATTTAGATACTGAGTTATTAATTTTGATTTTAAATGATACTCAATAACAAGATGAAAGCAGTAAATTAGAAAATATATCAATTGATGGTATATAAGTTATAGGTTTTTTCAATACAGAAGAAAAATTACTATAATATATCTACAATAACAGAGAGCATCTCAAAAATTATTTAATGCCTATGGTCCTTGAGCACTTTTGAAACAAAAAAATCTTAAAATTAATCTAAAATGATTTACAAATTATATTTTAAAATTTATTCAAATTACATTTGAGGTTATTTTTAATAAAATTTCTGATTATTTTTTAATTATTATATATACTATTCACTCTTTTCACTCTTTATTCAATTTGGTTTCATTATTTCATTTCTTTATTTATTTATTATTTTCTCATAAAATTTATTTTAATAGATGTGAGTGATATTGTTAATTGTGAAAGCCACATCAAAATATGTTTTTAATATTTAATAAAAAAGATTAAAATAAAATATTTAAATAAAAATTTATTATTTGTTAACATTGAAATATTAAAATACAAAATAAATCAAAAATTAATTTAATCTAAAATATTTTATTTATTTATTTATTTAAAAGCTAATTTTCAAAAAATAAATTTGTAAATTAGTAAATAAATATTTTTAAGTTATTTATTGTAAGTAAGATTTTTAAATAAATTATACAATATTTATTTTATCTTACTTTTAAAAAAATATTATCTTATTTTAATTTAATATAAATTTATAAAATTTATAACTTTGCCTATCTAAAAAATTTCAATTAAATTATTTTATTAAAAATTTAAAAAAATCATTTTATTATTTATTAGTTGTACATACATACAAATATAATTCATAAATTTGGAGTTTTGATGTAGAAAAATTTCTAATCGATTTCATCAGAACTCAATATTCTTTTAAAATATTGTTTCTACTATAAAGAAAATTTATATATTTCAGTTTTAGATATATTTAAGCTAAAGTTTTTAATAATTAAAAGAATTAGATAAGTTTAACTTTTACAACAATTTTAAACAAAAAAGAAAGTAGATTTCAATTTTCAAATAAAAAATGGATAGCATTATCAATCATTGTTGTTCTATTTGTCTCGGTTTGTTTTATAACCCAGTTACTACTAAATGTAGTCATACATATTGTAAAATGTGCTTAGAAGAGTTAGTTGAATATGAGTAAAAAGTTGTGTGTCCTCTCTGCAGGAAAGAAATTAAAAATATTGCTAATTTAGTTGTAGACAAACAAAAAGAACAATATTTAGCTTAATAGTTTCCTACCGAATTCGCTAAAAGATTAGAAGAAGCTAAAAGGTAAGAATAACTCAAGGCAAATTCTGTATTTTTAATTATAGAGTATGGAAATAGCCATGAGTATGAATAAAATCCATTATAGTCTTAAAGCAATCCTTCTAAATAAAACTAGCATAGATGGTGCTGCTTTGTAAAGTTAAGTAATCTAGAAGGAAAAGAATCAGATTACATAGAAAGAGTTGAATTTAAACTTCATGAAACATTTAAATAACCTCTTGTTATTACCAACAAAGCCCCTTTTTAAGTTAGCCGCTTAGGTTGGGGAACATTTTAAATCCCTATAAAAATATACTGGAAAAATTGGTTATAAATCCAATAGCCTACTGAGCTTAATTGGAATTTATAATTCAGCTAACCAGAAAAAAAATCAATATTTAAATTAAAAATAAGTTAAGATATTTTAAAAAACAGACCAGTCAATAAATGAAATTAAAATAGTAATAATTTTATTTATAATATTATATGCAACAATTAGTACTTTTCTTTAGTAAAAATGCATTCAATATTACTAATCAATTAAGAGGATCAAGATAATACAAAATAAGCTAAGAAATATATCAATTATATATCTTCTTTCTGCTAATAAAATTTACAAATTTGTATTATTTATTTTTCAATATTTTTTTATTCTATCACAAAATATGTTTAAAATTAACAACTTTATTCATATAATTTAATTATCTAAAATTAATTCGATATTGTTAATCAATTAAGCTAGTACCAATATAATACAAAATAAGCTAAGAAATATATCAATTATATTTCTGCTAATAAAATTTACAAATATGTATTATTTATTTTTCAATATTTTTTATTCTATCACAAAATATGTTTAAAATTAACAACTTTATTCATATAATCCAATTATCAAAAATTAATCTTCTTTCTTGTATGAAATCATATTGATAAAAATCTATGTATTAAATCCAAAATAAACATATATGCAAAAAACTAAAAATAGTAGATTATAATTAATTATTCACAATTATTTTCTGATAAAAATTCAATATTTAAAATTTTAATTTTTAATATTAACTATTTTCAGAGTCAATATTTTATGGTTTTTTTTTTTTTAATTTTATTAAATTAAAATTGATTGATAATTAATGTTAAAATTATTTTGTAATTTCAAATAGATGTAAATTTCTAAACATTCATACACAATTATATAGCAAATATAAACTTAATCAATTTTAAATATTAATAATATTTAATTATAAATGCATGATAATTAAATTGTGAATGATATAATCAGTATATTATATATTATAGTTAGTAGTCATTATTAATTCAGTTAATAAAACTTAGTTAAGACCATTAAATAAAAGAAATTAAATGGCAATTATTATAATTATTTTATTAGCCTTTATTTGATTGATATTAATATTGTGAAAAATGTATTTCCTTTGATGAAAGGGATTTACGGTTTTAAAAAATATGTTTCCACTTTATAATACTATTTTATAATTTATGAGTTTGATGACAATATGACCACTCAGTATCATTTTTATCCATATCAACTCATGTGTTATTACATTATAAGTGTAAAAGCTTATTTAATAAAAGAATTCCTGATATAAGATGGTAGTTCTTAGTTGTTATTTAACTAAATTTATGAATATTTTTGAAAGTAAAAATAAAATTTATTTAAGTTATTTCATTGATTAGTTAAAATACTTTACATTTTCTATTTGCTAAACTAAAAATAAATTAAATGAAAATTTTTTTTTAAGGGTAGTTAATTTGAATTACAAATGAATTAGAGACAATTAATTATTAGATTTTTTATTTTAGTAATCAAAAATTAATTAATTCTACTTAAATTAGTAATAAAAACTAGTTATTTAGAGTAAATGAAAAGAATTTCTATAGAAGATAAATTACCTTCTTAAAAGTAAGAGAATTCCAAAACTAATGCTTATTTAACTGATAAAACGTACATATTTATGTTGCTAATTATAATATTACCAGTTATTGTTTTAATATTGTAGATATCGTTTGGATTCGTTTATATCAAATATCTATCTTTTTAAATAATATCAAATATGTCTTCAAATTTGCTTTAAGACTAATTAGAAAATTCAAAGCTGTTTAATTCGGCAGTAGTATTTTAAATTAGTTCTCAAATCTAAAAAATGAGCTGGTAAATATATCAAACAAATTAGTATTTTAGAAAAATACTATAAGGCAAGGTAATCAAAAACTATAATCACATACCAGCTATTTATAATATAGATAGAGCAAATCTCAATAAAGAAGACCCAACTATTATGCAACTGTTTTAAAAAAATTCTATCTATACAAGTGCATGGTAATAAAAATATTTATTTTGTTGGATTATTTTTTTAAAAAGTTAATTTAAAAACTAAAATTAAAGCTGAATTGGATTTCATTTAAGAAAATTTTAACTTAAGCATTTATAAACATTAATTTAATTAGCTTTTTTAATATATTTTTTGTTATGCTAAAAGTTGATTTAATTTTTCAAAGCTATTTATTTATATTTGAACTAATTAATATATTTTTTAGGCATCAAATAAATAAATCGCACATAATTGATTTGGATCAAATAGAATTATAGAATGTTGATAATTCATTTCTTGTTGATTCTCTTTGGAAACCTCTACAGTACGAAAACAAATATTAATATTCATAAAGACCTTTGAAATTTAAAGAAATGTATTTAGAATTTGATTATGATGGTTTAATTTATAGCACAAACTAAAATATTACTCTTTACAATTAAAAAATTTAGCCTAATTGTTAATACTAAGGTTATTTTCCTCCAGACTTAAGATGTATTTACAATTTTAGCTAGATTACTGGAAATAGCTCTTTAGTTGCTTTTTCTCCAGAGGTATTTGCATTAAATAATTCTCAACAAGTAACTTAAACATTTTGTTAAAGGAGTTTCATTTTTAACTCTTCAAGTATTTATTCAAGAAATGAAAAAGGTTCTATCTTATGCTTAAGATTAGACTTAGACCTAACTAATTTATATTTTAATAACTATGGCTAAAATTCTAAACTTTAAATTCTTTTAAGTTCTGAATATCAATCGGTTATTTATAATTCATTACTTAAACAAATAAAAATGTCTCAACTACCAACTTTACAAGATTTTGAGATAAAATATTTGCAAGATGGAAGTTCAGATTTTAATTTCTTAAAATAAATTTAAAATAATTAATAATTTATTGTTGAAAATCTAAACAAAATCAATATTATTGGATTCAATAGGGAAAACGAGTAGTATTAATTTCATTACAGTATAAATAACTCTGATTGTTATGTGATTTAAAATCTTATTACATTGGTTGACAAAATGCCTAGCTTTTATCATTCTGAATAATTAACAAATTCTTCTGCTAAATATCAAATAAAGAATATCTTTATGTTAATTGATATTGTCTCTAATGAAAAAATGGTTGCTTTTTCTGATAGTTTAAATAATACAATAAATAAATGCAATATTATTTTTTTAATCGTAAGCTTAATAGCAGTTTTAATTATTTTAATCCTACAATTTTTGTATTGTAAAAATTTTTTAAAAAGCATTATTGATCCTATTACTCACTTAACAGATATTCTAAACCAAGCCTTTGATGAAAATATGCAAAATGACAAATAAGATAAAATCTCTAACAAATATTACAGGTCTGAAAGATTTGTAAATAGTTTTGGTGATAGAGAAAAAAATCAATTAAATGGTGATAAGCTGTAAATCGATGAGTCTATTCAAAATTACATCAAAGCAAACTCACTTTCTTATGAGATATTAGAACTTTTTAGTAGCCTTCAAAACCTTTTTAAATTATTAAGATTCACAACAAAAAATACATTTAAGGAAGATCCTAGTTTAAACTTAATTAATCTTTGTCTAGAAATTTAACACTTTGAATAATTTAAGAATAATCGTGCACTTGGAGTCTGCTTTAACAATATTGGTGTTATTCATTACAATTCTGGAAGATTTTTAGAATCAATAGAGAACTTTTAAAAGTCAATAATCTATGCAAAGTATGAATTAGATTTTTATAGTCACGATAACAGCTACAAATCTAATTACACATTTAGTTATTGTGAAAAAACAGAGTAGAGATTTTTCCAATTTCAGCAAGCTGAAGGAATTCAAAATAAATATAAATCTCAAAGAGATTTCGGAGAAAGATCTAATCATAGTAAATTATTAATTGATTAAGAAAAGTAATAACTTTACTGGAGCTTATACAATAGAATGTAGAATCAAATAAAGGCATTAGGATCATATATATACCAACATAAATGCTTTAACTTAGCTGAAGATTTTTATGGATGTATCAAATAGTTAATTTAAGTTAGCAATCAACATCTCCCACCTTCTGCAAAGAGAGATATGGTAAATTATTACATAAAGCTAGTTTCATTCAAAATGTAAAATAATTATGGGGAATCTTTTAACATACTGGAAAACTTAATTAGCCTTTATACATAAAAATTTGAGTAGAAAAAAAGTTAATGCAGTTTTATAAAGCCTGAGTCTCATAAAAAAAATTCTATTTTTTCATAGAATAATTAATCATTGCTTACAAATTATTAAATAAAGAGTGATCAATAAATGGGTTATAAAAGTTTTGTTTACTAGAATAGCACCTTTAATATATTAATGTCACCTATTTAAAGAGACAAGCTAAATACTCTAAGGAAGAAGTGGAGAAGCTAGTTTCAAAAATAGTTTTTTTTGCTGAAATTAAAAATATAAAAAAGCAAAAAATCTAATAAGAAGTAATAATAAATGTACAAAAGATTATATACTAACAAATAAGAAATGCCTGATGATAATAATAATTAAGGGAATAAATACGTTTAAAAAAATGGAAAGGAAAATATTTAGAAATATATTCCGTACTTCTAAGTGAGAAAGTTTAAATCCTAAGAAAAGCTTTGTAGTTATTAATATAGTTCAGATATTTTCTTTTCATTTTATGCACTTGAATAAGCGAATTTTTAAATTAAGTTATAAAATTACTACTTAGCATGTTAAATTCTAACAAATTATTTTGAAAATAGCATTTATTATCTTCCTCATTTAAGAATGCAAGCATTAAATACCCTCGCTTAGATATTCAAAATTAGCAAGATCCCTAATCCACAATTATCTGAAATCTTAAGAAAAGCACAGACTTTACCTAACTCTAATATCAATGTGTGCTTATTATCTGCTTGCTAAAGCACTTATTCACAGCTTAGATCATATGCAGTCTAAAGTGATTTAATTAATGATATCTTGTTCAAAGATAAAGATTAATTTTGTTTATCAAGCTATTCTTTTGACGATCAATAATTCATTTAACAAATTTAGTTCACAAAAATTCAAATTTTAAAGTCTAATTAAAAACTTTTTTCTAAATTAATAAAAAAATAAATTAAATTAAAATAATCATCAGAGTAAGAAACATTTTAAAAAAGTAAATCAAAATTTCAACAAGAATATAGTAAGAAAATAGAGTTGAATGATCAAATTGATTTAGATCAAAATAGATAATTTTTATAGAGAAACACTTTATAAGAATAAATTAATAGTTAAGTAGAATTATGTTTAATTTCTAAATAGAGAGATTTATAAGAGGAGACAAAGTAATCAGATGAAAATAACAGGCTATAGGTTAAATAAATTGACGAGGAAATATATAAATCTTAAGGATTAATAATTGAAAAAGTTAGTAAAATATAACCTGAGAGCATAAAATTACCACAAAAAACTTCTTCGATAAATAGTTTTTATTTCAGTCCAAATAATTCCTAGTTAAGACACGATTCTAATAATAAAAAATTAGACTAAAATATTGAAATTATTAACTCAAATAATTCTGATTAACATAATTAAAACCTAAAAAATAATTTTAGCAACAGAATTAATTAGTTACATAATAAAAATTAGTCAAAATATTCTTAAGTTTTTTAAAAATTCTCAAAAATCTTAGAATCTCCAAGAATAGTTAAGCATAGCATATTAGGTGGCTCAAATTCTTTTAAGAATCAATTTTAATTTAACATCTCTTTAGAGAGCCCTAGTAATGAAAATTCTATATAAAATAATGATTATAATTAAATCTTCAGCCATGAAAGTTTAATTTGTCAATCTCCGGCCTTTAATCACAGTCTTACAAATTCATAATATATATTCTCTAAGTAAACAAAAAATAATTTAAATATATCTTAAGAAAATAATAAAAATAATTAAGATTAGGTTTAATAAAATTATAATTTTATTAAAAATTAATCTGCTTTTAATGAAAGCTCGTGCTAATTATAAGACACTTTTAATAAGAAATCTCTAAGGTTATTAAACGAAAACAATAAATAAGGAGAAGCTATTTTTCATATTGGTATTTAAGCTGCTTTAAAGTAGTTTATTCTTAATTCTAATGAAAAGCTTTCATGCTATCTGTCTTATAAGAAGTTTAAGGACCAAGGAATTCTTACAGAGCAGAGTTCTGAAAAATAAAACAAAACCTATGTTATATTTATTACAGACTAATTGCTTGAATTCAAAAACTTGAAACTATTTAGTGAAATGTGCCAAATAATCAGTAATTTAAATATTGAACTCTTAATTCTCAATTTAAATAAAAAAAACCAGATTTAAGAATAACCTGATTTTAATAACATTTACATTAATTAATAATCTACAATAACATTTTTTAGCACAGAAGAAAAGTTGCTATAATATGTTTATAATTAAAGAGAGCATGTCAAAAATTTTCTTTATCCGATGGTTTATGAGCATTTTTGATATCATCAAAATAAACTTTATTAATAAATCATAGAAATATAAATATGTAAAGTGTAATATCAACATTTATGTTAGTGCTAATGATGAATTAAGCTCATTATAAGTAAGGATAATCAATAATTAATTATTTTTAACAAAAAAATAATTTTAATTTTATTAATAAAATAAATTGCTGAAATTATCTTTAAAATATAGATATTCTCTATATACTACATATTTAATATTTAATTTAAATTTATAAATATAATTATTATATTTTAAATCATTCAAATATAAAGTTATTAAATATTAAAAATGAAAGAAACCCATATATAACCTCCTTCCCCATTTAACAAAATAAATAAATACATATATCAATAAAAAATGACATTTTATTATTAAATTAAAAAAAAAATATTTATACTATATTTAATAAAAGATTTGAATTATATTTGAGCTCAATTTCTAAAATTCAAATTAAATTTAACTTATATTATTAATAAAAAAAAATATTTTTTAATAAAAATATTAATAAGAATGCTAATTTGATAATTAAAATAAATGATTATTTTTTGAATGAATATACTTTTGATATATTATAGAAAAATTTAAATAATCTTTTCTATAAAAACTCTTCATGTAATTTAAATATATTTTTCTTAACTATTCAACAATTTATTATATTTATAGAGTTTGAATACATTAGATGGATAAAATTATGTAAGTAATAAATTATTAATAATTTTTTGATAAGCTTTATGATAAAATAAAAAGTTAGTTATCTAACATGAATTTGTTGTTTAGAATTATTGCAATCTAAATTTTAATGTTGATTATTTGGCATATTCAAATTAGAGTGTAATCCTAGTTGATGGTTATTCATTTAATGAAAACAAAATTTGGTTTACAATAAAAATAAATATTGATTATGATTAATTTTGTTTCTATTTTACAAATAAACAAAATAATTAATTAAGTTGTCTTTGCTATTGAAAAATATAAAAATATATATATATATTGTATTATACTTTTTGGTATATATATAAAGATTGAAAAAGAATTTATTTCAAAATATGAAAAAATCTAAGCAAAACCTGGGTTTTATCAATAGGTTTTTTAGCAATCATAAAACATTAGTAACAATCACGTCTATAATTCTTTTTCCTTCTTTGATACTAATAATTGCAACATACTTGATATTAAATTACTTTTAAATTGTTTGCTTTTAAATTGTTAAAGATTTCTCTAATGGTTTATTTTTAGATTAAATAACTACCTCAAAGAGTTTAAACACCGCAATAGTCTTTTAGCTAAGCTCTTAAACATAAAAAATGGATTGGTAGATAAATCTGATTAATGAATTTTTTGGCAAAATACTTCTTGGCAAAGTCATAAAAAATAGTAGACATATACCCGCTATTCACAATATTGATAGATCTTATGAAAACAAAGAAAATCCTATTTTACTCAATATGTTTAGAAATAATTCTATCTTTACAAGTACTTGGTAATTGATTTATTAGCTAAGTATTTTTTATCTTTTTTTTATTTATATTCAATATAAAATAATTTATATTAATTTTAAACTTAAATGTTAAATAAATATAAATTAATTTTTATTATTTTTACACAATTTAAATTTAAGACAATTTAAAAGTCTACTTATTTACATATAATTGTTGTGAAAATTAATTTATGAAATAACCTATTTTTTTTCTTTTAGGCACCAAGTTAACAAATCGTACATAAGTGAATTTGATGAGATAGAATTGTAACAAATAGAAGAATCTTTTCATATTGATACCCTTTGGAAATCTATGCAGTATGATAATAAATAAGAGCAGGGAAGATGGATGAGATTCAAGGATTTGTTTTTTGGATTCGATTATAATGGATTAATGTATTCAGTAAGTAATAATGTAACTTACAGCAGTTATGTTCCGCCTCATGATTGCCCATATACTGGGAAATTTAAATTAGATGTTAGGTGTAGATTTTATTACAATCAAACTATGGGAAATGTTTCTACAGTTGTGTTAAATCCATAAATATTTTATAATGATGTTACTCCACTTACTTTATAAGCTTTGTGCTAAAGAAGATTAAGATATCAATATGCAGATCCTAATTCCTCCAGCAAAAAATATTCTATACTCTGCTTGACTTTAGATCTCTCTAAGCTTCCAAGCTATTTTTAAAATTTTAAATAAAATTCAAAGCTCTAAATGGTTTTAAATCCAGATTATCTAACTGTTGTATATAGTTCTTAATATATGTTGAATAGAACTGAAATTATAAATGTGCAATAAATAGAAACTAAATACTTAATAGATCAAACTTAAGCAAGTTATTTTATAAATAACATTACTTAAAATAATTAATCTTACCTTAAAAATCTA